AAAGTATCTTTTTTTATTAGATTAAGATTGAATTGTTATCTGCCAGCTTGGTTTGATTGGAATTTTTCTTGGTTTCCCCCTCTGCCCCTATCCCTCCTATCTTGGACTGCTTTACATTTAAATATCACCAAATTTATTATGTCCTTTTATATTTTTCTTTTTGCATTTTACATTTTTCCACGTGTCCCTTTTTAGTCATTTTTAGTGGGTTGAGGGCATTAAAATGATAAAAATGATAAAAATTTCTTTCACAAAAATAAAATAAAATTAATGCATAGCATATTATGAAGTTATTTTTTATTATTTTCAATTAATATTCTCCTCCATTCACTTGATATAATGATCAACATCGGAGTAATTTATCATAGAAATTATTGGACAAATTAAGCTGTGAGGAAGTGAACTTTCGTCCAGCTCGTTGAAAATGATTTTACTATCCGGGCGTTCATTTTTGTGTCATTAAATACTATCGTCTGATGAGTCTTATTTTAGCTTTCGTTTAATTATGTGCGCACTGAGGCGACTTCACTATAAGGGCTCTTAACATTTTATGGGCCGCAATCAGCTCTCAATGTGTTTGGGGTAATCAACGCGTGAGCAGCTCTCCGACCATTTAACATGGCTGGATCGTTTTAAGGAGCACTCGCTTTTGTTTTATGTCCTTCTGAGCTCGTTCGAGCGTCTGTTTATTGGTTCAACGCGACTCCATCGAATGAGTCGCCATGCATATCCTTTTCTCAGCTCAGGCCAGGGCATTCGCTCGCTTTCAAGTGCCGCTATAAATCTCTGTGTTGGGACTAACTGGCATAAGTTAACCAATAGGATTTCAAGCTGTGGCAGAAACAACTCTTTTCAGCTGCTATTGCATGTTGATGCATGGACATTAGGCCTTTTGTGTGGCGGTGCTTTTGTGAGGCCATAGAGGCCATAGCAACGAGAGCCACTCCATTGTTGTGTCAGGTATTTCATCGAGCACTTTGATGAACTTTGATTTTCGGTGGCGGCCTCGCCTCAAATGTGCTTTAAGAGAAAAATTCGTTTCAAAGTGAAATTTAATCAAGTCTTGTAATCAAATCTGAGCGCTCGTAAACACGATGCTGTTGCTAATAGATATGAGAGCCAGCTCTCCGCCTAGACAAAATACTCGAGAAAAAAAGAAAATGAATCACATTTGAAAATCGATAAAGGACAAACACAATTTATGTGTAGGTAGATAATGGCATAGAGCTGTAAGAGCCCCCAAAGGCTCCGCTTTAAATTCAATATCAACATTAAATTTGACGCTCTAATCAAATGATAAAGCAACAAAAACACATTAACGCGCAATTTGCTGTGCCTCAAGGCAAACAGTATTTAAAATGCTGCTGCAAACCCAAAAAAGCAGAGTTCTCAGTCAGCTTTTGCCCCACACACAATATGTATGCATGCATAAAGTATTTGGCAAACTGTTGCCACAAAATGTGATTTCCACTTGCATTCAAAATCTGGGCTTCTCAATTATTGGCCCATGCTTCTGCAAATATTATTACATTTGCATACTGATTTTATCGAATATATAATGCACCAGGAATTGCATTTCTTTGTGCATGGCCATGAACAACGTAAACCTATTAAAAATGGAAACAGGTAGATGAAAACATCTCTTCCCCCACAAGGTATATGTATTTTTTGATCAGGACGAACAGTCGTATCGAAATCGATTTCCATCTGTATATATCTGTATCCAAAATAAGCTGTAAAAATTTGATAAAAATCAAAATTGCCTTGCAATATGTATTATCATATTGATAGAGAATAAGTAATGAGAATACTTTTGCTTGTGCTTATATTTCAGTGTGCAAAGTTTTTTAGATTAAATTATAATTAAAAATTAAAAATAAAACTAGAATAATATGTTTCGCAGCTTCAGGTTCAGGGTATCTGGTGTTTGAGCTCACTCGACTACATCATTTTCAATTGATGCTGTTGCAAGTTGGACGAACAAGCTTAAAGTGCCATTAGTTTATATGCCACAACGCAGTTATAAAAGCCGACGCTGATTTTATTGAATTATTAAAGTTTTTATTCGACTTTGGGCTTTTTTAAAAATTTGCAAAATAATCACAATTTAAAAGGAAGCGCAGTGTCACATTAAGTTTTTTAAAATAAATTTAAGTATTTTCTAAATATTCTAAGCTAGTTCAAAAGGTCAAGCAGCAATGCACCAAAAATTACCCTGTTTAATTTATATATTTAACTTCATTTTAACATTAATCCTTCCAAAAAAACTTACGTTTCCTAAAATGTTATCTGATTAAAATATAATACTCTATAATACTAGCTGAATTCAAATTATTCAATGACATTTTTGGCAAGTTCGCAACTTGAGTTAATGCTGTGGGGACAAATATCAAAAGTCGCCTGGGTTCAATTGCTGCTGCTGAACTTTGGCATTGTTTGGTCCCCAGGAGGGCGGGCTTAAAACATTCAAGTCGCCTTGTTGCAAGTATTAGATGCTGCTGCCATCAGCTTGTGTTGGCCCTTTGATTGGCATTGCGAATGTATTCAACGTTGGATGCCACTAAATTTGCAACCAGCTGCAAATTATTACTGTGCCGCGTTCAATGGCCGAGTGGAATGAACTTTGTTAGTGAATTTCCGTCTGGCAACATTGTTCGGGGTCAGAGTTGATTGTATGCAGTGCAACATTTTGCGGTGATGTGGCATAACGGATTGGACACTAGTGGCAACTGTTAATTTTTGCCAGGCATTGCAGTCATTGGCACTTGCCACTTGCCTCACGCCAATTGTCAGTTGCCACTTGCCACTTGCCTCTCGCCAATTGTCAGTTGCTGCCCACGGGTATCATTTATTCCGGCTTGCGGCAAACAAACTGCGTTTGCTTCATCTATGCGTGGTGCATTAACCTTGACATGAATATTCACTGGACCAAGATCCATTTGGGTTTGGTTCAGAATGTTGGCAACTGCAAAACAAAGATTTACGTTAACAATTCTTATGCTTTGCATTTCGTATTTGAATGCTCGTTTGTTTTGGGGCGGACCCACAAAACTCAGACATTTTTAATTACCATTTCTAGACAGACAATCAAGAGAGAGATACAAAGCAGGAATGTCAGGGACAGTCAAGTGTTTAACCAAGGTCTGCTTTAATGTTTGGATGTTTGCATCGCACTCAAAACATTGTGAATAATGGTCAAAGCTCAAGCAATTTATATGCTAAACTCGAGTATCTACGAGTTGTATCTAACAAGAGTGTCTCAACTAAATTGTGGTTTGCAGCAGGTATCAGTCCATGTATTCTGCGTTCTGATCCTTCAAGTTGTCAGTTTCCATTTTAAAGCGCCACGTTGCACGATTGATGTTTATATTGAAATAACTATGCCACAAAATTGAGTTGAGTTTAAGTTGGTTAAAGCCTGATTGCACTAATTAATTAAAACATTTGACAGGCTAAAATCAATTTTTTGCAAGCAACTTAATAAATAAGAAGAAATGTGAAAATTAAAAAGGAATTATTATTTTTCCAGCATTATATTATAATAGCATTACATTACGATAAATTATTATCAATTAAACTAATGAATTATCTTTTGAAATAACAGCTATTTGTGAATATTGATATTATCATGAATAGAAAGCATCGATCGAAATTAGATTGTAAAGAGATTAGCTAGAAAAAATGCATGGAACTTAAAAAGCTTATTTAACTTGCTCAACACTAATTTATATAAATATTTCCTTCAACGCTTTTTTATAACTTTTTTTTAATGAAAGTCATTAAATGAATGTCATAAATTAATAGGGGTCATTTACAATATAAATATAGGTCGCTTTTGCGGTGATGTAATGGAGAATTCTAAAGAGAAAAGCTTAAATTTAGAAGGGTGGACATTACTGTTGTTGTCTGGAAAAGATTTAATTGATGATGATGATGAGGAGGTGCAATGTGAAATATTTTATAAAATTCTTAAAGGTAAAAAATCTTACGTACAGAGCATTAAGAAATCGAAATAATATTATATGATTGGATCTTTTTAGCATATTTCTGATATAATATAAGATGATTCAAATATGAATATTCGTTAAAAAAAATATGGTGGGAGGAGATTGGACTCCAAAGTAAACCAATAATGCTATTTAAGTGAGTCGAATTTTGAATTTTATTTTTGACTTTTGCTAAGTGAAAATAATGTAAAATGCAATTATTTACAATATCTAGTTGGTCATTGAATTATTATACTTATAAGTCTGTTAGTTATATCGGTTATATCGATGATATGTTTCTAACATTAAAAAATTTACTTAGTTGGGATTTGAAATTCGATAAAGGAATCTATCTATACATTTGAGTTCTGAGCTCAGTTGATTCCAAGCTCAAAAGCGAAATATTAACAACTATTTAAATTATTTGTTTTATTAGATAAAGGAAACTTGATTATAATCGAAATTATCTATTTACTTTTATACTTTGTGTGACTTTTTAGCAATGTGACATATATGTATATAAGTTTATTCAATAAACATCCAATATTAATAGTGATATACTTTTATATTTATGGAAGTCAAAGTTTGCAGCAAGTGTCGTCCCTGAGTTTATTTTCAACGCCACTTCTGCTTGGGTTGCAGCTGCAGCTGTTGTGCTGTCAGGCAGCTAACACAGAGCGAAGATACTGGCATTTTAATATGTACTTGTGTGGCACTCGTTGCACGCACTTCCTAATAGAAATGTGGTAAACGGAAAATGGGAAAAATGCTGGTTGCACTTGAGCTGCCGGCTGGTACTTTACGCTCCACATAATGTGATAAGTAAGCGCATCAATTGTCAAGTGCAGCGGCGGCAATTCAATTGCCGTTTTATTGATACTCACAGTCAAAGTGATTTGCACAATGGCTTCAATTATTTGCCACATAAGTCGAATGCATTCAGTAAGCGGCTTTTGTGGAGACATTCAATCGAATCGTATTAAAATCGAAATTCCCTTTTATTTATCTTTGCAGAGTGCGTGTGGAGTACTATGTGAATGAAAACACATTCAAAGAAAGACTGCAACTCTATTTCATTAAGAACCAGCGTTCAAGTGAGTATTTCCAATGTAATATTTACTTACTGCAGTCTATAAACCACAATTGTCTTCTCTATAAGGAACATTTTGTCCTATGCGAATAAATTCTAGATCGATTGAAAAGTTTGTAATATTTTATATCTTATTATTTTACGGAACATTTTTCGTTTGCAAAAGCAACTTTTTTTAATATTTATTGAATGAACATTCTTTACTTTACTTAAATATTAATACGTTTCTATCTTTCTTGCTATGCAATATTTTTTTGTTCTGCTTTCTTTTACCTAGCAACCATTCAAAGTGCTGCTTGAAGTAAGGTTGCTAAGTTTTACAGTATATCTCGTATATATTCAAATTTATATGTCTTTGATTTAAGTACAGATTTAAATTGGTTGTTTTCGCTTTCACACAAGTTCATAGACATATTTATGTCTCTAAATTCTCAACGTGGATCCACTCGATTTCATGGCAATCAAGTATTTTTATTGCATTTTCTGTTTAAGTGGCAAAGTGAATATTTTTTTGTTTGCGTTCCGTATAGAGAAGTACAACTGTGCCTATATTTAACTTAATTACAAACGCCTAATTGAATTTTGCTGAGGTTGAACCAGACAGACAGTAAATGCAGAGCGATTAAAGTTTTCTTAGGCCGCACAACCAATCGAATCAATTGGAAAAACAGGTGAAAGTCCAATAAGAAACATAACAACAAAAACAATAACAACAACAGCAACAACAACAAATAACAAAAGCCAAAACGGATGAGACAGACGCAATATACTTGAGTAAATATTGATTTGGATACGAAATAATTGTGCAGGTAAACAGGTTGAAAGAGTGGACAGGTAAATATTTGAACATTCAGTCAAATAGGGGTTAGTCAGTTAGTCAGTCAATCAGTCGGTCAGTTAGTCAGTTAGTCAGTTGGGAACTGACCAAAAGGTTAGGTAGATAAAAGCTGAACTAACGAACTCATGTAATTTAGTTATTTGACCTAAATTTCGTTGTGCTTTGTGCTACTTTCTCTTTCAAGGCTTACGCATACGAATTGCCGATTTATTCCTTAAGTTACTGTCGTGTGTTCTCTACATAATACGTGTGATATTGGATAAAAATCCAACATTTATAACATGGTAAGCTAAATGCCACACACAAATAACTCTCAATCAGAAAAGCATACAATATTTATTGTCATCCCTTCCCCCTTCCCCCCTTCCCCATTCCCCATTCCCCTTCCCCATCTGTCTATCTGTGCGTTTGTGTTTGTGTTCTTGTTCTCTTATCTTGCTAGCTATGGCTGCGAAGTGGCCAATAAGACAGAGTTTATCATTTCTGCCAAGCTAACGGAGGAGGAGTTCCAGGAGAATCCAATTATTAACTGGGATGCAATACTCTGGGTGAATCGCCCCACGGTGCTCTGGGTGCTACAATTACTCCTAGCCATGGTGTCGTTAACTCAATCTTTGGTTCTTACATATCTAGGCTATAAGGTAAGTAATATATTTTCAGCATGCATACAAATTTATAATGAGTCCTGCAAATTTTATATTTAAAGTGCCCTAAAAAGTTGATAATTTTATTGATAAAATTATTGACAAAAAAAAACTGAAATGAATAATCATATAAAACATATAAAACACGCTTAAATAACATTGAAAATATTTAAATTTAAAATAATTGTTGAAATGGGCATCACATAAACTCTTTTAAAAGAATTAATTCTTGATTAGCTTACAAAAAAAACCTTTTCAAAATTACAAAAAGCATCCTTTCTAATGTGAATAATAATGCCATAATAAATTAAATATGAAAGCTTATAAATATTGAATACCATTTGACCTAGTTCAATAATTTAAATATGCTTTTGCTGACCCGAAGCCAAATGTTTTTTATTTGGGATTCGTGCAGAGGAGATATTCACAGCATCACTTGATCTGGAGCCAGTGAAAAACATATTTAAAATAAATATTAAAAATATTATTACTATATTAAAAAATATATATACAAGTAAGAACGTGTGTATTGTGTTATATTAATAAGCAGTAACTGTTGTTTGTCCCACTTTTCCGATGTTTGTTTTACTTCCCAGTGGAATATTTTTATATCGAATTCTTTTTTGTTCTATTTTTCAACAGGGCAATATATGGCAGCAAATACTCTCATTTCACTTTATACTAGAATTAGTAACGACAATACCCTTTGCACTAACGGTAAGTCCAATTAAAATACTCTCAAACTCTTAATGAAGGTGCATTATTAATGATTATTGATTTTCCTTTTCCTTTTTGGTGTAGATTGTGCATCCGCCACTGCGCAATCTTTTCATACCAATTTTCCTGAACTGCTGGCTGGCCAAGCGTTCGCTGGAGAACATGTTTGTAAGTGTCTGTTAGTTAAGCCAGCCAACTAACTTTAACTCTCAACTTTATGATGCAATATTCCGTAGAACGATTTACATCGTGCCATGCAAAAATCACAATCGGCTTTGTCACAACAGTTGACCATTTTGTCGGCCACGTTGCTATGCCTTGTGTTCACCAGGTAACTGACAAAGTCTGCTAAACTAGTTTCCATTCTCTTAACCTTGCCCACTCTATATTTCTACGTTTCAAGTGTTTGCGGCATACAGCATTTCCAGCGCGCTGGTCATCGACATTTGAATCTGTTCCAGAGCACTTACTATGTGGTTGTGACCTTCTCCACGGTTGGCTACGGTGATTTCGTGCCGGACATTTGGCCGTCGCAACTGTATATGGTCATCATGATTTGTGTGGCGCTGATTGTGCTGCCCACGCAGGTGAGTAACTGCATTTAATGCCTGACTGCCTCCGGTGCTACACAGAGGAGCCACTGCCACAGCCACAGCCATAGCCACCACCACCAACAACATCAACAATAATGCCAGACTTCAACAAACTTTTCGACTGTGGACTATCTGAGCAGTATCGACGGGTTCGAATATTGGTAGTCAACGTGTATACATACAGTTTTAAGCTGCTTAGCTGCCACGACTCCAGTGTCCAGGCCATCAATCAATTTTGCTATTAACAAATGAGTCCTGCGACTGGTCATCAATCTGTCTAAAAATGACTCATGGCCAGCATTGACTTGCACTTGTTTGCCATTGGGTCAAAAACAATTAACGAGTAATTGTCAGTAGCATCTAAAAGTTCTACGGAACAATATGACAGACTGCTCGCCGAGTATTGGCCAAACAAGAGCATCAATCAAATGCTCCATGTTTTTTTTCATAGCATACTTTTCGGCGCTGGCTGCAGGCGCTTCTGTCAAACAAGCGCAAGCTGCATGTCATTTTTCGCGACGCGATCCAACAATTTATGACCGTCCATAACAATAACAGCAACATTGTGACCAAACTGTTAGCTGTCTGCTTGTGCGTGTGGGCGTTTGGGCGTTTGGGCGTGTGTTTCGCCTGTTTTGGAACGGAAGCAAAGCACTTAAATTTAATTGAAATTATTAATGCTGCAGCACAAACTGCAATGGAGTTAAGCAAAAGGCCGTCGCTGTCAATATGTAGTGTCATCAATCTATCAATTCATGGCCATCTATTTTATAGAATCAAAAAATATACATATATGCGTATATTTATAAACTGTATATTGACTGTTCAATGTACACTTAATTGAATACACATTTTAATTACACATTTTCGAGTGTGATTATAGTTAAGAATATTATAATTCAAATAAAATTTCTTCTGTGGTATAGCTGCCATTTCGGGTGTATCATACAAATTGAATACATGATGATGACTAAATGAATATATGATGATGATGAGTCACTCAAATAAACTAGGTATTATCAGTAATTTAATCCCCACAAGCACCTCATAGCCACCCACGTGACTAAAGCTCGGCAGTAATAGAAATCCTTAACCCGACCAAGATTCTTCCATTTATTGAGGATGATGATATAGCCATAGCCTCAGAAAGTTACACAATAAATCTAATCAGCTGTCAATGCATAAATTAAATTATAAGTAAATCGAAATATTTAAAAATATCGATTGTATTTTGGGGAAAACTAATTTAAATCCTTGTAAATTGCAAATTTGAAATGCAGTTTGAACAATTGGCTTTCACGTGGATGGAGCGCCAGAAACTGGGAGGCAGTTATTCCTCACATCGTGCACAGAGCGAGAAGCATGTTGTTGTGTGTTCCACAACGCTGCATGCGGATACGATAATGGATTTTCTGAACGAGTTTTATGCGCATCCACTGCTGCAGGACTTCTACGTGGTGCTACTGAGTCCCATGGAGCTGGACACAACGATGCGAATGATATTACAGGTGCCTATTTGGGCGCAGCGCGTCATTTACATTCAGGTTGGTTCAATGGATTTGATTTCGGAATTGCATTCACACATTTTGGCATTAAACTTTGGCATTTGACAGGGATCCTGTTTAAAGGATGGCGACTTGGCACGAGCACGCATGAACGAGGCGGAGGCTTGTTTTATATTGGCAGCTCGCAACTATGCCGATAAAACGGCTGCCGATGAACACACCATACTACGCTCCTGGGCTGTCAAGGACTTTGCCCCAAATGTCCCACAATATGTGCAGATATTCAGGTGAGTGGCTCGCGTGCGTGTCTCCATTGAATGGCAACAAGCCCCAGTTAATTTGCTTCAATTACTGCTTACGCGCTGAGCGCATTCCACAACTCAACTAACCTAAATATATATACATATATATATATATATATATATATATATATATATACTCTTATCTGCTGCATATACGCTTTGACCAGACCGGAGCACAAGCTGCATGTGAAGTTCGCGGAGCACGTGGTTTGCGAGGATGAGTTCAAGTACGCGTTGCTGGCCAACAACTGCACTTGCCCCGGCGCCAGCACACTGGTCACACTGCTCCTGCACACGTCACGCGGACAGTACGTATACATGCACACACACATACAACTCTACACTTAGCAAAAAAAAAGCAGAGAAATCGCCATGAATTTTAGAAAATCGCCAAGCATAGTGGTAAAAGTATTACTCAGAAAACACATTTCTTTGATGTTGTGTCTTTCTATAAATCTGAGTTTTACCTTTCGCAATTTCAAGTTGGATTTCCAGCGTTTGTTTTTTATGCTCATTTACAAACATCATTTAAATTATTATTATTTTTGTGTGGCTTATTTTATTATTAAACAATATTACAATAAAACACTTTTAATAGTTAATTAATATTATTTAATCTAAACTTAATATTCATTTAATTTTTTGTTCCTTTTCTAAAAATGTTTCATAATTAAGAAATGTGTTTCTTAAAAATAGCAAAATTAATGATTTCTAAAAGAAGAAGAACTATAGTTCCCAGAGTGATTTTCAGGTTCTTGGTGATATTTTTCTGAGTGTATGAACATACATATATCCTGTCCAGTCAACTGTTAATGGTCAGCCAAAGCACTAGAAAAAAGAAATTTAGCTCACATGCGTCATCAGCTTTGCCGCCGTGATGCGTCACAGTTCATTGCCGTAAAATATATCGTATATATGTGTCAGCTGGTAATTCACATCTCGCTATTTATGGTATGATATCTCTTCGCTGACTTCATCAACAGCAAGGCGACAGTTTACTGCTGACCATTTTACAAAATATTTTTAAATTGAAGCGGAACAATGCTCCAAGCCACAGAATAATTGCTAAATGGATAAAAGTGAAGGCATCTTAAGGGTTGTCAAAATAAATATATAAATAGAGTACTGAATTTAATTTATGTTTTTGACATATTTAATTAGCTTTATTTTTGTTTTAATTACCGATATTTAAAATTTATATACTTCTATCCAACTTTTCCTGACATTCAAGTAACTCAGTTGAAATTATATAAGGGATATTAGAATATTAGAACGTTAAACAAATATTTCCATATTTAGAAAGTAAATATAAATGAATCTTAAATCCCACAAATTGATGAAGGCGAAGTTGAAGCTCTTTAAAAAATAAACCTTGAAGCTTTCATATTTATAATATTCTTACTCAAATCGGAGCTGGTCAGTATTTAAAATTATTTAACCCTATGAAAAGAAGTGCAGTGGGCAAATTGTTAATTGAATTTCTTCCAAACTTATTTCGTATGTGTATTTTCTTATGCGGCTCTTCAATTGAAAACCCATTATAGAGTATTAAGACTAAAATTAAGAAGATTCTCTTTATCATGCTAAATATCAGCCATTAGTTGGAGAAATAAACGACGCGATGCGACTTCAATTTGAAGTGCGCGTTTTAATTAAGTTTAATGCGCAATTGTTTCTGACAGCAAACTGTGTTTTATGTAAATTTCCCCAGTCGTCCACAAGTGCGTAAAACACAAAAGAAAAATAAAATAAAAAACAAAGAGAATACAAAAAATAAATGAATTAAATGCTCGCTCGTTGGCTGTGGCTTCAATTTGAGGACGTGTTTTCATTTCGACGAGCAACACGCAAGCCAGATTAATCATACGACGCGTAAAACTTGACGCATTAGTCAAGTGAGGAATTCTAATTAGTGTTATCATGGGCGGCGAGGGGGCGTGACGGCAGTCGCGCTTTAATTTTTTTTTTTGCGGCCAGACGAGAATTTCAATTGAATTGAAAGTTGAAACTTGAATCTGGAAACTTAACTCACCTTTTTGGCTCGAAAATGTTAACCTCGTTTTCTGTGTTCCTCGCAGGGAAGGCCAACAGTCGCCAGAGGAGTGGCACCGGCTCTATGGCAAATGTTCGGGCAACGAGATCTATCACATTGTGCTCGGCGACAGCCGCTTCTTCGGGGAGTACGAAGGCAAGAGTTTTACCTATGCCAGCTTTCATTCGCATCGCAAGTAAGTGAGGCAATTCAAAATGCTTTTTGGGTAACAAAACTGCTTTCACTGAATAACTTGACGTTTGAATGGTGAATGACGGTGGATGATGGGGGTGTTTTTTGCGCTTGTTTTTTGGATGGATGGGCATAAATAAATGCCAACTTGCTCACTCGTCTCACATTTTTGTTAGACGCATCGCCCATTCAAGAACAAATTTATGTAAAATGCCAAAATTGCTTTACATTTAAATATTTTCATATTTATTTATTTATTTTGCACTCTCCCGAAAATATATATATATATATAAAAAAAAAGGTACGGTGTCGCCTTGGTGGGAGTGCGTCCGGCAGAGCTGCCGGAATTCTATGAGGATACCATACTGCTAAATCCAGGGCCCAGGCACATTATGAAAAAGGATGACACGTGCTATTACATGAGCATTACCAAGGAGGAGAACTCGGCATTTGTCGTTAATCAAAATCAAACTACGGATACAACAACCGCAGCCGGCAAAGATGGTGGCCCAACCAGCAGTGGTGCTGCCACCACTCATCCACATCCAACTGGTGGGTAGAATGCTGCATATAAACTAATATTGACATATGTTATAGTGTGTGTATTCGAGTGTGTGTGTGTGTGCGTGTGTGTGTGCGTGTCTCTCTGTGTTGGTATTCATCAAATTAAATAACAAGCTAAAAAAAGAAAGTAAAATGAAAACACGTCTGAATGATTTTGAATGAACTTCGCTGCAAATAAGCCCAAAAATTTGGAAAATTTTATGAATAAGTTTATTTTTTACTTAGCAACATTTTTCTTCTGTTTTTTTTTTCTGTTTGCTGTTGGTTTTTGATGCTGCCAACAGTTGCGTATTCGCAAGAAGTTTTATAATTTATATGTCTGTCTCCTTATTTGTGTATTTTAATTTAATCTCGTTGCGGTTGTCAATTTGTCTACTAAACAAGAAAGAAAAACATAAATGAATCAAAACGCTTTAGATGTGTGTGCGCGTGCCCGTTTCTAATAACCATTATTAATTTTGTCTTGAAAGTTGTGGTTCTTAATTTCATCAGTTAATTATCTTGTACTGAAACTCATTTCAAAGAAATAGATAATGACAAACAAATAAATAAATAAAATCCGGAACACACCGCTTTGTTATGTTTGACAATTTTTTGGCTCTTTAAAAATTTCCTCCAATTTCTCTATAATTATTATCTACTTCAATTGCCTCTTGAGCTAAATTCGCTTACCAATTATTTCTATACTTTGAAACAACATTTCTAGAGTTAGCTGAACATATATAAGATTATATTGGAGCCTTAAGCCACTTCCAAGCAAATATTCGGAAAGTAAATAAAAGTCCCCTTTGGAAGTGGTTTCCATAAGATTCCCAATCTAACTCGTATTGCTGATTTCTAGTAACTCAGATAGAATAAATACATAGACAGAGATCTATGTTCACACACCAATTGATCCATACAAAAAGATAGTTTTCAAAAATGTACTGTCAACTCTGAGAACATTTAATTGGAACTAAAAAGTAAACATCACTTGAAACCTTACACACACACACACACACACACACACACATGCACTCACACGAAGACACACACACGCACACACACACACACGCAGATACACCCACACACAGAACCATTCAATATTAATATAGGTATATCGTATAATATATCAAATCGTATAATGTATGCGTAGCCAATACAACAACATCAACAACAATACAATCAACAAGTACAACAACAACAACAACTACAACTACAATAACAACAACAACAACAATTAGCACGACTCTTACATCATCAACATTATTATCAGCATCAGCATCAACAACAACAACAGCAACAGCAGCAACCGCTTTGAATCAAGCGGCCATTGCACCAGTGCCGTCTGTTTGTGTTCGTGTGCCCCACTGTCCCACATACGAGTCTGGCGCCGGCACGCCCTTTGGCGAGCGGCAACACTTGCAACCGTATCCGTATCCGCAATCGTCACCGTTCCCGTCACCGTCACCGTCACCGTCACCGCAACCGTATCCGCAACAATTGCAACAACAAACATGTGACAGTGATTATACAACACTATTTGTGCGTGAGTGTGACTCCAAAAACCAAACCCCCATCCAAGAAAATACAAAAATCCCCCTAAGCAAATGACAATTTGAACCGGAATGAAATCAACAACTCCAATGTTAACAAATAATCAAAAACAAATGAATCAAATCCAAAAATATTAATCAAGTTTCAACTTTGAACCACCTTCAAAACATAAACATACTTTTAGCTTTACATATACTCTTTCTTTCTATATATATTGTTATTTCTCTTTCTTTCCCTATCTCTCTCACTCCCTACATATATACATATACATGTTTTTTGTCTAGAAAAATTAAATTTTGCCCACATTCGCCAAAATGCCTTTAGCCAAAGCGACCAATCCTCCCACCCTGAAAACCATTTCCGCTGTTCAAAAGCCATTAGCGACAACTCTGTCACACACAATAACAAGTTCCAAGATACACACAATCGCACACACACACACACACACACACACACAATTTGTCAATAAACATCCGGCTGAACACTTTTTGTTACTTCCGCTATTCTATTTTTGTCTTTGCTTCATTTTGCTTACTGCACTTGTTGTTCGATTGTTCCAATTTCATCGCATGTCTCATATTACACCCCTTTTCATTTATTTTCTTTCCTTTTCGTTTCTTTCTGTGCACCTTTATTGATAGTAGCTATTGTTCTATTGATGTTCCCCGTCTATTGTAAATTATACGCAACGTGCACGCAACAATTTGTTAGCACTACGCTCAATACAAATTGCGTATACGCCGTGTGGTGGCAACTGTTGCGTGTTGTCTGGCTAGCCAAAGTGTCTGGCAACAATTTATATAGTCGCTGTTGCGTTCGCTTGTCGCATAATTAAAGCGTAACAAGAGTCAGCAAATGTGGCAAAGTCATTAGGCAAGTCCACTTGGGTTTGGATTGGAATAAGCTTTAAGCAAACGCAATTAAGTCCCAACTGCAAACGCTGACTGAAACCCAATTTTATTTTTGGCCAAAAACTTGTAAGCAGCCATTGCCACTAGCCAATGACACTTGCTGTGAATGAAGCGCCCAACGAATATGTAATTTATTTTAGCTGTGAGCGAAGAGTTTTTAACAGACCATTCCACAAATGTATTTAATAGTTTATTGTTTATTCCAGTGTAAAACAATACCCCAAAGTATTAATTGTAATTAGACCATATTCTTCATGTGTTCTGTGTATTAAAAAACTCCCTTATAACCTTATATCACTATGCTATATGCACATTGTTTATACAATTAATAAGCAGCAAATAATAAGTAAATTCAATTAATCTTATATCACTATTATTTTAAAGTAAGCACTCAGTGTACAAAAAAGTATCCCTTACTTTTTATACTATGCACATTTAAGAGTGTGAAAAATATTGATGATGGAATCAGGCTATTAAAGCTTAACTAACTGACACAACGGCCAAGGAATGATTCAGCCAATATTCGTTGCCTTAATTCAAGTTTGTCTGATGCACCTCAATTTACATTATTTAATTTGACTATTAAATAGTTTTCAAAGTTCAAAGTGCCATTATGTGTATATTGTGTATGTAATTTAGAGGTAATTTCAAGCGCTAGTTAAACGCTGCCATAAGATTAATCCAATACGTTGGCCGCTTTAGGCTCGTGTCACTGGCTCGTTGGCTAAAGTCTGCTGCTGCTGTTAACCAATTCAGCAATATGTACACAGCTTTGGGAGCACAGTTTTCGTTCTCAAATTGCAAGGACTTTAATGAGTTTGACAACTCCTTTTCTTGCACGTCGATTTTCTCTCCTACTCTCCTTGTTTCTGTGTTTGCTAGATTTTGCTGGTTTTGTGTACGTTGTTCTGCTTCTTATATTCTAATTGTTTATTCCTTCGTCTAAAATGTTAGTGAATTTCTTGTAGAGCAAGCGAAACTTTGTTCAAGTAGCGATAAATTTTACGCCTAATTACTTTACCTTAATGCACTGTCGTCATTTGAGCATCAAGAAGAACATTAAACGAAATTTTGTACAACTTTGTTGCATTTACTTTCGCAAAAACTGACAGCCAGCGACCACCCAACGGCTGTGATAATATCGGACTCAAGGCAGAATCTAAAGGACACAACGGTGAGCACAACGCATCTCCCAACTGCGGCAACAACAACGACCACAATAGCATCCACAACGCTGCCCCTAACAATGGGCGCACAGCCCGGCTCCAGCAGCAGTGGAGCGGGTGGTGGTGGTGGTGGAGGCGGTCTCGGAATGGGTCTCAACATGGGCACCTCGCTGAGCATAACACCTGCGCACAACACCACTGGAAATCATCTGGAATTACCATATGCCAACAATCCCAATCTACTCAGTCCCGATGTGCTCAATCAGCGTAGAGGTAAGCATCTAGACTTGGAAACAAATGACAAAGGAATTATAGAAAGTCGCCAAGTCAGCTCACAGAGTTTTCAAATCTCAATTTAAAGTAACAAATATTATAAATATTTTTATTCAAATAAAATACAAATAATTAATTATGATTAAAATAAAGGACATCATAATTCTGGGGGTATTAAAATGTTTAGAGGAATCGTTTATAATTTTAAGAAATATTTATTCACAAGTTCTTCAGCATACTTTGTACGCTTAGCTTTATTGTTAACTATTTCTCTGCTTAACTAACCTTTATCCATATCTCTGCATCTGGAACATAGGTAGTCGCAGACCCTCCATACTGCCCGTGCCGGATATGTTTACCTCCTCCTCGTTCAGCATTGCCGGCAACGATGATGGCGACGAGGGCGATGAGAGCGATGATGAGATCGATGACGAGATGCCCTGGCGATCGCCCTCTGAGAAGATTGCGTAAGTTCTGAGCCTGAATTTCTGTGTGACACTGAAGTTTTATTTTCTAACCAAGCAATTGATAATTGAGGCACTTTCCCCCGCCCTTGTACTATAGTATTAAATATGCATAACTGTATTGTGTACACCCAATCATAACCCAATGACCAATGCAATCTCCAAATGCACATAGCCTACAACCAAACTAACCTCTAACTGTATTCCATAACTGTACAAGATAAGTGTACCTCTACCTCCTGTTTTGTTTATAAGAAATAAACCCTCAATTTGGCGTACTATCAACAATCTAACGAAATTTCTTACAATTTATGTATATATCATATGTATATAGTGTGAAAAGGCGATATTTTCAGCATTAGTGTGTTAGGTTCTTAATTGTTAATTAAATATTTTTATCTATAAGTCAAATTCAGAGTCTCTTTCTAGTCGCATTTTGCATCACTTTATTCCTTTATTCTTCCTTACATCCTACATTTGCAATTCTATTCACCGGACAATTTCGAATAACTATAATATTCAAAAAAAATCCCATAATCACTGCATATTGAAATTATGACTTATATACTTTTAAATATATATTTAAAATCAATGTAATATGACATGAAACTTTCAAATTTATCGTGACTGATCATTATTATCTCCATCAATTATTAATTTGATTTGTAACTCAAGTAGTTTTCTACGAACTGTCGACAACATTTAAGTCCAAAGTCCGGAAAATGCGAAATCAGTTATATTGAACTCTATTTTTTATTAAACAATTTTCAACACTATCAGTTCTCCGGTTAATCCCTAAGTCTAACTACGATAATCCTATCTTTCTTTAATTTGCATCGTTTTTATTTAATATTATTTGTATGTAATTTCTATATAATTAAGTTGGTAATATTTCACAAGTTTTGGTCTGATTTAGTTATTTGCTCTGTTTTTTCCAATTCCTTGTAGTAAATTTTGAAGTTTATTATTTTTTCATGTAATAAATAATTAAAATAAATAAAAAAAATAATAGTTTTAATAAAAACTGTCGAATATTTTATATACATTATTTTTTATATTTATTTTAAATTTTAATTTATTTATAATTTTTTTTTGTTATAAATTATTTAATTATTTAATATTTAAATTTATTTAAATTTAATATTATTTCAATTTTGCATTAAATTAACAATTTCTTAAACTAAAATCAGTCCACAAGTACGTAAAATAAAATCAAATATTTTATTACAAATAACAATGCTGAAAATATCGCTGAAGCCCTGTCTCTATATACTATGTAAATATGTATGTACTCATATATAGTAAATGTCGCATTAGTTGTAATCGCATTAGCTTAGCTTAGACTATTGTGCCGAATGAAACGCAGCCCAACTGACACTCCCAGTTGACTCTCGCAGTTGCTTGGGCGGTCACTTTCCACAATCGCGAACATATTCGCTCATCATGAGCTCCTCGGAGGACTCGTATCAGCGGGGCAGCGTAGCTGGCTCCTGTCTCTATTGCAGCGCGAATGAGTGGCCGCCTGCACCGGTGCGCCGGCGTGCCATGAAGAAGAGCTACAGCTGTGACAGTGAGTGCGTCCTGCCCACCGCCACCGGTCAGCGGTTGATGCAGGGCGCGGCAACGGGGATGGGAATGGGGATGGGGATGGGCGGTGGCACGCTTGCGATGCTGGCGGCACGACGGCGTCAGCTGCAGAGGTGCTGCTGCAGCTTCTCGCACGAAAGCAGTGGCAGCACCACAACAACAACCACCTCCGCCACAGCGGCGCTGGCGCTGAGCACCACACAAATGGGCAACGTGTCCGGCCAGCAGCCACCGTCGTCTCTGCCACCTCAGCCGCCTCTGCCGCCAGCTTTTACATTCACGTCAAGCAGTTCCGTTGAGACGCGTCGCTTGGCGCGTCCGGTTTGGGCATCCGACCTTTCCGGGTAAGTTGGAAAACTTGGGAAAGGGAGGGACGGAAGCCACCAACTTGGAGTAACCATTTTGGAACGTTCCATTGTTGAAGAGTTGTTATCGTTGCTCGTTCCAGTTTCAGTTCCAGTTGCAGTTGCAGTTGCAGATGCAGATGCTTGTGCTGTTGTTGTTACTCTTTCTCAGTTGCTTATGCAATGTTTTTTTGTTGCCTGCGACAGTTGCTAGTTTCTTGCCTCGGGGCAGCTTTTAATGACTTGCAACGTTCACCTTAAACACAGCGTGGAACCACTTGAGCATTGCTGATGATGCTTCTCTGCTGCCTTTACACAAATACTTATATACCCTGCCAGTGCCAAGTCCCCCACAGGGTATCTGGCAATTAACAACTTATATTTCTGCGAGAAAAAAAAATTAATTTCCGTTGTCTAAATTTACCTTAATTAAATTCGAGGTGTGTCTGCTTATACGAAATAGTCTCTTAGTTTCTAAATAACAATTATGCAACTTTCTGTAAACAAAATCTAATTTCCGTTAAATGAAAACAATGTGGAATTAAATTCAATTCAATTTCGGTCTGTTGTTATGCGAAGTAGTCTCCTATAGCCTGATTCCAATAGGATGATTTTTCTGTGAGAATATAATTATAAAACAATAAACTAAATAAAATAAATGCCACAGCCACTTTTCCGCAAATGAAGCATTAATAACAATACATTATAAAAATAAATTCAATGAATTAAACTATAATTGTATTTTAAAATAATATTTTTCAAATATCAACTATTTATAAATATTGATGTTTGCAATAATCTTCATAACATGGACACAAAAAAATACCCGAAATATTCGGGGCGAATTTCTAACATTCACAACATAGTTTACGACTGTTGAATGTATTGAATGTTGCCCCTTATGGAAAAATATACATGTGTTACTTGTAGTCATTCAAGAATGTAAGATATTTTTATGGTGGAATCAGGCTAAGCCTAATTTATTTTGTAGAGTTTGGAAATATTACATTAAATATTTATTACTTTATAAATTTGTTTAAGCACATAAAATGTAATAGAATATTAATTAATAGAATAAATAAATATATATAATGTAATAAAAAAGTTAAGTGCCAAGTTCCAAAAAATAATCTTTAGAAACAAAGACTCAACTACTTCGTATAAGAACTAAAAATATATTAATTGATATTTTAATAAAACAAAAAAAAAATATATTTATAAAACGCATTAAAAAAACATGTTATATTTGACATTCTGACTCTGTCTGCTAAAATGTTTACAAATATTTGTAATTTGAAACTTTCCAACTTTTCTTAATTATTGCTAATCTCAAATGTAACAGTTTTAATAGATTATAAATATTTTTTGCGTTCAAAAAGGCTGTCTACATAAAAAGTGTTGTTCGATCTTGTTACAGCATATCACACAGTCGATCATTTCGACTATTTAATGTCAATCCTAATTGTGCTGCTGTTATTGTTGTTGCTGCTTCTGCATCTTTTTTGGTTTTGTTTGCTTTGTGCTGAGTTGCATTTTGCATTTTGCATTCATAGAAAATGTTGTCGCTTCAAGCTGTTGTTCTTTGGACTGTTTGTTTTTGGTATCTTTTACCGTTGCCGTTGCTGCCTTAGTTGCCTTAGTTGCTGTTCATTTACAGTGTTGAGCTGTGCAATTAAATGCGCTGTTGTCTGAAACACTGAGGAGCAACACGGGGGGGTTGTCTCTAATATTTAAATTGGCATCAGCTGTTCCTAGACGTAGCTTACAAATGCTGGCGTGTGTTGCACGTTAATTGCATGCACTAACAATCCCCACAGAAAACTATGTAAAAACCACAATTAAGATAAATAGCCAAGAGCTCTGTAGATACATTTCTTTAAGATACATTGTTGTAGTTCGTAGTCACTTTAAAGATACTGCAAGTTACTTTTATGATTTAAGCTCAGTGTGTAAAATACTCTGCTCTTGATGTTCATAACCTGCATTCATCATTTGCCTAACGCTTGTCCTTTAAACTATACGCTTAACATTAAATTCGAGCAATTGTTTGTTTTGAGCGCATTTTCATACCATCCACAAACGCTCACATTTTGTACTTTGCAGGATTGTCAAAGGTTTTCCGCCAGTTTCGCCCTTCATCGGGGTCAGCCCGACACTTTGCTACCTGCTCAAAGAGAAGAAGCCACTCTGCTGCCTGCAACTGGCCCAGGTGAGTTCGCCCAGTCAACAGAAAGGATCTTTGCTGAAATATTCGAAATATTGTTTTGGGGCAGGTGTGTGAGCACTGCAGCTATCGCAATGCCAAGGAGTATCAGTGGCAGAACAAGACCATAATTCTGGCCGCTGATTATGCCTCGAATGGTATCTACAATTTCATCATACCGCTGCGTGCTCACTTTCGCTCCAAGACCTCGCTGAATCCCATCATTTTGCTGCTAGAGCGTCGACCGGATGTCGCCTTCCTCGATGCCCTCTCCTATTTTCCATTGGTGAGCCCTTCTCGACCTCAACTCCATTGAGCTATCCTTTCACGATCTATGTGCTGTAGGTGTATTGGATGCTTGGCTCCATTGACTGCTTGGACGATCTGCTGCGGGCTGGCATTACACTAGCCGAGAGTGTTGTTGTGGTCAACAAGGAGCTATCCAATTCCGCCGAGGAGGACTCACTTTCCGACTGCAACACCATTGTTGCTGTGCAGAATATGTTCAAGTAAGTAAAATCATTCTAAATTTCAAATGTTTTAAAATATTAAATATATAATTTATGATTTATTTATGATTGAAGTAAAACAAATATAATTACATTGGGATGAAAACTCTTAAGCTTTTATATAGTTTGACTATATTCATTTCATTAACGAATAGTAAAATAAATGTATTTTAATAATATTTAGTAATATTTACTTATATTTTTGCATAGAGATTGATTAACTCTTATTAACTATATTAACTATAATTTCATTTAATCAAGAATTGAGCTATCAAAAAATATACACAGATCAGGCTTACTTACAAATTCTACCTTTTTGGTGAAATCAATCAATACACTTATGGATATAGCTTAATATTTACCCATTAAAAATAAGTTGCCTTCGGTAAGACAACTTCATAATTCACTAAAGAGTTTTTATAAAACTTTAACGACCTTATTAAGTCTTTTCCAAAGCTTTCGCTTAAGTATACGTATATAGACTAGTTCGAAATGATTTAAATATGTTTAATAACAGACTGAATCACAAATGAATACATTTATAGGAATTAAACTGGCCACAAGATGAACTTCTCCTTTGAACTTTTTCAATATTTTTTAAGCTTTCGATTATAGATATATTTATTCTACTTTAATTAAGTGTAAATATATCATTCGAAATGATTTTAATTGCTTGGTTTCTCTTTCTCGGTGCATTGCTCGATTCAGATTCTTTCCGAGCATCAAGAGCATCACGGAGCTGTCGCAGAGTTCGAACATGCGATTCATGCAATTCCGGGCACACGATAAATACGCGCTGCATCTGAGCAAAATGGAAAAGGTCGGTAACAATGGGCCCGTTGCGGTGTTCGCCGCAGTTGTCATTGGTTAATTTGTCGCTCACTTAATTGCAGCGCGAGAAGGAACGCGGTTCGCACATCTCCTACATGTTCCGTTTGCCCTTTGCGGCCGGAGCGGTCTTCAGTGCCTCCATGCTGGACACGCTGCTTTACCAGGCGTTCGTCAAGGACTATGTGATTACGTTTGTGCGCCTCCTGCTTGGCATTGATCAGGCGCCGGGCAGCGGATTTCTAACCTCGGTGAGTGTGGCCTCGACTCAAATCCGATTATGGATTATTAACTGTCTCTCTCTCTCTCTTGGTTTGTATCTTTTGGCAGATGCGCATCACCAAGGATGATATGTGGATACGCACGTATGGCCGCTTGTATCAGAAACTCTGCTCGACGACCTGCGAAATACCGATCGGCATTTATCGCACACAGGATACCTCAAATGCGGATACGTCACATGTGAGTAGCTCGCCGGTCGAAAGATGGGGTCCCTTCTCCGCCTTCAGCAGGCATTGCGTGCGCTTGCGTCCATCGGTGAGTCCAAAACAAATGCAGCAAATAAATAACTAAAAAAAAAAAAAAGAAAAACAAAAAAAATATACCCTCAAATTTGGGCTCTCCACAATAATCTATTCAGTCAATTGAATTGGCGGCACAATAAACGAATTAAAACAACAAAAGAATTTTCTCTTTACCTTATGTACATTACACATACATTTCAAACACACACACAGCCTGTCTCTTTCTCTGTCTATCTCTCTCTCTCTCTCTATCTCTCTCTATATATATATATATATTACTCTGTCTATCTCTTGCTCACACAATTTCGATTGATTTCGATTGATTTCGATTTGTCATCGAAATTGATTTGATTCGCCTAAAAAATTAGGTACACGCAAAACGCTGAAATTAGTTTTATTTGAGCCTCTTAAGCATTTGGTTTTTAATTTTATTATTTTTATATGCGCAGGCATTATAATTTTGTATTATTTCGATAAGTTTCGAAATTATTTGTTTTAATTGGTTGTCGATTGTTTTTCAAATCACACGCTTACGCTTCGAAACTAACTGCATTTGAGACGAGTCTGCGATAACTTAAAAATACTTCATTTGCATATTATACTCAGTACTTGTATGCATATATTACTTACCCATAAGTACTCGTATACTATATCATTTACTACTCAACTACCTAGTATACCAACTCTATTTTTCAATTATTACTAGAACTTAATGAACGTAATGGCAAAGCTAAAGATATTCTCGAACTTTCAATTAACGTAACTATAACTTGCTTTCAAATATTTAGAGTTTTAATCATACATATGCTTAGCCGAATTATAAATTAAATAAACCCCATCCTTACTAAAAGAAAGCATAGCGTGCTGATTCAGTATTAATTGACACAATTCCCAAATTAATTTTGTACATATTTTAAAAATAAATCCAAGTTTGTAGTTTTTTCTTTTACATATACTTTATTCAATAGCCAGTCGCAAGTTGGTATACCCCAAAACCCCTGTTTCTACTCATTATTAGCTCATTTCTGCCTAAGTAAACACACACATGAGTTAACAATATGATGAACCCCATCGCGCATTCCCCGTCCTCATCCAATAACTGTTGATCTTCTGTTGCTAAATATGATAATCCAAAATTATTGATCATACAAACCACTAACTTAACATTTGCCTAAATGTTAAACAAAGAAAATAAACTAATTGATTTGCGTTTGTATTGGACTTGACCAGCTATTGAAAAACGCACACGCACGCAGTGAGTCATATTATTAAATAGACTAGTCGAAAGGAACTACAACAAAAACAAAAATACAAAAAAATATAGTAATTAAATACTAATCAAAAACACCAAATCAAAATATTACAATTCTCCTATAACTCTGCCTGTCGCATTCCTATGGCCAACAACCACATTTGCTTGCCGTGTGTGTGTGTGGTCGCGTGTGTGTGTGTGTGTGTGTGTGTAGATATAGTTCAATTTGTTAGGATTTTGCTTGCATGACTCTGTTCATCTTCTTGCTGTTGTTGTTATTTATTTTTGCTTTCGTTTTTCTTTTTTTTTTACATTTGCATGCAGGCCTTTTAGTTGGCTAATTGCATGCGTCTGTTGTGCGACCTGCACCACAGGACAATAGCTGGACACAAACAACATTATTAATATAGGCATTGTTAAGACACACCACAGACAACACCCAACACCCGCAACCCCGCAACCCCGTTTTCCCTTAGCCCCACAACTTATTTGCTTGTTTTCTGCTGTGTTGTGTTAATCTATCCAATCTTTAATAATATAGAGTATATATATATATCACAAGCTACGGTTCCACACCGAAACGCCACTTGTTAAAATTGTGCCTTATACACTTTGCTATTGATTCTAATTAAGAACGGAGGTATCATATAATATCATCTGCAAGATTATACATATTTGCCGATAATTCTATAAGAAACAAACATAAGCAAAAACTGCAAAAATAAAGTACAACTAAGATAGCTTCAATCCAGAGAGCTTGACTTTAAGACACGCAGAATATTTTTATCACAGATATATTATGTCAAGTTATATTGAAAGGTATTGTAATTGAAAATATTTGTATTTTAAAAGAGGCGCTTTACTTTCTTGAAATATCAGTTGATTGTGGCATTGATATTGCCAAAACTTTCGATGAATTATCATTTATAACATTCGCAACATACTTTACAAATGTTGTTCCTTATGGGAAAATACACAAACAAACTGTGCACATTCAAGAATGTAAGATATGATGATACTGATTCAGCTGTAGATCCTGATATATTTATATAACTTATGAGATTGGAGATGCTTCCTTCTGCCTGCATTTGCACAACTTCATTGCAAATTTTGTTATTACCTTCATCAAATGACATTCGGCAAAATGTTTTCCTGCAAATAAATTGATGTACCCAATCGAGGCCTTTGACCAAACTCTATTTGCATGTGGAATCGTAGGTCTAATCTCTTAATGGTTTTCTCTTAAAAGAAACACAAGCCTATTCGCCATTGAACTTTGTACAGCTGCTTTTCATCTGAAATGTTGATTGCTAGTTCCTTTCAATAAATCACGTTTTCATTTGCAGTTCCCTGCAAGCCTCGCTGTTGAAATGCTAATTAAAATGATTTGTTTGATGAAAAAATCGATGCAAATTACAAAAGTTGTGCTTAAGCCGACACTTGTTTATAATATAAAGTTGCCTTGTTGAGTATTTTAAATAGATGTGTTGAAAGAAAGACATGCTAAAATGCGCTTGGCCAGCACCAGATCAAATATAATTTAAATTTTGTTGCTAGTTTTCATTTTAATTGCTCTTGATTGATTTTACTTAATTTATGATGTAAGCTAAATACACGTTAAATAAAAACTGGACATGTTTTGGCTTTTAGTTATAAGCTTTTTATATGGCATGATATACAATACATTAAATGTTACCTTGTTTCGGCCACACACACAAATATACAAATACATCCATATATATATATATATATATATATATGATACATGATAAAATCGTTAACATTAAATGAGCATAAAGCCCGAAACAACAACAACGAATACTCCATGATTCTTGCACAATGCTGAACAATCTGCCATTTCAATTAAAAAACAATTAAAAATGTAAATCATTTTGTGTTTAACTGAAATTCATTGAAATTTGCATACAATCCATCTGACCATACGACCGAAATTACGCACAGTACGATGAGGAGACCGCCACTCCCGACTCCACCAAGGATAGCTCCGAAATGCTGCGAGGCGTCACATATCGTCCCCCCTCGTCAGGTGGTGGCGCCTCGTCCAGTTACCGTCCGCGCCAGAAGTCGGTCAACTGCCTAGGTGGCTGTTCGGAGCGAAAGGGATCATCCGTAAGTACATCATACAAAAATAATTGAAAAACCAGAGCACACGGCAATTTAATAGCAGGCCTTCAATCCCCCCCCATCCCCCCGTCGAGGTAGGTGAGATTTTGCGTTTTGTGGTTCTTGAACGCTTTGACGCATGCTGTTGGATTTGGATGCCAGAAACTAAGTACATCCATGAGATTGTTTCATTAGCTGCACACGCACACACACACACACACACACACAAATACCCATATTTATATACATTCCAATGTAAATAACGCAGACATTATTAAAGGTAGCTAATTAAATGTTTACCCTCCTCATTTACTATCATCTTTTGCAGTACTCGATTAATCTGGCTGATGAGGCACGCGATAATCATGCCCAGCAAATCGAAAGAGCCGAAATTGCCAATCTGGTGCGAAGTCGCATGGAGTCACTGAATCTACCGACCATTGACTATGACGATGTCAGCGAGAAGCGTAATCACTTATCCTATGTGATAATCAATCCAAGCTGTGATCTTAAGTTGGAGGAGGGCGATCTAATGTAAGTTGCTTCCTATTACCCATTATTAATGGTTTTAAATTTGCTGATTTTGTGTTCTGATTAAGGCGTTTTCAAGAATTCTAGATTTAATTAACTAGTTAAAAAGTATGTTTCAAAATGACATTTAAGATATGATATGAAATTGATGAGTAACTCAACTACTCAGATTGATCGAGATGTTTTGAAAGCAATATGTCAAAGCATAGAAATATAGAAACAGGATGATTCGACTCACGATATCGATCAAGAATAAGACACTTTATTTCATCAAAAATAGAATGATCAAAAGGTATTGATAATACAATCTTAAGATTACATTCTAAACCTAAAAGCTTTGTAAGATCGGAATCTTCAAAATTGGAATCTAAGTTCTCAAATACCACCTTGAATATTTTGATGTTTCGCTACGATCTATTCGGGACAAACAATATCAATTCCGGTATTTCAACTTTAAGGAAATTTAGAATTGGATTAGTATTAAATTTTCTATCATCCAGTTCCGATTCTGATTGGACAGGTTACTTTGCACTTTTTAAAAGAGGTTCTTTATTGATCTAGAAGAATTTCAGCTAGTGAAATGCTTAAATAATGTATTCTAAGCATAGTATATTTAAATGTATTTTGAGGGAGTATATTTTGTAGTGAACATCATTGAAAAGCGCTCAATTTAAAGTTTAATAAAATTGCAACAGGGATGGAACATTTGAACAGTTTGATTTGAGAGATGAAAATTTCCAAATGTAACCATTAGAGCCATTTGAATAAACAGAAAAAAGACAGTTTAAAGTCATGTTTCGTTTTGGTTTCTGTATCGTTCACAGCTATTTGGTGCGACCCTCACCGTTTTCGGCGCAAAAGACATTCGAGCGCCACAATTCGCGTCGCAAGTCGAACATTTCGTTCTGTTCGAATATCAACATGGGCGCACAAATGCCCAGTATGCCCAACACCGCCGTCGGAGCTGGTTCGCGTCGAGGCTCCGGCATCGCCGGTTTGAACCCAATGCAAATGCAGAGCGTTCAGACATTGGCCGGGTATGGATCCTCGCAGCGCTGTACGCCCCCGATACAGCAAATTAAATCGAATTCTCTTTCTCTACCCGACAGTCCGACGGTGGTTGGCTCACAGCGCGGCAGGAGTAACTCATTGCGGGTTGGCTATTATTCTCTATCTCCCTCCCCCCCTCCCCCTCTATCTCTGTCTCTAACTCACTTACTCAATCACCCAATCACACAAGTTCTGTTACTGTTTTCGTATTTGCGTTCACGTTTATCAACACCCCACAAACCCCCATTTGTGTTCACAATTGTACCAAATCAATGCCGTTTTCTGTGCATTTGTCAGCAAGCACCAGAGTTGCCAGCGTTATCAGAAACGTTTAGCATGGCACATGCAACTCTGTAGCTAATGCAATACACAGCAAATAGCATGAATACAAATTCATCCAATTTTGTTTTCCATACTCTTGCGGAAACTGTTTATGAAAGCAACAAAGATAAATATATTTTATTGATGATAAAGTTCCAATTTGGGACTGGGATTCATTTAAGAAAGATTTACCATTGAGTTAGTTTTTAACAAGGAATACCTGAATATGTTTTAAAATTAAAGTGCCAAGTGGAATTGGGGTAATTGGAATTGGGAAAAATTTCAAAAATAAAGGATTATTGAGTTTTGAGCATGTTAAACACAAATCTTTTCATTCAAGCACATATTAAAATTAAACATCAAGTCAATTTACAATTTAAACTTAAAAGAAAAAATATAATTTTACTAATTTACTACATGTTTTAGAAAAATTATTTAAAGTTGGTTAAAAAAAACAATTGCATTTTAAATTAAATATTATTTACATGCAGATAAATGGAAAAGGCAGTTATTTATATATTTATATTTGTATTGGTTAAAAAAATAAATAAGGAGTTCTTTTAGCAATGGATAAACTCAAAAAATTAAGTTAAATATTGTATATTAATCTAAAATGAGTACAGTATTTATGAATAATATCGAAAAAAACAAAAAATAAATTTTTAAAAATTGAATTGCTGGTGCAATTTTAGCAATGACTTAAGTAAAATAAATTCAAATACATACGTATATATATATATGTATGGCTTTCACTAGTTCTGCAAGGGTATAATTGACTTCGGTGCACCGAAGTTAAGTTTCCTGTACTGTCTCTATTACCAATTGGCTAACACAACACTTAGACTTGGGCCAAATAGTTGCCAGCAGCTGTTGTATGAAGAACAAAATACTGTAAAATGCAACAATGCTCACACACAAACACACACATATATTTATGTGCATATATACATATATATTGTATATACATACATATTTATACATAGTACATGCACAATCTCACACAAGCATTTCGAACATCAAAATTTGGTTGCATTTCGTTTTCGAAAGACTCGCAAATCCATTTCACAAAATTGACGCGTATCAAAGCCGCAGCACTCAACAGCCGCTACAACAGCAACAACAACAACCAGACCAGACAGCAACAACAACAATGTTATCAGCAAAAACAACAACTATCAACAACAACAACAACAACAACAACCGACCAGTTCAGCAAACATTCATAACCATAACGCACGCACGAAGCGGATAAATCCACATCACGTTTCCGTTTCCGTTACTCGTTTTGGTTGCACCCAAGCAAAAAATAAAGACAAAAATAAATAAATTAATAAAACAATCAAATATAATCAAGAGTGCACCATGGACTTGAGTTCAATGTGTTCGATATGTGCGTGTTTGCCCCTAGGCCAAAAAATAATCTTAGCCAATATGTTTTGTGTAATTCATGTATTATGTGTATTAATTGGTGGGGCCAAGATTTTGCTCCATTCAGTTTGCCCAACCACATTTCCGCTAATGTCCACCAATATTGGTTGGAAATTTTCGTGTTCTTCTGTTTGCAGATCGATAGCGATATACTGCTGCGTCGCTCCTCATCGCTGCGCCAAGGATTGCCCAGCGTGGGCGTGAGCCACGGGCGGCGCAAGTCGTCGCTGGAGGAGATTGGCATCAGTCACTTCACAACGCTCATGCAGGCAACGAATCACAGCAATCCCATCAAGATATCGCTCAACGGCAGCATTGGCATGGAGGTAAATAGTTGATAGATCACTTAGATCACCATTCTCACAAATTCTCGCACAGAATCAGATTTCGTTGCAGGTGACGCCGCCGGAGGAGCCGACGCCCTTGTTGGGTGTGCCCTGCATTTTGGGAGGCGGCGGCGGTGGTGGCATTAATCCCTCAGCTCTCGGCGGCGGCGGCGGCAGCAGTGGAGCCGGCATGCTGGGCGCCGGCTCATCGCTGGCGATAAACACCGCTGATCTGGGACCAGGACCGAGCACCTCATCGGGCGCTTCACTGCAGGCGCAGGACTCGCTGCCGCAGTCGTCGCAGGTGCCGTCGCCGCAGCATCTGCAGGGCACGATTGTATGATACAACCTGATGTGGGGTCGCCGATTCCGCTCATCGATGTCGAAGAACAAATGGATATAGAATACGGCCAGCACACACAGGCGTCGAGATAAATTCTAGAGCCAACAAATGCTGACTCCTATTATTAAGTTTAGCTGCTAGCCCAAACCCAAATCCATTTATATATGAGCAAGAGATGTCGGCTGTATTTTCGTGATATTTCGAGGCATGATAAGATATAGTCAAAAATGGGAAACCCTTGCCGAATGCAGATAATAAAATTATCTGTAAAATCCATACGACATTTTTCTTTACCTTAAAGATTATTATTATTCTCAATATTATTTTTAATATCAATAATAATAATATTATTATTATTCTTATTATCATTATTTCATTTTCTTATTGCTATTATTATTATTATTAGAATCGGTTCGACATCCATCCGTATGACTAAGTAAAAAGACTTTATATTTAGATTATTATTTTTCCAATATGTAAATCAAATTAATTATCGACAACTTTCTTTGCTTACCGCACATAGATTATAATCGATTTCCGATAGCAATCGTAAACGCAATTTTAAAGCCACAGCTTTCTTATTTGGTATGAACCAACTGTGGCATTAATTCAATAAAATCTACAAATTTATTCAAAATTGTTTTCTATTTACCTATGCAACATAATGCATAAATAGAAACATAAGTTTGCCTCATAAGAGGTGCCTCATGAAATGCTAATTTTCAATATTTTCATATTCATATATCATAACATATATCATATTCATATCCCCATTCATAGAATGTTCATACGATGACAATTTTATTATTATATAATACATTAATATTAATATTATTAGTTGTATCATTATTATTTTTACCATGACATATTCGACCTCACGGGTCACGAGTTAATCGAATCACGCCATCATCTGTAAGTTGTATGTACTAAGAAAGCCAACCTAACCCAACCCAACCCACCCGAGAGCAGCCTATCAGTCAGTGTCTGTGTTGTGTGTGTCTGAACAAATGCATTAATTCTAGTATTTCCCTGACCCACTTCAACTTGCGTAGTTTTGGCCACTTGAACGAAGAGAAGTGAGCAGTGAGAAGTGAGAAGTGAGCAGTGAGAAGTGAGAAGGAGAAGTGATTATCATTTTGCTTATAGCTTAGCCTAAGTATATGAGTAGCAATCAATTATATTCAAAATTTCGGTATGCTTTATTCAAATGAGGCAAAATGTGTTTTTGGGAACAAACAAAGTAGTTAAACTATTGGCATGAATGAGGTTTTAATCACATTAGCTAGCTGTAAATATATCGTGCGAATATGTGTTAGTTGCTAATACATTCAATAGATATAAGCCAAAACAAATCGATTTATTTCTAGCATATCTCTCTCTCTCTCTCTAATGATAATTAGCAGCCCCAAACCATGAGGCTCAAACAAAACCAAATTAGGGGGCATCGAACAAAGTAATTAAACTGCTTTGAAAAATAAAACCAAGTAATTGATGTAAATACGATAAATATAAGCACTTAATGTAGTCAAATTATTCCTGCTGCAATATTCACAGACAGTTCTTCACAGCTACTTCCTTAGGTTTCATATGTTGCACAGTTATCACTTGAATAATTTACCACATACTCGTATAATAGATAAAATTAAGAAAGGTGCTATCAATGTTTTGTACCAAACACAACTGCAAGTTTCGTTTAAATCTTTTGCAAACTCAAAATTAAAATACGGTTTTCAGAACATTAAAAATTCGAAAGAAAAGGCTTTGGTATGCTCTAATGCTTTACAAACAACAACAAAAATATAAAAATAACAAATAAATTAACTATGCTATGTAGTTTGCTGTATATATAAATATGTAATAGTTGTAAGTTCCAACTATTAGAACTTAAATTAAAAATTAAAACGCAAAACAACAGAAACTAGTTTACGATTAAATATGTACAAATATTTATTTAGTCGATAAGCACCTAGTTCGATTTTGGAGATCGTGCTCAAAGCCCAAGCCTACAGCTAAAATAGCAAAACCAAAAAAACAAAAAAAAAACTGTACCAAATTCAATGAGCTACACTTTATTCAAAGTAATACTCAATAGTTGTATATACACAGAAATGCATACCAAATATAGTTAACCAAACTGAATTTAATCAGTTGGCACCTCTAAGTACCCAGACACGTCCCAGTAACAAGGAAATTTATATAGCTAAAGCATACAATGTACCTACTATGAGCACACACACACACACACATATACATATGTATAAGCAAATATATATTGAAGATCCTTAAGGTAAATACATAGTTATACCGATAGCACAGACAGTTTTATACTAAGGGAATTTTACTCGGTTCATTTTGAGAATGAACCCAAAAAAACATGATATGCATTCCAGTGTCTCAAGAACCTACGCGACAAACGCGCTTAGATAAGCCAAAGCTTAGCACACCTAAACATACATTTAGTATCTATAGACTTAGCACTAGGTAATACTTAGCAGCCACTAAACTAGCGACTAGTAAATGTCTCAATGTACAAAAAGCAAATTGGCAATGCCTACAATTAGTTATCAAAGAACCATACAAACCAACAAAAAATTAAGAGAAAACAAAAGAACAACAAAAGCTAGAAAAAAAAACAAACTAACAAAAAGCAAATGTACTTAATATATTTAATTATGTAATGATGATATTCAGAACATATTAAAGGTTAGATTATAAAACTTGCTGTAATATTTAACTGTGCTCTTTAAGGCACTTGACAACATGACAAGAAACTCACAATAAATTCAAAGTAAATAGTTGATGAAAACTGAAATCACTCAGCAGCTTTAATATCCTTAAATTTTATATTTTTAAATTCCATTAAATCTTTTAATTTGGTTGCATTTTATTTTTAACTTTCACATACGAAATAGTTATCTATTTTTGAAGCTTTTAGTTAACTGCGTCTTCAAATTTATCAAACTCAATAAGAAAAGCTAAGACTTTTTTTTGGGCATCTTTCAAAATCTTTAAGAACCTCTAAAAATTTAAATTTATTCCCATATATGTTATATGTTCCCATGGTTACTATAATTAATAAATATTTGTCATTTGTAGCAATCAATTCCATGACATAGTGATCCGAATTGTCCGCTCAAGACTCTCAGAAATGTCCTAATATTCACTTATCATATAAAATTAAAAGTGTGATTGTTTAACTAAACAGCTACCATAACTATTAACCTTTAAGCATGTTGTCATTGAAACATACACAAAAATGTTGCACAAATATATGCATTCCTTTATGATTCAAAAATATTCTAAATAGCTTGAAATTAATATTTGGTGCTCCTTCTATTTCTTAAAGACCCTTTAAAAATCGATTAGGGCTTTATAATCTTCAAGTTGTCTACCCTTTACGGGACAACCTTTTCAATAATATTAAAGTCCGGGGAGTATGGTGTCTACTCAAGTAATTGCACAATTTGGTCGCTAATTCATTAAAAGGGCTTTGTCGTGCTAGTATTTAAAATAACAAACGATTTTCGTGGAAACGCTCTTTGAAGTATATTTTTGTAGACATTCGTATTTATATTTAATGAAACAAATTTCATAATATAAAAGGGTGACCCAAACCAATATTCCACCTGTGAAAGTGCGATGGCGACTTAAAGCACATTCCTCGATTCATAAATCGTTATAGTTCTATCCGCCAAGTCCATCCAGAGACGGATAGGGATATCTTTGAGAGGTGTTCTCTTCTTTGTATTTACATCAGGTATAAATAGAAGTAGAAGCTGAGATATAAACCCCAAATGCAAAGACAACTTGTTCAACCTATTCGGTTCAGCGGCAAAAAAGCATTGGAATAGTATCGAAAATGATGCTAGTCTTTTGTGTGTGTATGTATTTATAGTATGTATGTATTTATTAGATTGAGTAGCTTTACAAAAGATGGCACACACATTAGTTTATGTTTATGTTTATGAATTAATTTTTGGTTTGGTTTTCTTGGTTTCTCTGTGTTCTTAGTTATATCTGTTATGCGTATACAAAAATAATTTCACTTCATTATTATTTCATTGCAATTAATTTAAATGTACTCCCTCAGACAAGGAATCTACTTCCGTGGTGTGGCAAAGGTGTAGGGCGATGCCACCGCGCAGGTGGTGGAGGCGCTGGTGCACTTGCAGCTCTTGCCGGAGGGCGCCTTGCGATTGACCAAACAGATACGGGAATCGGTGCAGCCACCATTGTTGCTCTGGCACTGACTCGGGGCCTGGGGGCAGTTCTGCTCCACGGCTGTCATCGCGTACATCTTGTGGCTGCCATAGAACATTGTCTGGATGGGCTTCTGGCGTACTCCGGCGCTGTCCACGCTCTCAACCTTCTTGCTGTATGGGTTGGTTGAGGTTGGTTAACATCAAATGAGACTATAGGAAGGTTAAGCAAGGGGAAACCTACGTTGTCCAGTCGGTCCAGTAGAACTGATTGTGTATAAATGTCAGGCCGAATGGATAGGATGGCTCGTGGAATACGGTGCGCATCTGGAGACTCTGTGCATCAATGCACTCCACCTTCTTGGCGCCAGCATCCGCAAAGCACAGCTCACCAGTGCTCTCCAGCACCACCAGCGAATTGGGCAGCTTAACAGCATCTGAGCCCAGCAACAACTGGCGATCAGTGCCATCCAAATCGGAATACTCAATCTTCGGAGACGAGCGATCCCAGTCGGACCAGTACAGTTTTCTAAAATCAAAAAGAAAGTTGAGTTTTTTTTTTGTTGCTTGGATTCAATTTTACAGACACTCACTGTCTGTGGGGATCCACAGCAATGCCGCGTGGATTGACCAGGTGCTTGTTGATAAGGACGGCGCGCAGTGTGGGATCATCCAAGCTGGCCACCTCAATGGTGTCCTTCACCGAGTCCGTCCAGTAGAGGCGACGCGATATGACATCAATCGCAATACCCTCGGGTGACTCAATGTCTGCAAATACGATTCGAAATGGGAGCTTCGATCATCTCAATCATCATTCGTCCTCTTACCTGTGGTGATAAAGTCGCGCTTATCAGAGCCATCGTACTTGGCGCTAATGATCATCTTGAGGGAAATATCGCCCCAGTAGACGCGGCCCTCCACACAGTCCTTGTCCAAGCCAATCGCCATCGAAGCCACCATTATCGGATTTATATCGCGTCCATTCAGAGGAACACGTGCTATTCCTACTCCGTAGCTAACAAGCAGGAAGTCCGAATCGTGTTGCTGACGCTCGTGGCAAACGGAGCCATTGCCATAGAAACCTGTTGGATATCATAATATAATTTTCTATAATCTACAAATATATTCAATTGAGGGGCAGTGAATGAGCAACTGTATATAATGCAGTGATTGTGAGTTAAATATATTTCAATTAAACTTTATCTCGTTATCTTGTAACAGGTCTACATATTTACAATTACTCATATAAATATATATATGTGTATATATATCCGATCTTACATAACCCTTGAGGCGCGATTACACTAAATTATTTGAAAATATTTATACGCTTCCCAAACAAAATACTTGAAATCTTAAAGCATATTGCTGCATATTTTTATTCAAGTAATTTTCTCGTTAAAAAAGAATCTGAGTTTTCTAAAATTTTCGTTTCCTTAAGACCATCAATTTGCTGCATTATGGCTTATAATTCTTTGTCAATATTTAAAGGCTTACCATTAAATACTCCTTACGTTGAAATTTTAGCAATTGATTAAGAAACAAAAATTAACTCTCTTAATTGGTTTGAGAGTAGTGGGTAATAGAACAAAAATATTTATAGAGTATCAAATTCAAGTGGTAAGGAGTTTATATATATATATAATTATAGTGAATCCATCATGAAATTAAAGTACGAGTTTTCTGACAACTCAAATTATTTATTTTATTGAGTTTTGCGTACAATTTTTGTAGTCAAAGTACTAAGCCAGAAGACTAATGAAATCTCAAGTGAATAATGAATAACGAAAGCCCAATAAATACCTAAGTATCTAAAGAAATAAAACAATTGAAAGCGCTACTCAATTACAATGAATACTGTAATTAAATGTAGTTACTTTTGGATAATGAGTATTAAAGAAGTGATTGAAAAATGTATTGAACTGTATCACAATTTTTAGGTGCTTAGCATTGAAAACGTTTTTGAATATTATACAGTAGGCACTTTCTTACTCTACAGTTCCCACATCTCTATAGTACTTCTACGTAATTTCATTTCAACAAAAAATTTGTGGTGATATTTCGGTATAAAGATACATTCAATTCGGAAAATAAATTCAAAAACACAATGCGTCCAGTGCAAAGTTTACTAATGAAAGTGTCACGAATGGGCATCCTGCGGGTGACCAGTCAACCGGTCGTGCCGATGATTAAGGACCAGCAGTGTCGCTATATTCAAAGGGTGGATCAGTACAGCAGAAAGACGACAATGCTGCAGTCCATGCGTGAGTTCTTTATGCATCCGCTGACCTGGGATCGTAACAACGGTTATCTAAATGTGCTGCTGGCCCTGGCAATATTCAGCTTCTGTTTCATCAACTCGTGCACACCGTGCCCCGAGGATGTGGTGCCGCCGACCAAAACCAAATAGGAAAGAAGGCGTGGCACTCACCTGGATTGCAGGAGCAGACTAGACCCAAGTTTGTCGAGTGGCATTTGGCATTCATGTCGCACATTGTTGGATTATTAAGGCAGTTCTGATCCTCGACGCACACATAACCATCGCCACGATAACCAGCAATGCATTGGCACATATAATTCGCAGGATCTCTGGATGAGCAAGGGGAGGAGAAGGAAATACAGGTGTGCAATACTCAACAAAATGGCATACTTACTCTGTGGGCTCACAGGTGGCGTGTATGCCGCAATTGTTGCGCAAATTACAGGGTATGGGAATGCTGGTGCAACCGGTTTGAGCATCACCCTGATAACCATCGATGCAATCGCAGTACTGTACTCCCAGACCCACATCCAGCTTGCAGAGGGCATTCGATCCACAGAAAACGGAGCCACATTGACCAGCTGGAACACAAATGTCGCTGACATCCCGCTGGTAGCCCTCGTTGCACAGACAGACGCCTCCATCGCAATAGGCACTCTCCCCACAATGCTTGTCCTGCTCGCATTCGGGTGCCAGCTGGCAGTGATGGCCATTTCCTGTGTAGCCCCTCTCGCAGACGCACTCCGAGCTGCCCAGCTGCTCGTTGTAGCTGCAGGTGGCATGGGGATCACAGATGCCTGGTCTCTGAAATGGACAAATGGCAATGATTAGTGGTTACTCGGGATGTGTTGGTCTGGCATTTGCCCTCACAATGGCACAGGAGGCCTCCCCAATGGGATTACAGGTGTAGCCATCGCCGCTGTAGTCCTGATTGCAGATGCAAGTGTGTCGCAGCTCGTGCTCGTTCCAGGCACAGATGGCATTGATATGACAGTTGGCATCCACATCGCAGGGTATCAGCTCTTCACTCCTTTCCCCATCGTAGCCGCCGCCGTGATTCCGACAGATGCGATTGTCCTCGCTCAGCTCGTAGCCCCAGGGACAGGTGCAGTCTCCAAGGATATTGCAGCTGGACTCCACTTCCTGTTCGCCGAACAGGATGGGCAGACAGCGTCCTTGCTCCCACACCAGATCGCGACCACAGATCCGCGTACAGTTGATGCCATCGCCATTGAAACCCTCGCGGCACCTGCAACGTCCCTCATAGCAGTCTGCATCCGGTGAGCAAAGCTGCAAGCAAAACATCAAAAGATAAATGATATAATAAATTAGATGATCTATATATGAATAAATCAGTATGCGAATAAATATCAATTACATCTATTTATAATTGATTCTATTTCTATATGTACAATTTTTTTATAGATTTGATTTCTACAAATTGCTACTTAAAAAGTGCAATTGAATTATCGCCTTGAAATTTAGAAAACCGCCAAGCTCATCTTGGCTTTATGGAATATTTCTAAAAATTAATTATTTTACGTTGTTAATGCAAGGAAAAAAATCCAAGCTATTTTTAAATGCATACACAAATTTCTTACATCAGCTTTTTTGTTACTTTAAATAGTTTAAAAATGTAAATAATATTTGAAAAACTTTAGTTTGAAAAGTAAGAAACTGTTTTAGTTTATATAACGAATTTCTAAATAAAGTAAGACAATATTTTTTAAATTTAAAAGACCATTTTTTTATTTTAATACCAGCTGATAATAGGTGAGAAAGAAATGGGCTGGCGTAGCCAAGAAATTTTTGTTACCAATGTTTGTAGAAAGTTATTTTGCTCTAGGCTATTGCCGTTCTTGGGACCGGATTCAACGCGGTCCGAGGATGTCGATACAGCAATCTATGTTCCAAGACTGGCTCTATCTTGAAAATTATGGCAGACATGATGGCAAAGATATTCGTGGCCAGTGCCAAATTTTAAAGGACATCGCCAAACATCTACCAACCCATTGGTGACTAGAGGTTCAAGATTGTTGGAGATATGTGATTTTATCGACTTGCAATGATCGACTTAATCGATTTAAACTGGACAATGGCAATGATCGACTTAAATTGGACATAATTGTTATAATATTTACCAAAAATCAACCCTGGCATTGGGAAAAGAAAAACACTTTCAGAGAAACACAACCTTTAGTGTTAGAAAAATAATTTCTGAACAATAAGGACAGTTATAATCTAGCTTAATTGGAATGGAATCGCATTACTTACGTAGCACTCATCAGATTGTTGTCCATTGCCTGAGGATTGAGGATTGTCATAATTCTCGCCGGGCATCTCTTCACTGTGTCGCCATGGTTCTGTCGGCTCCGTCTGCTCCTCACCTTCGTTGTGATAGGAGTTGTCGTCCGTTGGCTCAGCCGGTGTGGAGTATTGAATATTATCAGCAGAATCGTCGCGCAGACAGCGATAGCCATTGCCGCCATAGCCCTCGAGGCAGATGCAGCTGAAGCCACCCTCGTTATTGGAGCACACGGCATTATCATCACAGACATGGCTGCCCTCGGCGCACTCATCCACATCGATGCAGAGCTCGGCGCCGTTCTCGTCCAGCTGGGCGGCATAGCCGTGTTGGCAGTCGCAGCGATAGGTGTCCTCGTAGAGGATACAAACCGCATTCTCGCCACACTGGACACTGCCATCTGTGCAGACATTCGACTCGGCATTGACGCCAATCTTGCTCACGATGCTTGTCCTCAGCGCATTGTCGCGCTGAGCATAATCGAGGACTATTTTGGTGACCTTCTGGAGCACTCGGCTATCGGTGGGATCGGCATCGTCGTCGCGCAGGCAGCTCTGGTAGATGATGCGCTGATCCACCTTAAAGCCAATCACGCTCTGCTCCTCGACCAGCTCCAGTCGGTGAGATTGCTGTGACTGCAGCTCTCCGGGACGCACAAAGCGATACTCATCCGTGTAATCCGGCAGATGCAGCTTGGCAACAGCCGAAACGCGGGGCACCGAGCCGGATATTTCAATCTTGACGCTCAGCTGATCCCAGTAGTTGAGGCCCTCGAAGGTCTGATTGACCAGCAGTCGCTCCCCCGTCTCGTATTCTATGCGCGAGATGTGCTCGTAATTGCCACCAGTCAGCTGATAGCCATTAGCTGTTCCATTGATCGGCTTGGCGAACAGCCATCCAACGGTGGTCAGCAGCGGGAGCACCAGTCGCAGCTGAGCTGCCTGCTCCCAGCTCACCGGATTGATGGTTGTGTAGCTGCGTGCATCCGTGGTCACCACATACGACTGCAACTTGACCTCCTCGTCCACAGGCTGGCCGTTTAGCTGGCCGGTCAGTGTGCCCGTGACACGTATGGGCAGATCATTTGCCAGGCAGGAGCGACCGTTGCCATAGAAGCCCGGCTCACAGACGCAACAGTAGCCCTCGGATTTGTCGAAGCACTGGGCGTGGCTATCGCACTGGTGTCCATTCCCATTGCAGCTCTGAGCAAGTGCTGGCGATTCGGTGTGTGTCTCTCGGTTGTTGGGTGCCAGCACATTCTCGGCGGGTTGCAGCGGTGCCACCTGGTAGAGCCAGACGCCGGGTACACCCAAGTTGGTGCTCTCGCTGAGGAATCGAACCTGTACATAAAATTAAAGTATTCATTCTTGTTCATTAATTACATCAATTTCACTTTGAAGCTTATTTAAATAACAAGTTGAGGTAACTTATTATCTCCTTTATTTTATTTGAATTTATTTATTTGCTTTTAGGTTCATATCATTTAATTTATAATAAATAATAAATAAACAATACAAAATAAAATTGGATTGGGTTTTATTAAATATGTTCTGTGTAAATATTGTTATCAAATATATTTATATATTGCAGTTGACTCAAGAGCAAAATTTAAGAAATAATCAAAAATTTAAATATATTGCTTTGATTAAGAAAGAAATTAAGGTTGACGAACAATTGTATTCACATAATTACACAAAATTAAGCTAATCTAAATTCCAGGAAAAACACAAAAATATCAAAATACAAAGTGAATGTAAAATGTTGAATTTATAGATGGGCAGCAGATTGCTGTTATTTTATGGCAAACAAAATTGCAATTGAGAACAATAAGGGAAAGACAATCCTCCATTACTTACTCCAATTAATTGTTGTTTAAAATTTATAATGATTGCTATTCATTATTTTATTATTATTTATTTTTATTAAATATATATGTCTATCTGGTGGCCTAAGTGACATAATAAACCAAGCAATTAAACCTGAACCTTTGACCACAACTGACCTCTAATGAATATAACGCAATTGTCCTTGAAATGCTTTCTATAATCGTTCCGTTATACTTAACTCGTATTTTCAGACTTTTTATTTTTTAAATGAAATGCTTATAAAAATTTTATATTTATATTTTATATTTTAAAAATTTTAGAAAATCACTTACAATTTTACATGAATATAAAACAACAATATTTATGCACTCGCTCATGAAATGCTTTAGAAAATCATTTCGCAAGTTTCATCTTTGTAAAATTAAAAGTTTATAAATTTGAAATACTTTAGAAGGGTTCTTGCGCGTTTTTAAATTTTAAATTAATATAAAAAATTAAAATCAATGCAATTGCTTATGAAATACTTCAACTCACACACTCATTGAGTCTGCTGCTCTACTTAGGCTAGTTCAACTTACATTCTCCGAGCCGGATCCATTAAGATTGTAATAGCGTCCATCCTCGGCAACGAAGCCCGCCTGGGCGCGTATATCGGGCAGTCCCAGTTCACCGGCCTCGCCCTGCAGCCAGTTGAGGCCACCTTGGGGATAGATGAACTGCACAAATGTTTGGGATTCGCCAACAATCAAAGCCACCTGGAAAGTGTTTAGTCTGTCCGTCTTCGAGTTAAAGTAGCCCACATTGCGCCACGTGGCAACGATCAGTTGCAACGCCTGAAACTCAGGCCAATCGCTGTATGCATAACGCACCAGCTGCTCTGCCCGGTCCAGAGTTTCCGGATCTTGGGTATGGAAGAGGGAAATGCTGCTCTGATCGTCGCTGTTGCTGGTGTCCACGTTGGAGTAGAAGGCCGCTATCGAGGGATACTCGAGGGGAAAGGGCTGATTCAAGTAGTCGGCGAACTCCACATCAAATGTCAAAATGCCATTCGTGTTGATCTACAATCGAGAATGGTAAATGGGTGTCAGAATCTGATGCTTGAGCTGAAGTGGCTGGCTGCTTGTGGAAAGGAAGTGCATATGGTGCATCAATTAGCCATTAACCGGTTGTGAAGTGCAAACAGGCCACTTAACACTTAACGGCCAATGCGCCTAGCGGAAACTAAACAACAACAAGCGATCATTAGAACTCCCTCCCTGTCTCACACTTTCTCTTTTTCTCTCTCTCTCTCCCTGTCGCTTTCTCACTTCCCGTCTCCCTCTCAAACTAATGACTTTCTTAATTTGTTTCCTTGTCGGCAGCCACAGCACGCCTCTAAAATTAGTCTAAAGAAAAGCAAAACGCATCTGTGACGCCGACATTATCCAGCTGCATACACTCCGAGAAAAACTCGCACTGAGATTTAGGAAGTCGTCATACTTTCGGAGCCAAGAGCTGCTCAGCTTATTATTAAGAAATTATTTATCTAAAATCCAGGATCTTTCTTATATTAATCGAAGCGTAGATTATGCCAAAAATTTTAAAAGGACTTTTAAATTTTGGACCGTTTTTAAATGTATATTGCATATGCGTTTTTGTTACTTAGTTAAACATTTGTATTTCAAGATATCACTTCTACACACATTTTAAATAGTTAATAATTTCATTTAATATTATTTCGCTCACTTGTTGTTTGACTTTCAAAAGGATTTTATTTTTTAAATACGGTTTTTGCATTTCTACTTCTCATACCCTGTTGAAAATATATTTCTTAATAATAAAAAAATGCTGCAAAATAGAGAAAAATATTTTTTTTCGTATATTTACTTAATTGTTTCTAAAAACAGAAGAATTTTATATTTTTCCGGGTGAAATTTTAAATTGTTGTCCGCTTTTTTGAGTGTAGCCACCTTCCTCTTATCCTGCATCTTCCCCTTTCATTTCAATTGCATTTCCTATTCCAGTTTCCAACTCTCATTTCACTCTTGCACAACTTTGAGTTGCGCATTTTTATTTTTAACACATAGACTGCATCAATTTTTGCCTAAATAAACAAATGTTCAATTTCAAATTTGGAATTTCAAATTTGGAATTTTCGAACTAGAGCACAGGTGTTTGTAAAACTGCTCCAGTATATTTTGTTTCTAGCCGGTAGGCGTAACATAAAACAATTTTCACCATGGGTAGCTGCACTTCATCTTCAGCCCCCCGCTGAGGGTGGAAATGTTCAAATATTTGGCATACTCCAGATTCACACAAAGTAAACAGTCAGCAGTCTCGTGGATCTTGTGGAAATTTTACATTGGTTTCAATTATAGTTTTTCATATATTTATATTTAATTTTCATATATACTATAGAAAAAAAAATTGAGTTTTCTATATATAACTACAACTCACAAGAGAAGAAAAATTAAAATTCTACATAATTTTCAATCTTATACAGTATATCAGAAATGACACAAAGAGAAAAGTGAAAGCTATCATGAACCAATATCCTCCATCAAGTTTTATTTAATTGTCCTTTATGATCCATAAATCCGTAGTCCATCTTCAACTTTGCTGGCTAGGTATTTTATATATTTATCTCTCTTGAAGGCAATGCAAACATGAATTTCAAATTAACCTAACCCTGTAACCTCAATTTCAAAATTTTCATTTCATTTTACTGACTTCTCATGATTTTGACACATCTATTTATAGAGACCAAAGGGGTTTCATGAGTTCAAAATTCAACAATAATAAAACTGAATAATGCGTTGTCGCTGGAAAAGAAACGCTTTGGTTATTTTTGGTCAAAGGAATTTTCGGAAATTTATGCATTTCTATGTCCATTTTAATGCCACACATTTTGTGCCGCGTGCTATTTTTCGACGTCAGACACATAAATTCAGTTAATTAACTAACAAAAATAGGCGACACTTTCGCCTCGTCGCTGTTCTTAGAGCAGATCATAATTTCTTGCTGTTTAACAAAAAACAATTTGAAAATAATGTCGGATAGCCAATTTGAAGGTGCCGACGATTAAGTACCCTAAACTAATACCTAGAAAAATGATGCGGAAATATTTATTAATTTAATCTCGACAAAAACTAAAAATATATTAAATTGATTTAATTTAATAGTAATATTGTATATTTTGCATTTTAAATATAAATTAAGGAGAAATGAATTTTGTATTATTTTTAATTTAAATTTTTTATTTTTAATTTTTTACTTTTTTATTCTTCTGTGTCAACTGATATTAGTCATCAGTAAATAAATACTAATTAGAACAGACTGAAATTATGTACTTGTGGAGATGAAATTAAATATATTTTTGACCAACTGTTTCTATAATATGGGAATACAATTCTAAGCCGATCATTTCTATTGATTTTTGATTAAATATGTAAATTGATAAAATGTAGCTTAGCTTTCAAAAGTGAAATTTAAATTCTCACTAACTTTATAATTCTAAAAACATAAAACTTTCATATGAAACAACCAATTCTTGAAGCGATCTTTCCTGTTGAAAATAATAGTAACAATAAACTGGGCCGATTAATAACAAAATATGAAATAGCCCATATTTCACCCGATCGTTGCCATATAAGCTAATAATAATAATAAACTAGGCCGATCAATTATATGTATAATACAAATTTAAAATTTGGTCGAGGCTTATTAAAAAAGAAAGAATACATTTTTATTTGAAACAAGTCAATTAAAAACCGATCGTTTTTCTGTAAACTAATAATAATAATCTAAATCGATCGTTTTGTTTGATTAAATATGTAAACTGATTAAGCGTAGCCAGGCTATACAGATTAAGTTTTTCATTTACAACCGATCGTTTTCGTTGTCTTTGTCTTACTAATCAAAAATCAATCTGTGCATAGAATCAAATACGCCTCTGTCAATGTGTTACGCATCATTTAAGAAAATTGAAGTGCCCCCAGTGAGGGAATTCGGAAGAGGCGTCTAAAAGATTGGGTGCGTGCCAAGGCGGCATAGCGACATGAACATCAATGGGTTGACTTGTCGGCTATTTATTGTTGAGACTGTGCCTATAACATCGCCATGGACCACCCCAAGTGTTCTGCTTTCTTGTTGTTGTCCTTCTTTTTTCATTTATTTTATTTTTTTTATTTTTTTGGTATTCGGGTTGAATGCAAATTGGCGCTCGCTGTAAAATGTATCTTTTAGATAGATTTTTCGCTGGGCGACCAGAATCAGCTCGTTCATTACACAGTTAATGTGTCGAAATTCTTCGGCTGTCATCTTTTGCCGAAAATTAATGTTGATTTCTGGCCGTCAAGCTATAAATACCGCTGGCCACAGACAAACACGTATATTGATCCGAGAAAATATTGAACTAAGCAGCAAGTGATTTACGAATTATCAATTGCTGTCGTTATCGTCTCAGCCTTATCAGCTGGTCGAATGCAAAAATCATCCATTCAGCGCAGAACTCAATACCATATAGAATTACGATTCACGACTTACATAGATGTTTTCATATTTCTCGCCATAGAAACTGATGGGCTTCTCCAATTGCAGAAGCGCCTGTTCGCTGTTGCCCTTGGCCAAGTATTGGATGCTGCCGCTGCCCTCGACATATTCGTAGAGCTCATCGGAACGCAGTGTGTCCAAATAGTGCTCATATTGAGCATTGACGGTGCCGGAACCAAGCGTCAGCAGCAGCAGCAGTGACGCCAGTAACGCATCATATTTTCTAATTAAAGTTTTCATTGCAAGAGCAAAGTTTGATTCTACGATTTATTTGTTTTTGTTTTCTTTTAATTTGTTATAAAAATTCTGATTAATTTCTTATTTCCACGCGTGTTTCACAATTTTGCAAGCATCATTTTCACACACACACACACACACACAAGCACACACGCACAGTTTGTTTCCAAAAATATCGGATTTATAAATAACGAACCGGCGGACAACTCAGTATCTATAGTCTATAGATATACCATAGTCTATAGTCTAGAACTATAATATATATATAAATTTAATTATATATATATGTATATATATGCTTTTTGGAACAGTGTCTTGGAAACAACTCCTGTCTCTCTAGATTCAATTCAATTCGATTCGATTCGATTCTTCCACCGAGCAAAAGCGAACCGCACGCGCTGCCAACAAATTCTTGACTGAATCGGGCGCTGCTCTGTGGGATGCTCTTTGGTTCGGTTCGAACAACCGTTACATTTGACATACATATATGTATATATAAAAATGCGTGTGTGTGTGTGTGCGTATACTGTGGCAAGCGTGTGCTGGAGTCTTCTTCAGGCGCTGTTAACAAGCAATTGCAATGTTAACTGCATGCTAAATAGCATCCAAATGGCATCCAATGCAAATTCTCTGCAGAGAGCAATAGTGCAAGAGAGTGTGTGTGTGAGAGAGAGGGGGAGAGAGACAGAGAGGAAGTGAAACAGAGCGTAAGAGAATAGCTGAACAAAATAGGCAGCAGATCTTTGTCGATTAACATATTTATTTATGACACTTCGCTTTCGCTGTTAACATTTATGTTCTACACGCATTAAGATCGAAAGTATTTTTGCACACATTTTGACATCCGACTGAGATGAGTTGTAAAAAACTGTGAAAAAACTACTCAAATATTTTGTAGTGCATATGTTGATTGAGAGTGATCATAAGGTAAAATTTATATAATATTCATCTGTGTATAAATATATTATTACTAGTTTTAATGAGTATTAATGAAAATATTGTAAAATAATATTAAATAATATTCATCAGATTTTTTTTTAATGTAATAGATAATAGAAAATGGAAAAGTGGAAAATTGGTGTTAATTTTAAAATTTAAGAAACATTTCACCTTTAAGATATTTTTTAAAATGTACTACACGAAAAATACATGAAAATGAACACGTGGAATTGTTATTTAATTTAAAATACATTTTCAAATATCTATATGAATATTAATCAGAAACTGCATTCAAATTCAGATTAAGTTTGTAATCGGAATCAGAACCCAAATGAAGAATTTCTTAAACACAAATACCGAAACTGATATTATTTGTCCGGAATGACCGAAGCAGAAACAAAACAAATACGAGAACTTATTCCAAATTTAAAAACTTTAGCTGTCATAGTGTCTGAAATATTCGCTGTTGACCTTGATCAAGAATATATATATATATATGATCAAGGTGTATATATATACATTAATATTCCATATATATATGTTCAGGATAGAAAAAGAAGAAAGACAGAAAGGACATTTTAGGCACGCCGAAAATAACAGATGCGTACAGATCTCAGTCAACCTGCTGACAACTCAATTTCATTATATATTTAAAAAAGTCAATAATATACTACTCTGATATAGAGAATTCTGCAGACAGTTAAGTACTGGTACTGTACCGGTAAAATCATGGCAGAAATACTTAACCGAATACCATAAAAAGGACTTGGAAAAATGTCGGAATAATTAACAGAATTTGTATACTTTAATTACCAGAATCGGAATCTGAATACGCTTCGATGGAATAACCTGTATAAAATAGAGCTACTTAGCACAAATATATTCAAAAATACCAAAAAATGTTCTTAATACAAATATCATTGTAAAAGAAACAAACAAATAAAGCTTAATACTTTGAACTTTGAACATAATATTAATAGATTAGTTGTATGACAATGCAGATGATTGTTTTTACCAAAGAAAGCTATTAAAAGAGCTTTCCGCTTCTATTGGAACTATCCATGTTCACAAGACCCCAACATATGGATGATTAACCAACTTGAGGTCATAACTCGTGCTCCACCCCAAGAATAGACATACTCAATATTGTAGGTGTGTGTGTGTGTGTGTCTTTTCTTTCTTTTATTTGATAATCGAAATAAAAGCGACCCCAAAAAAATGTAAGACATCAAAATAAGGCACACGGCTGAGATGCGCCCAGTTGATGTGTTGGGGCATGTTCCAATTCCGGGGAACTGAACTTCAGGCGGGCACGTGCCGCTCGATTGAGCACACTGCCACATGCCACCATGAAGCGCCGCAGTTGCAACTCCACGACAGCAACTCCCTCCAACCCGTTCCGGACTCTGATCCGTAAAAATAAACAATTGGGAAGTTGTGAGTTAGCGACGCAGCGTCTGCGTCTGCGTCTGCGTCTCCATCTTGACTGGTGGACATCGTCTTGTACATAATGATCATCTACTTGGGCTATTTATGATGTATTTCTCGGTTAATTAGTTGCAGCTGGGAAATTGAAATGGTAATGGTAATGGTGAATGGTGAATGGGAATGGGAATGGGTTTGCTTGTTTCGTTTCCGCATGCATTTGTCTCAGCTGCATTTGTTTCAACAGACGCTTTTCAGTCTCCATTCTCAGTTTCAACTCGAAAGTGATTTTCCTTTACTATATTTGGCAGCGGGGCGCGTCTGTCACAAAGATACTACATACAAATATGTATCTGTGTGCCGCTTGATCGGTGATGGATGGATGGATGTCTTGCCATCATTAATCTTCAGGGAGTTCCAGGAATCAGAGCAGAAAAGCGGTATGCTCCGGAAAAGATATAAAACTACGAGTATAATGTATACCTTAAAAAAATTAAATAAATAAAAAAAAGTGTATTTAAAAAATTGTCTCTAATGTGGCTGCAACAATTACAGCAAAATAATTAACAAACGCAACTCAACCTAATAATTTAATGCCATTAAAAACATTAGATGTTACGCCCAATTAGTTGTTTTGCCCGTTGGGCAGCCTATAAAACTCACTGAAAAATTGAAAAACGCCGTTCAAAATGTTTCTGAAATGGTGCCAACTTTTGTATGGATTGCTGCTGTTGGAATTGGTGCTGGCCAATCCTGAGCTGGATGAGGATTGTGAGCTCCGTGCAGCTGATACCATGGTGAACACTTGGAATTATATGTACTTTTTAACAATTCGACTTATATGGCATATAACCCTAACTTTATAGCACGACTTTTGTTGTGATCTGCACGATGAGACGCCCCAGTTTAGCGCCTGTCAATTGGAATGGGGAGATAAATTCGACCATGACACCGAGGAGAATGAACAGATCTATATGTTTGTGAGTATTACGACTATAATATAAGGTGCTGCGCAACTAGATAATTGGTAAATGCGCTGAAACTATTTAGAAATAGGCGCTTGAACATTTCTACAGACATGCTCCGAATTTACCCAAAACATTTTCATTTCCGTTTTTGGGTGATCTAAATTAATCCCAGTCTTGTTGGCAATGTGAGTACAATAATTCCATTAACTATGCAGAACATGCTCAAATTAATAGCAAGTGCATATGTGCATATTTTCAAAATGGAATAATTTTACTTCCAAATTGCTAATTGGAGCACGCCTTTAAGAAATGATAATATATATTGAAGATTTATGCAAGGCGTACATCACAAAGATTAAAGCAAATTTCATTTTTTACGTTCATAATATATATATATATATAAATATATTTTATTTTTTTAAATCATTTTTGTTATATTATTTTTAAAAATCATAATTCTTTTCTGCAATGTTTACATTTTTGTATCTCAGCCAGGCAAATTGGATGACTATGCCATATATTAAGTCACGAGGAAATCCTTATCCTTATAAGAAAATTTGTAAAATGTTCTCAAATATGCAGTTCGCAAATGAAGTACACAAATTTTAGATGGAGAACAAAGCAACTCAATGAGATGATGCAGCTTGTATTTCTCACTCACTCAGCACATCTCTTTGCCTTTAAAGTCTGATCATAAAATTGACCTGGATGATGATTTTGGTTTTAAAATAATTGATTACAAAAATGAAAATTTATCAAAAAAGAAAAATGTATTTATGAGCACTTGCGCAGTACAAAAGAAATGAATCTTAAATAACTATTATTTATACATAATACCACTTTAGCTACTCAATACAAAAGTCAATTTCATTCAAAATTTATATATATATTTTTTTAAATATCATGAAAACCACCTTAAATATATTTGAGCTTCAACAAGCCCTATCCCAGCTATAATTTATTTAAACCTTTATCAAATCATCTCATTTTATCCCTACCATTTCTTACAGTGTACAGCTGAATGCACTTACAACAGCACCAAATTTCTGGCCGCTGATCGTAAATCTCTCAATTTGCGTCGCATTCGCTTTCATCTGGAGCACGATTTGGCCGACGCCGAGGATGAGGAGCTGCTCTACCAGACCTACGTCAAGTGTGACAAACACGGTGCGTACTTCTATCTGTCTCTCTCTCTCTCTATCTCGCTCTCTTTCTCTCTCTCTCTCTCTCTCTCCCCTTGTATTGATATTCACACTGCTCCCGTTCCACTAACTTGTCCCCTTCGTGCAGCTTTGGACCAACTGGGTCACAACGGCGTGAAAGCGGTGGCCAAGCGCCTGGCTCCACACGGCTGTCATCCTTACCCGGGCCTGGTGCTGGAGTGCGTCGCCAACGAGATGATATTGAACTGTCCGCCCAAGCGCTTCCATAAGACAGCGCAATGTCGCGTTACTCGCGACTATCTGCGCCAGTGCATGCAGTTTCTGAAACACACATAGATCTGCAACGCAAAGATATGTAACCAAATATTAAATAAATATGTCATATTCAAAAATACTGCAAGTTTCTTAATTATTTATTTATATAATGTGGTTAATGAAAAGCCCATAACTTTTAAATAACCCTGATTAAATTAATTTTCAACATTTTTACGATTTAAGAGTTTTCTGTGCCAATTTTCGATAATTTTCAATCTCAAACTGAATCGAATTTTGGTTCTGATTCCGATTCTTGTGCGTAACGTAAAAAATTCAAATAATTATTTCCTTATTTTTGCAATTTTTTTTACGGTAATCGGTTTCGTATTGGCAACTTGATTTTTAAACATTTTATGCCATGGGAATACTCTAACATCATTTGAGCAAAAATACCAACATTGGACAAATACATAAATCACATTGATCGGCCAGATTTCCTAATAAAATTGAGGTGTCAGTAGGTAGGCTGAAGTCTGCAAGTGTCTGTTATCTTCGGCATGACTAAGATAGCCGATTAAAAATGTATAATAAGGTTACATAATCTGTAGAAGAAAGCGTATCCGCCTCATATATATTCTTGATAAGGATCAACAACTTTGTCGATCTAGCCCTTTCCGTCTGTATCTCCATGTACATGACATATATGAGATCTCGTCTATGTTTTGGTTCTGATTCGGATAAATAATATCAGTTCCATTTGGAATTTAGGTTCTGGTTCCGATTCTGAATCTTAATCGGTAAGCATGCGGTTCTCCTTTCAATTCCAATTCCTATCATTCAGCAATTCATATTTTACATTTGAGTTGTTTTGCATTTTGTATTTATTTTATTATATTTTTTAAGTGAATTAAAATAAATAAACTGTTTTGGATTGCTGGATTTATTGTGGCAACGACAAATGATGAACCAATAGGCTTATATAGTTTTCTCCTGCTGCTGTTATGGTTTTGCAATAGAACATCTTGTGGCTTGGAGGTCAGCCTGGGTTCAGCTTCACAGCTCCACAGATTGCTGTGGAACAGCTAAAAGCCTCTTCTTGACAACTAAGAATTGGTACAACTGGACAAGTCCTTCATCTGACATATAAATCACGGCAGAGTTATTTTTGCTAACACATTTGATTTTTGTTTATATGATTACAGTCTATATTATTAAATATTATATTTACAGAGACTTAAATTTAGCTACACTGCTTAACGAGATCCCCATCCAGGTGCAGTGCATCGCATTTTTTGAGCAGCTTATCGAAGCGTTTGTCGAACTTCTTTGCCTGCTTCTCGGTCAGTTCCGTTTGGGCCAAGTGTTTTGTGTACTTTTTGAGAAGCTTCTTCTTCAGCTTCTCCTGGAAAATGCCATCAGGCTGCTTGGCAACTAGTTTCAACAGCTGCACAGCCCAATCGAATTCGTTGAGCTCTTCGTCAGCTGCTCCGTTTGATTCAGTTGTTTCCAGCTTTGACTTTTTCGTGGGCGGCGCTTCATCATTGGTCTCCACTTTGCTGGCTTCGGCTTCCTTAGCTGCCTTAGCTGCTGCCAACTCGTCTTGTTTGGCCTGCTTCATTTTGTTCAGCTCCTGCTCGAGTATGTCCCAGACCTGCGTGGCCTGCTGGCGAGGCATGCGCATGCAGTTGCCCACAAAGTTCTCGAATTTGGCCTTCTTGCGGGGCACATTGTCGACACTCTGCAGCCGCTGGAATGCGCTGCGGAGCGCCGGCGTCAGCTGATACTCGCTGCTGTCCAGAATGGCGCGTATGATGTCCATCCAGCTCTCCTGTTTCTGTGCATTCTTGTTCCTCGGCTCCTTGGGCACAAAGTTTTGATTCGAGTACTTTTGCGCCTCCGAAATGCATTTTGTGTGAGCGACGTATTCCTCATTGTAGAAATCTTTGAGGCAGTCCATGCAGGAGACGCTCTTTGCCTGGTTGCGACAGCGCGTCTGATAGTGCTTCTCGACGGCCGGCTTTTTAACGGACTCGCCGCAAATGTTGCATGTGAAGAAAACCATACTTTTGTCAGGATTTATAAGCGGATAAACAGACGCGGTGAGTTCCACGTGCGCGCTAAGAGATTTATTTATGCTTACTTATCGTTAATCGATAGTTGCAGAGCAGCTGACGTTCACAACCACTCAACGGTTGGGACGTTCATATCGAATAACAGTTGGGCCACAGCTGTTTATATAGTTACGTTCTGACTATCGCACCTGTTGCAAAACCATTAAGCCCAGTACGCAGCTCAACAATCAACGTAATAGAAAAATAAAAATAACTAAAACTTTTGGCAAAATGCTTGACAGCGAAATTTTTACAGTCGGTTCTGAGACAACAACAATAAAATCCACTTTCTGCATAACCTTAAATATTTAAATTAACAAAATTTACCGACCAAAATGAATCATAAGTATTTAATTAAAGGTAGCAAAAAGAGCGAATATTTGAAGACCAAGCAAAATCAATTATAGTTTAATTTTTATATGATATGAGATGATATTTATTAATATATAATAAATATATATCATATAATTTATTTTATTAATATGGACAATAATATATGATTTAAGTTTTATAATTGATAATTAAAGTAATTAATTAATTTTAAAATTTTGACTGCATAAACTTATGTCAACTCCATCAAAAGAAAATGCAGCTGGACGCATGGAACGCTACGATAAGTGATCAAGCAGCAGCCTCAAATTAAATCTTGTAGTAAACGTAGATCTTTTGGCTTTTGTGTATTCCACCTGTCTGGCAGCACTGGTCAACAATATGCGTGACAGTCTCGTAGCAGTCAGCCCTTAGCCGACTGCATAAACCTTTGCCATCTCTAGCAGCGTAAAACAGCTGTTGGACGCATGATGTGGTTGCCTTTATTAAAATTGCAACGAATCGCGCTGCATAGAACGCTGCGAAAACTGACTAAGCACAGTATCAGAATGAGCATCAGCAGCAGCAGCACAGTGTTGACGGCTGCTGAGCAAAATGCAATGCCCGCAAAATACGAACGTCAGCCAAATGTGCTGCGAAAAAAACTATCATCGGTTGTGCCGGGTTCAGTGAATCTGCAGGTGCTCGGGGCAGGAGCAAATGGTTCGCCAAGCGCCGTTTACCTGTTCACGGATCAGTCGCGCTACCTATTCAACTGCGGCGAGGGCACACAGCGACTGGCACACGAGCACAAGACGCGCCTGTCGCGCCTCGAACAGATCTTTGTCACCCGCAACACATGGAAAACTGTGGGCGGATTGCCGGGCTTGGCGCTCACTATTCAGGATGCTGGTGTGCGCAATGTGGGTCTGCATGGACCCCCACATCTGGACACCATGCTGCAGAGCATGCGTCGCTTTGTGGTGCTCAAGCATCTGCAGATGCAGACGATAGATGCCACTGAAGGGAATCACTTTGAGGATTCCATTATGAGCGTGGAGTCGCTGGTTCTGCGCAGCGAACAGCAACCGGAGCAGCCAGTCATCAGTTATATATGCGCGCTCAAGCCACGACCGGGTGCCCTCAATCTGGTCAAGTGTGTGGAGCAGGGAGTGACGCCGGGTCCGTTGCTGGGACAGCTTAAGAATGGACACGACGTAGTCCTGCCTTGCGGCAAAGTGGTTCACTCTGTGGACGTGACCGAACCGGGCGAGACGGCGCTCTCCTTCGTCTTCATTGATGTGCCCAGCGAGGATTATCTGCAGTCTCTGCAGGCACAGGCACAGGAGTACAAGAAACTCGCTGCCACGCAGCTCACCGAGGTGGCAGTGGTGGTGCACTTTACTCCCGCCACGCTGACAGCCCATCCGGACTATCGTCGTTTCATGGAGCAGAACTTTTCGCAGTGCACGCAGCACATCTATCTCAACTCGCCGAAGAATCCCTTCTCCGGTTATGCGGCTGCGCATCGCATTCAGTATCAGCTGCATCAGCTGGAGCCAAACATCTTTCCGCTGCTCGCCGAGTCGGATGAGCTGCAGCGGAGCTGCCCGAGCAGCATGCTCAGTCACAGCCTGAAGAAAACCAAACTGAATGAACAGGAAAATCTGGAGACAAATCATGAAACGGAGCCAAAGCAAATGGATGGAATGGTTATGAAAACGGAAACGGAAGCGGAACAGGGCGTCACCTCAATGGCGAGTTTTCATTTGAGGCCCAAGAAGGGTGAGTGGGATATACACATACATTCATATGGGATCGGAGTACCCACTTCATGCAGATCCAAAATATATATTTATTACCATGGACACGTTTGTCAGTTGCCCTACTTTTTCAGCACATAAAATTCCAATTCCAATTTGATTTGAACAACAATTTTAAAGTACTTGTTAATGCTTATGCTGCAGGACTGGATCGCACACTGGAGGCCAAGCTGACGCCGCTGGAGTACGTCAAGGAGACGCATGCAGTGCCCGGCTTCACAGAGCTGCTCGCCCAGTTGCACAATGAAGCCCAACTACAGCGACCAGATACAGCAGTTGGCAGCTATCCACGCATCATATTCCTTGGCACTGGGTCCTGCATACCGAACAAGACGCGGAACGTCAGCTCCATTCTCATCCAGACAGCGGCGGAAGCGTTTATGCTGCTCGACTGCGGCGAGGGCACCCACGGCCAGATTGTGCGTCTCTATGGACGCGAACGTGCCGAGCAGATAATGCGTCAGCTGCACGCTGTTTACATCTCCCATTTGCATGCGGATCATCATATTGGACTCATTGGCCTGCTGCATGAGCGACAACGATTGATGCCGGCGGCACCATTGCTGTTGCTCGCACCCCGTCAAATCGAGCCCTGGCTGCAGTTCTATAATCGCCAGATTGAACCGATTGCGGATGCGTATACGCTGGTGGGGAATGGGGAGATGCTGGATCAGCCGCTGGCCGACGAGCGTGTGCAGCAGCAGTTGGGCATTGCCTCCATAGCCACCTGCCTAGTGCGCCACTGTCCGCATGCCTACGGTATCAGCCTAACGCTGCACGCACAGCACGAGGGTGAGCCGGTCAAGTTGACATACAGCGGCGATACGATGCCCTGTGCGGATTTGGTGCAGCTGGGCCGGAACTCAACGGTGCTGATACACGAGGCCACCATGGAGGATGACCTGGAGGAGGAGGCGCGCATCAAGACGCACAGCACCGTCTCGCAGGCCATTCAACAGGGTCGCGACATGCAGGCGAAGCACACCATTCTCACCCACTTCTCGCAACGCTATGCCAAATGCCCGCGTCTGCCCAGCAGCGAGGATATGCAGCATGTGGCCATTGCCTTCGACAATATGCAGGTGACTGTCGACGATCTGAAGCACTATCACCGGCTCTATCCAGCCCTGTTGGCCATGTATGCCGAGTACACTGAGGAGCTGGAACAGCGCGCCGTTAAGCGAGAGCTGAAACAGGAAAGGAAACGCAAATTGGCTCAAACGTGATGCTCGAATTCAAGTTTATGCCTGACAGATATCTGCAAAACATTCATTTCATGTCGAAGATAACGATTATACCAGTGAGCAAATTGTGATTTGAATATAATTGTGCTTGGAATGCCTAATCACATCAGAAAAGCTGCCTAGCCTGAAAAACGAGTTGTTAAATTGCATATAAAAATCATTTGTAACATTTTTTATACATTATACATTTCATATACTCTTCAAATGCTAGCCACTTATTTAAAACTTGTTAAATGCACTTAAAACTTGTTTGAAAGTATAGTTGACTTCTCATGACACTCGATAAATGTTAAGTCGGAATAGGGCAGGTATAAACGTAGGACAATAAATAATCTATAGACATATACACTGCTAAAATATACTTTGAAATCTATGAAAATAAGAAATCATATTAAATATAAGCTTAAATTGTGAGACAATGTTTAAACGAGTGAATAAATTGTGATGAGATTATGCCGATATCAGTTGTTGACAACCTACATAATTTGCCTTTAATTGTAGTCGAAACTATTTAAATTAAATTTGTACCTTTTATTTGCTGAAAGGAATGTTTGTAGATTTGTGTCCTATAAGATTGAGATTGACTACTTAATATGAAAAAGTGCTCTTTCTGATAAGATATGCCGGTGTGCTACAGGAAAAAAAATATATATATATATATTTATATACATATATCAGATGTGTGTCAACTCCATCAATATGCAATACTCGATAAAAATTAAAGCAGCTGTATATGAGTCTATTTTGAAGTAAAGAATCGCACATATTGAAAAAAGTTAATTGTATTTATTTGTCTTGCGATAAACCGCAGATATCTCCACGTGTTAGCTTTGTTAAGCAATGAAAACTTGTATTTATTATTGGAAAAAAGAAAACTACAATTGATGTTGTTGTTTTTGGTGTTTGTTTTTATTTATATGTTTACTTTATTTGCTTAGTTTTGCATTCGGTTGCAACAGGTGTCTGTGTAATAAACGCTCATCAAATTACAAATTTAGTTCTTCAATATTATGATGTAAATGTATAATTATCGCATATTAATCTATTAGCATTGTCGACACAACAAAAGGCCACTATTTTTTTTAGTATTTATAATTTTTCCATTTTTTTAGTCAATAAACATTGTATATTTAAGGCACTTGGTGTTCAACGATTTCAAATGGCGATTTCTCAATTGATTCCTACTCAAAAATTTAAATATTTTATTTTTCATCTCTTTTTTTGTGATTTTTTTTCAGTTTTATTATTATTTTTATTTTTTTTTTTTTTGGAAATTAGCTGTGACTAGTTAAAATTAGTAGGTAAACGAAAAAAAATAAGAATATAACAAAATATCGAGGCTTATGCTATTATTTTAGTTTAGCTGGTGATATTTGGTGTGTGTGTGTGTGTGTGTGTGTGTTGGGGGATGGTGTTTTGTGTGTGGCTCAAACGTCTGATTAATATTTTTGTTTTTGTTTTATAAATAAACATAATTTCAACATTTCTTTAAAAATAAATAAATAGTTGTACATTATTTAAATTAAAGAGAAACACATCGGCAAAGATAAGCAGCTGATATTATTTTTTTTTTTTAACAACAATTGAAATTATAATGAATTATAATTCATATAAATAATTAATAATTGGTTCTGCTTTGGCTGCGGATCAAGTTTGTTAGACTACAAATTCATTGAGTTCAGAGATGATCGCTTCATAGTTTTCCTACTTCATCTACTTCACCCCATCTGCGGCTGCCAAAGCAGAAAACAAATATCTAAACGGTTCTCAACACTGCATCATTTCGAGTTAATTGGTTCAGGCACGTTCCACGTAGTTGCCGGGGAATGTGCCAAAGCAGCCGGTTCGCTGCGAGGTGCCCACAAACCAGCCATCGTCGCACTTCTCCAGCACATGCACCAGATCCCCCTCCAACACCTCCAGCTCATCCGAGTTCTGCGGTCGGTACTTGTACAGTGCCCGATATCTGTGATTTTCCAATTACAAAACGAAATTTAATCAATAGTCAAATATTTATTTGATTAGTAGTTCACCACTCACGTCACTGGCTCCGAGCTGGTGTCCACGTGCAGAGCGTCTGTCTTGTGCAGCTGTCGGGTCTCCTTGAGAATGCCATTCGGTGGATGTGCTCCGTTCTGGGTCAGCGTGTTGAACTCCTGATTGATGTTTGTGCGCATCACGTCCAGATTTGGGCGCAGATTTGTGGTGCTCTGCGTGCTGATTACCGTTGTCGTTCTAGCTGCAATATCTTCGGCACCAATATCGGTTAGAACCTGTGAACAGAGATTAATTGGAAGATTAGAATTGAACAAGGGTTTTCAACTTTATTAGAAATTGATAAATAAGCGTAGAACTGGCGTAAGTGTTGCCCGTGTAGGGAACGAGAAATTAAAGACAATGCTAAAGTAAAATACTTAAGATGTTTCTAAATAAAATAGTTGGGTAAAAAAACAATGTGTTTAGCTGAATTCAACTCACATCTGAAAGCAAATCAATTTTTAGAAAAGGGTGAAATGTAGTAGAGAAATTTCGGATAAGAATAAGATAAATAATACTGAATAATTTTATTTTTATTTTCAGCCAATATTATGACAAAGACTCGGCGCTGACAAGCGCAAGATAATAGTGAAATAGAAGCCAAAACCAGTTGTTCTAATTGAATGAAGTTGACTACGGAATACTCTGATATCCCAGTTAAATATATAAAATTTGCCCAAATTTCCTTTAAATAGCTTAACACACTCAAATGTAAGCAGTGGTGGATGCCATAGAACAGAAGGGTCAGAAAGTTTGATGGTAAATGAGCAGTAAAGAAATCAATACCGGACTGCAGAGATTGGATAATGTTTAGGTTGATTTTACTTGATCTTGATGACATTTTTGCTATAGATCAAAGTATATTGTATATCACTTGAAAGACTAAGCCTTGAAAATTGTGTCTACTATCGACAATTGATATTCGAAAAGGGGACATTTATCGATGAAATAAAAATAAACTTGATATGCGCTCGATATACGAGAACATATATCCCAAATATCTTTCAGATACATACGGACAAACGAACATGGCCAGATCAACCAGAGGATACCGGAAAATACAAGGTACGTTACCAGAATCTGTACTGGAATTTCTATTAGTTATTTACCAAAACCTGAACCGAAATTCCCTGTACGACAGCCAATCTGTTATTTTGAACTCACCTCCACATAGGAGACTGGGAAAATGCCCTTGCGATTGGCTATTTTTCCCTCAAACCAATTGCCATCGACGCGACGGGTGAGTGTGACCAGTTCACCCTTGTTGAGGGACAACTCGACACCGGACTGAGCCTGGAAGTTGTACTTGGCCCGTGCCTGACCCTCCGAGGGACGCTTGGAAGGCGTGCGAGCTCCATCGCGACTGACAATCTGTTAACAGACGAGTTTTAATTGATTTATAAATAATTGTTTAATTACAATGAGAAACTTACCTCCACATAACTAGCCGGCAGCAGTCCAATCATCGCATTGTGTTCGCCCTCATACCAATTGGGATCGATTTGTCGCCTTATATAGATTGTGTCGCCCTTGCGGAATGAGAGCTCCCTTTTTCAAATATGAAAAGAAATTTGGATTAGGATTGCGAAAGCTATGAGGCAATTTCATTTGCTTACTTGGAGGTCTGTCCCTGGAAATTGTATAGCGCCCTGGCGACTGTTTTGGGGCCCACCAGCGACTTGAGCGTCACGTCTGTGGGGAAGTCATCGTAGCGATTGAGGGCGATGGGCGATTTCTGTGAGGGTGTGAAATTGTCGGTGTGTCGTCTCGAATTCATGTCCTGCAGCTCCTGTAGATACTTGCGTCTGCGCTCCTCCTGATACAGTTTCTGCATATGCTCCGCTTGTCGTATTGCTAATTCCTCCTCCGATAGGTTCTGCTTGTACTCATGCCTTATCGGTGTCTTGAAGTGTATGTTGACGTCTGTATCGAAATAACAATAACAATTGGGAGTTTCTATAAATACTTGAGAATAGCACTAGCAAATGGCCAAGAAGCGTTAGCTGGGCACAGTTTGTTGGTTGGTTGGTTGGTTGGTTGGTTGGTTGGTTGCTTGGTTGCTTGGGTTCGCAGCTCAAACTTGGCTTATAAACATTACAAGCGAAGCGACGCTAAAAATAATAATAAACTTAAGGAAGGAGCACAACTGTAAGACGAGCTAACCACAAAATAAAAACATAAGAAAATATTGTCGCTGCTGTTACGAAACCAGAGAGTGCTTATCTGTAATCGTATATAGCTGTATCTGTAACTGTCTACGTATATCCATCTCTATCTCGTACTCCATCTCTATCTGTCTGTAGCCTTAGCTGTAGCTTTATCTGAGCATGCCAATTGGTAAGCAAATAAACAACGCTCAGCGCTCAGTGCTCAGTGCTCTTGATGAGCGCACGCATCGCTAAGCAGATAGACGAGAGCTTTAGCGATAACCCGCCCCAACAAAGGTCCCAACTGCGAAAGTATAAACAAAAAAATAAATAAATAAATAAATAAAAACAACACTGCGCGAGACACTCGTTTTCAAATTGAATTAACATTTCTCATTGTATCGAAAATGAGCCGCAATTGAAGTTAATGCTCGTTAGGCTCCACTGATAGCTAAATGAGCCGCCAATTGAAACGAAAGTGGTTGCAACCGTCTGACAGCCAAGTGTTTCTTAATTCAGCTTTTCAAGTAGCTTATCGCTTGGCATACAAATGTGAGAAAGGCTTATGTCTGGCTAATAAATATAATCGAAACTATTAGGCGCCCTCACATAACCATGGGCGTAGCTAACCACATCTCAAATTTACACAGACTTAACGCGGTTTACATTCAAATTTATGAAACAAATTACAATTTGCCCCCTCCAGTTGCACTTTACGCAATCGGGGCTTTCCCTGGCTACGCCCTTGCATATAACACTATTATAAAGTAATGGGAGTCAATTATGAGATCTTCGATTAATAAATTATGTTCAGTACATGTATGAAAATGGGGGGATTGCTCCATCAACTTTCTTACTTAATCATCATATTTATTAACAAGAATATTTGCAATTAAATAAATTCTTGACTTTAACTTTTTAGATTATTATTATTCAAAAAATTCCTTGATTCCTTAATACAAAAATTGGCAAATCAATAGCAATATTTAATACCCTGCCAGAGAATGCTGGAATTGCCCTACGCAATGCATGAAACATTAAGAATTGCTCTCAAGCGAACCCATATTTATAGATTTATTTATTTTATTTAGACATCAAAATTGGAGAAACACTGTGATTTTTGCATAAAAAGTGGAAAAGTCAACTCAATTATTTTAATAGATATTACAATTTCTTTACGAAATGCAAGATGCTCTAAGGATTGTATTGTATTAAATCTGCATAGCACAGAAGGAAAGATATCTATTTCTAAAATCAGAAACAAGTTGGACGATGACAAATGATTTATAATATTTGTTGAAAATATCTAAAGTAAATCAAAGTATTTTTAAATAGGAGTTAAAAGACTTGCATCTTCCATGAATTTATAAAATATTCACCTGATTTCAAAATATTCTGTGAAAATAATATAATGCATAAAACTATCATCTGCCATGCATATCTTTTTACTAAGATATTTAAATTAAAAACAAATAAACAGACAAATTATTTTAGCTACTCAAATAACTAAAACTCGAACTGTGGAAAAACAAGTCCAGATTAATGTTTTGAAGTTGCTGAAAACCACAAGATAAATAAAGCCCATCAACAGATGGAAGTAAACATTTAACTGGGGTGATTTACTAGTCTAACAAGACGTAGTCTGTATCTGTTTTGGCCTTGTTCCGGATGGTTGGGAGTCTTCTCGACCATTTGCATATAACGTGACCGAGTTTCTCATGAACTTGGGAGTGAATTAACGTGACACTCAACTGATATGCATGCCAGTTAAACAATTGAATAATGAACAAAGTCACAAAACAAATTCTAATAAAATTGCGCAGCAGCCGATAAAGTCGTAAAAACCCAGACCCTGCCCCAACCCACCCCCCATGCCCCTTCTCTATTTTCCAACGAATCAACAGTAAATAGAAATTTACTTTTGTAAACTTGCCTCAAGACACTTTCAGGGCAACTTGTGTGTATTTATTTATTTATTTTTTTTTTTTTTTGGGCAGGGAGCTGTGCAACTGTTTAAATATTTGTTTGCCTAAGCAATGACAAAATGCTTAAAAGAAAAAACTATTAACCATAAAGCACAACAACAATAATAATAACAACTTTTGTTGTTGAAAAAGTTAAATTGTCACTTGAGAGATTTTTCACTTTCACTGATTTGTTGTAAAGCCGCAATTTGAAAGTGTTGCAAATTTCCATCTTTCACTGCACACACACACACACACACACACACACACACACACACACACACACACACACACACACACACACACAGATACTCAGACACACACACACAGATACACCTTGTGTGCACTTGCACACCCAGTTATGCCGGCTTTTCCATGACTGTTGCTGTTGTTCGAGCTGGTTGTTAATCAGCTTTTCTTTGCCACTTAGAGCTCTGTGGCATGTCTCCCCATTTCCCCTTCTTTGAATTAGTCACCCAATTAAGCAAAATCAGCGGCAACTCATCAGATAGTAGACGAAGGCTATACGCACAGCTGATAATGCCACTCCACACGAATCAATAACTGAACCCCGATCTGAATGCGGCACGTACCCAACTGCTCTGAAGCACACGTTGCGCTCAACTGAAACTGAAACCGAATCTGAAACTGAATGAAACTGAAAGACTGTGAAACTGAGCACTTGAACAAACTGCGCAACTGAGCAACTGAGCAACTGAATAAACTGAACAACTGAATAAACTGAGAAAGCTGAGCGCCAAAAACACCTTTTCGAGTTGCTCGCCTTAAATCGTTTGCTTATCGTCGTATAACGAGTACCCACAAATCTCACGTTTATTCAGAAATAACTGTTGCTGTTTCTGCTGCTTCTTATGCTTCTTCTTCTTAATGTTGGTGTTGTTGCAATTGTTCACGAAGTGTGAATTATTCGACATTGGTTACACTGGGGCAATTAACTCACGCACTTCTGATAATAATTGAATGACTCCTCAACAATTGCGATTTAGAAAAATCTGTGAATTTACTACAGAAAATACACTCGCAAAAAAATTCAACCTGACAAAAGTCAGCCTGAAAATTATTAAGTTTTTCTTGTTTCTAGAAATAATTTCGAAACATACGAAAACCAATCAAAATAAGAAAAGATTTTTCGTATTTTGCAGAAATACTTTGTCTTAATGGCGAAAGTATTTCAAAGAGTATACAATGCAGATATGCCAAATCAATATTATTAAATATAATTATTTCAAATATTCAGAAAGAAGTCATCAATTTTGCTTTCCGACTACGATATTGGTTTTTTGTTTAGTTGTCTGCCTTAGAAACCGTGCAGCTCAGTGGAAAGTGACACAAGTCACGAACGAGGGCTCGAATTCGAATCGTAAACATTTGGCAAATCTTGAAATACTAATGTTTAGTAAAAAAAAAGATAATGTAAAATTGTTGTTGGGTACACATATTAAATCACACTGGAATTAAGAAATCTTTTTTATATTTTTCAGAGAAATCTAAGCTTGAAATAAAAAAAGAAAGACTCTGTTTTTTTAAATATAATTTCTAAGGTGAGTTGCCCTATCGATTTGAAGTTTTTTTCTGAGTGTATTGAATACATACTCTTACTCTTACATTTCTCAATTAACAGGTCATTGGGTGCTACGAGGTAGTCTTTTGTATTGTGAAAGGAATTATCTACAGGACTAATCAAATAATTTCTATAACACAATTTGACCTAAATAGTCCATATATATTTATTCACTTAATTTTTTATTTTATTTTTCTATTTTGATATATTATTTGGATACTTTTGCTGTATTCTCGACTGCACTAATTGTTTGTTGTAAACATTTTCAAAATAGTAAATTGAATAAAGGAAGAAATACTTTTTCAAGAGAGCAAACAAACCAAATTTTCATTAGCTGTAAATTGCTTATGATCTGATTTTTATCTATTTCGTAAGATTATTTTAGAGCTTAGTTTTAAAGAATTCTACAACATTTTTTTCTTTTTGAATTAATAATTTATTTCTTATAAAAACAGCAGATTGAGAATGTTAGGTAAAAATCAGATAATCCTATTTGAATGCGTTGCCTTTCAAAATTTTTGAGTAACAATATTGCTTTAAATATGTTTTTTGCCATTTTGTTGTATTTTTTAAGTACTGCAATTTATTTCGAATGAAGACGAATTCCGAATTGGAAATATATTGGAGTATTTAAGAAATAAGGAAATTATTTGATCTTTGAACCAGCAAAAAATATATATATATAAAAAGAGATCAGCAAACAATAAAAAAGTAACTTTGCTGCTTAAGATCGTTGCACCTCAAAAAGCGTACAACGGCGATGAACTTATTGCAAACTGAGATATCGAGAGAAATATATAAACACAGAGAGTCTTATTATCTCTCTCTTACTCTCCCACTGGCTCACTCTCACTCACTCCCTCTCACTCTCTCTCTCTCTCTCTGTGCATCAATTGCGCTCTTATTCTTTCTCTGATAACAAGTTTTCTGTTTTGTTTTGGGTTTTGCACAAGGCACCTCGTGAGAAAGTGCCGAATCGGAAGGTCGTTTAATCAAATGAGAAAGTGAACGTTTTGCTGGCAATGGGGCGGCTGTTGTGGCAAGTGGCTTTCTTTTCAAAAAGGGCGTTCAGTGGCGCAGTTATAATATATAAGCGCAGTACTAACTGGCGCTTTGTTGTCGTTGTTGCTGCTGCTGCAGTTGCTGCTGTTGTTGTTGCTGCTGCTGCATGTTGTTGCTGCTGCTGCTGTTGTTGCTGCTGCTGCTGTTGTTGTTGCTGCCACATGAGCAGCGGCATGGAGGCACCTATGGCATGTCGATTGGCCAAATAGGCTTGACGCTGTGCCGGCGACGGTGTGTGTGGCAGACCGACAATATGATAGCTCATTGCTGTTGTTGCTGTTGCTGGCAGTGGTGGCACCATTGGCGCTGCTGTCTCATAATCAAAGCTGCGTCGCAGCCACACGATCTTGCCACAGTTGGGCATGTCGCAAACGCTGCGATGCAGCGCGCCTGGCATTAAACTGTCGATGTTGCCGTTCTGGTTGCTGTCTGCACCACTGCTCTGAGGACGCTGCGACCAATTGTACATTTTGCTGCTGTTGTTGTTGAGGCGCCAACTCAGCTGCTGTTGCTGTTGCTGCTGTTGTTGCTGCTGCTGCAAGTTGTCATCTGTCAGATCCAAGTCATTGCAGCTGCTGTGCAGCTTTTTATGCGGTTGTCGCCAGTGTACACGATTGCCACCACCAGCAACTGTTGTACTACGTCTGCTGTTCCGATTGCTGTTGCTGTTGCTGCTGTTGTTGTTGTTGCTGTTGATGTTGCCATGGGGATGCTGCCCCGCGTAGGTGTTGCTGCGTCGCGGCGCTAGCGTTTGATGTATCATGCTCTCTCTCTCTCTCTCTCTCTCTCTCCCTTTATCGTGATTATTTTGTGTATATAATTTATAATTTTCTCTTTGTTTTTTTTTTGCACTTGCACCACTCAAAGTTGCATTATGTAAGTGGGGAAATATGACGCGCGTCGCGTTCTATTTTTAGCCACATTTAATTGGGAAATGGTCGAGCGTCTGACGTTTTTGGCACGGATAAGTGAAACTTACTAAATGAAAGTCCGCGACAGGTAACTAAACTAACATCCACCTGGGGAACAACCAAGCAGTGGCCAAGTTTCGTTTTGTTGACGCATCGCCCTCATATTTTGGCCATGGCAACGTGCTAGCCGGGTCTTGCCACTTGCCACTTGGCACTTGGCTCTTGGGGGTGGGTTTTCCACGCAGTCCATCGAAATCGACTGGAGCTTCGGTTCTTGCTGCTCGTTCGGTTCTCGGTGCTCGGTTTCGGCTTGGGCCTTGGACAGGTGGCTCAGCGGGCTAAGCGGGTCAACGTTGTCCGGTGTCTTTAGTGTTATTGCTGATATCGATTAGTTTGGTCAACTAATGCGAGGCGCACCTTCAAAATAAAATTGCACCAATTGCGGAAATTTTGTTGCGGTAGTAAAACAAAAGAAAAAATGAGCGGCATTTCACAAAGGTCATTGAATGTAGAAGCACCCAGTGGCGTAACGTGAAACCGCAAGAAAGGGGGTGGCTACAAATTATGTGACTGATTAGATTTTAAAAGGAATTTTTTTTATGGGCGAAGTCTTTAAAAATCAAGACTATTAAGGCCGCAAAACTACAGTTTGAACTTTCCCATTTAGAATGTAAAAACGAGCATTAAAACTGTTTTTAATGCATTTTAATTTAATGGGCGTCATTTGCAATATAATCATAGAAATAAATCCACAATTTTCTTTCACAAAGCATGTGGATTTTGATATTTTTGGTCAAACAGCCTTTTAAGAAATGAATATATCAGAGCCAGTCAACTAAATTAGTTAGTTCGATAAAGGCAAAAAGACTTAGTTGTTGGACAAATATTTATTAACAACTATTTTAAGTCCCTGAAAATGAGGTGGAAAATAGTTAAGACAGTTTTAGAGATGTGAAGAGCTTATTCAAGCAATTTATTATGTACTTAAGATAACTTTATAGTCTTTGATCGTACATAGATTAAAAATATACAAAAAATACTATATTCAAAAGCCAGCTCATATTCAAATACTGTTGTATAATAGTGGAGTAATATATTTTTAGCTTCAACTTAAATAGGTTCAGATAAAATAAACTGGCACTAAAAAATATCAGATTAGGTTGACAACCTGTCTGGTTGACGAGCATGGACTATGTTCGGCCCGTTGTGGTATGCAAACTGTGATCAGAGTTGAAGCCCCCAATCTTGGCTGGTGCAATGTTTGCCAACTCTGATGAAAGGGGCTACCCAGGGTGTAAGTCATTTCCTGTCTAGTGCAGGGCAGAATCAGAAGAAGTGTTCCGGAGATTCTTCTGCTTTTTCCCCTTCTTTACAGCTGCTGCTGCAGTCATTATAGGGTGACTGTGATCTATTAGCAAGGATAGCGACTAGCCAGTGCCCTGTCATAGCATGAATTACTGCAGAGCAGCTTGTGTGATTGAGATAACACAACTCTCTGCTGTGTTTTGTGTTTATATTGGGCCATATTTGGTGGGCTAAGCGACCGCAGTTTACATTTAGCCATTTGTCATTTGATCTGCGTATATTGTTTTCCTTGATTTTGAGCTTACAGCCAGAGGCAGACATAGACCTTCCTTATCAGTGAGGAGTGGTAATAATGTGCCTTTCCTGTCTAGCTCATCAAGTGACCAAGCACCTATATTGGGCTGATAACATGCTGCTTAGACATCTCGTGAAGAGATTTGCGACAGCTTTTACAAATATTTACAGCCCTTGATCTTTTTTTTAAATACGTTTTTCGTAGAACTGACCTAATCTAATCGGACTGTAGTTGAAGTTGTTTGATTTACTGTTTTTGAACTATTTGAAATAGAGACAAGTGATTTTTAGGGTAGCTTGACTCTTTGAGAAGCTACAAATTTCTTTTGTGGGAAATTCCCCTTAAAGGGGTAGAAGTAATGATAGTGTCTCCTTGATCGTAGTGATTTCCGCTTGAAAAACTCTACAATTATTAGGGTGTCGGAAATAATAATTTATATTAATCTAGTTGCACTTGGTTCCACTTGGGAGATGTAGATAATTCTTTAGGATAGAATTGTTGTAAGTAGGCATCCAAGACATGGCCTGCAGTGGTCTGCAGACTGCCAGCTTACACAGTATCAGTCTAATAATTTATAGCATAATAAACTTCAACCATTATCAGCTTAATCTATTACTAGTTATTTGGAGAAAAGGGTAGGGATCCCTCAGTAGTGCCAGAGCTTCACTCTATGAAATCATTGCAATGCACATTCAATAATAATTACTATATTATAAATCAAATACACTTATATCAAACCTTATCAAACCTCAATAAAAGCTCGTCAAATTAAATAAAACATTAGATTTATTCGATCGACGCTACTCGAGTTAACATATATTACATTTTAATAAGATTGTGAGAGTAAACCCAATATTAAAGAGATCATCAGCCAAACACAACTGATCCGTTTTTAGTGCATCTTAGTAGGCAGCGATTGTAGCAAGTCCAATAATAATGAGGGCAATTAAGAGACTCACCTGTACCCGAATCAATTTGGTCACCATTGCTGTAGGTGTAGGGCTCGTAGGATGGGTGGTTCTGTAGTGGTTGTGGCGGTATTGGTGGTGCTGCACTCGAGTCAAAATCTACGCCAACAATTTCAAAGTAATAGTACAGAATATGTGTGAATTTCGAATCGAATGAAAGCCAATTAATTTAAAGCCAAGTCTTGTGAAGCCAGAACCCAATTGAGAACCAAAGCGGAGAACGCAACTACCAAAGGATTATCGCAAATGCAAAAGCAACCAGGTGGAAGACCCTAAGGAGACATAACCACTGCTGCACACCCACTTGGTTGAAGTATGTTACCTTTAAATGTGACTGCCATGCTGCGCTTGAGACGCTCCAAACTGCTCACCGGGCACCGACGGGCTGTGGTTGTTGTTGTGGTTGGGTTGCTTGCATCGGCACCATCCGGCACGTAGCGTGCCTTGGGCCGATGCTTGTGTGGTTCGAACGGTTGATTGGCAAAGAAGTCATGATCGTAGCTGGTTGTCTGCAATTTGGCCGGTCGCAGCGGTGACGTAGAACTGGCCCGCACCACTGTGTGCCTGAGTGGTTTCTTGGGCAGCGCCGGAGTGCGCTGTGGATGCTTGTGTGCCACCCAATCGCCGCTCAAATGTGGCGATATACTCTCGTGCACATCCCGCAAATCGGCCAGCGAGGTGGATAAATAACGCTGTGGTGCACTCTCTGGCGATTCGTAGCGATTGCGTAGTGTCTGCACTTGACCCACCGTTGCACCACTGTTGCTGCTGTGGCTGCGCGTGGGACTTGCCCCACAAGTTGGCAACAACTCGGCCGTCTTGCTAATGATGTCAATGTGCGGCATTAGCAGACCACGCTGACGACGTCGTCCACGGTCCGGCGATGGGGTTGCACCACGCACCTCAAACGTGTGGGTCAGATGGGTGACATCCGACGACGGCTTGGTGTTCTCCTTTAGCAGCGCATCCGTTGCGTTGCTCGGGGCGTCTTTTGATCCTGCCTGCAAATCAGGATCGCTGCGCGCCTTCCGCAGCGAGCTAAGCCCAAAAAAATCACGCCGTTCATTGGATTGGTCGCGTTCAATGCTCTCGAACTTCTGTTTCATCTTCTGCACCTCGCCGGTGTAGACGCGTTGCAGATAGGAGCTGGAGCAGGCCGAGATCTGCGACTGTGGCGATAGACTCCTGGAACGATAGTAGGCATCGTATAGCTCAATGCTGCCATCGCCTGAACCAGGCTCGTAGCTGAGCTCCTGCTCCTGATGCACCTGACGTTCCTGGAGCACCTCTTGCTCCAGCTCCCGCTCCCGCTCCCGCTCTCTTTCTTGGCTGCCTTCGGGCGGACGATCGGGCGGGCTGTGCAAGTGAAAATTTACGCGTGCAGCTGGCCGCTCACCATATATACCACTTAGATCGGTCAGAGAGTTGCTCAGCTCCGTGTGGACAATGTGACGCTTGCGGGCCAACTGTCTTGCCTGCATGTTCTGCTCGATGAGACGCATTACCTCTGCCTCGTCCGGCGAGCTGTCCTCGCGTGCATGGTAAATGGTCTTGGATGGCTCCTCGAACTGACGCTCCTCAAAGTATTGAATCTTTTGGTTGATCGGTGGCTCCTTGGATTCGTGCAGCTGGGCTGCAGCGACTTTCGGTTGTTTCGTCACTTGCGCCTTGGGCTGTGGACGTGGTGGCACCTCGGGTGGCGGCTTGCACAGCGTTAGCTCGGCATTCTTGGCAGCAATGGCACCGCGAGTTTCCCTCGCCACCACCACCGGTGATTGGCTGCGAGTGGGTCGGGGCAGCATTTGCGATTGCTCCTCGCGTTTGCGCAACACTGGACCCAGGAGCTGCTCCTTACTGATGTTCGAATTGCAGCGAACCTTGAGAGTATTCGCATGGCTGCTGGGCTTCGAGCCCTTCTCCACGGTGACCACAAACTGCTCCTCCTCCTCCACAGCACCAGCAGTGGATTTGCGATTGCCGGCATAGATCTCATTCAGCTGCTGTGTTATCTTTTTGATTTGATCCTTGGACAGTGTGCTGACCAGATCATTACTCAAGTGCCGATCCGTCTGGGCTTGCGATTGTGGCTCTCTGGTAAGCTCTAGACTACTGGCCAGATCCGCAACCGTATTGCGTCGCCATTGACGCTGGATGGGTGGCAATTGTGCCTCCTCTCGCTGTTGCTGCTTCAGCAGCTGCAGTTGCTCGAAATTCTCGCGCAAATCCTCCACCGACTTCTTCTTGGCGTGCAGTGCCTGATCGGCTTCGTGTCGCCACTTGAGTTCATTCACATCCTTGGATCGAAAGTGCAAGTCGCGCTCACGTTGATCCATCTGCAACTTGCCAACCAGATACTGCAGCTCCTTCTCGGCACGCTCATGCAGTCGCACCTTGCGCCACTCATCAAAGTCCAGCAGCTCGGCATCCTTGCGCAATGGATGAAAATTACTCGCGGACGTCGCTCGCTCCAGCTGTCCAACGCGCTCCAGCGTACTGTAGAAGCGATTCAGCTCCGTGAATCGCTCACAGTTGTTGCGATAACGACAGCTCGGACTGTGCCGCTCCAGATACGTGAGCGAGGTAGCGCTGTGCGCCAGTTCGCCACACTGATAGAGTCCTCCTCCGCTGCCGTTGCCGGCAGCAGCAGCGCTCGCCTGCTGCGCCCTCTTGCTGCGATCATCGGCGCTGCTCAAGCTGCTGGCACGCACCACCGCCTGCTGATCTGCCTTTTCCTGACTCCGCTGACTCGAACGCAGACTGTCGATGCGACGACGTGAAGGGGAACGCAACTCGCGCTGTGGTGTTTGTGGCACGCGCACCTCACGCGTCGGAGAGAAGCGACGTTGACCCACCTGCACCACCTGTGCCACTTCAGCGTGTGGTGCTACGTCTGTCACAGCAGCAGCAGTAGCAGCAGCCACAGCTTTGTTGCCCTGTTGTGATTTATTCTCATACTGCCACACGAGATCCTCGATGCAGCTGGGTGGTCCTTGACCCGAATAATCATAGATATCCTCACCGTAGACAGCTGGCTCCACCAGCGAACTGTATTTGTAGTCGTTGATCAGTTGGGGCAGCGAGTGTGGCACCTGCGACTTCTGCTTTGCATTGTAATCGTTCCAGAAGTGCGTCTTCTCACGCACCGTTTCGCTGTAGGAGGCAACCGATGCCGGGGGTTTCTTGGACTTGGGAGTTTTTGTCTGACTGGCACTGGTTCGCTTGCGGGGCACATGACTCTCGCTGCGACTCATCTGCAGCGGCACATTCGATTTGCCCACATAGGTTTTGGGTGGTGCAATTGGCGCTGCATACTCCTGCCTGACTTGCGACTCAATGGAGTAGGTTGAGTTGCTGCGTGGCAGACTCTCGTTCGAGGCGCTGCGATGGACTGTGGCAATCGTTTTGATCGATTGCGTCGGTGCCTTGGTGCACCTGCTGGGCAGCACCTTCTTCAGGGCACGACTGCAGTCGAGCAGATGTTGCGGCCTCACCTGCGGAAAGCACATGGTGTGTCGCGTGGTAGTGCTAACGGTGCTGCTGTGTCGCAGGCGTGGCAGCGACTTGCTGCGCGTATGTTGCGCCTTGCATGTTGCATAGGAACGGACCGCTTCGCGAACCTCCTGCGGCGATTTCAAAGAGGGATCCCTTAGTATATTGGTGCTAGCCTCAAAATTGGTGCGGCTCAGCGGCAGGGTGTTCTCAAGACGTTTCTTCTCCTCGGCAAAGCTCCGCTCCTTGGAGATGCTGCGGCCAAAGGCCACCGGACTGCGGCTCGAGTGACGCAATGCCAACACCCGATTCGATGGTCGCCGACTGGGACTAGCCGAGCGGAGACGTGCATGATGCTGATGATGATGCTGTTGACGCAACACGCTGCCATCCTTGTTGCGCGTCTCCTTGGTGGCGGTCAGAGTGGCCAGCAGTGTGGAAACGGCGCCAGTGGACTTCGATCGGCAAATGGGCTCACGTCGGCAGCTGGTGGCAACTTTGCGCAAAGTGAGGCTATTCGTGCCGCCGGGTGGCTGAAAGCATTGATCGTGACGCGACTTGGAGCAGCTGCTGTTGCTGGTCACCTTCTCCATGCGGACAGTGCTCTTCGTGCACGAGGATCGACGATTCGGTGGCAAGGGAGGCGTCTCCTGCTGCTGCTGCTGTTTCTTGCTCAGCGGTATAAAAGAGGGTAAATTCTTGGAGAAATTCGAAAACATTTTGTCGGCTGCTGTTGGTGGTGGCGGCGGTGGTGGCGGAGATGGAGGAGTTGGTTTTTTGTTTGCTGGTTGCACTTCTTCCTTGGACTCCTCGAGTGGTTTGGTGCTCACGCGTATTTTTGTGAGCGTTGGCGTTATCTGTATAAATTCGAATTCCTCCACAATTTCTTATTTGGATGGAAGATTGGGAAGACATTATAGGTTAGCTTGATTAAACGGCAGCGACTTTAGAGAGGGTGCCCGGTGCTGCAGTGCTGTAAGGAACGCTTTGACGCATTGATTGCTGATAACAACTTCTAGTGTGGGCAGTGGTTGTGTACAGTAAATACCAAAATACGAGTAGTAGTAAGTAGAGAATAGAGTAAAGTCACGTTAGATTGTTGTAGTAGTTGAGAAAGTAGAGAGTAGTAGAGCTCAAGGAACCAGTTAAAACCAACACCAATCAGAGAATTAGTACTCAACTGCGCCTTAACTCTAGTTATTAGCAGTAACTACTTTAAAATGTATAAATCTTGAGGTTTGAGGCTTACCTTTGGGTTTCTCGGGCGCTGGCTTACGGAAGCCGAGCAACGGCGGTTCACCTCCTGCCTGTAAGCTCTTGTAGGCCTGTCGCTGTTCCACGGGACTCAGAGGACTGCCTGGGGCTAGTTCCTTTTTGCGGAACACTATATTTGAATCACTTGTATAACCCGATTCTTTGGCAAGGGCTCTATTGGCACATAAAAACAATTGTTACAGTAACAATATAATATATGAAATATTCATTTTCTATGCTCTTACCTTGACAAATTGCCTTCTGAATAAAGCGGTGATAATTTCGATTGATCCAAGTTCTACAGTGAAATAAAAGAAAAAAACATATTAAAATCGCACTTCAAGCAACTTTTTCTTTAAGGGTACCGGATTCAAGGCATTTTCGCTTTTTCGCTTTTGCAAAAATTAGTAGTTCGAGTGCCTTTTTTGTGGATGATGTCTGCTGTCTGCTGTCTGGCTGTACTATACTATATACAACTACTAAAAGACTTACTGCATAGTTATCGAAATCATCGACGAATTCTATGATAATACGCGGTATGCGTGTATGTTCCCTGAGCCACTTGGCGATAAGCATAATTTTTACGGTGGATAGGGGAAATATATGTATAATAATATGCAGAGAGGGAGAGATAAGATACAAATATAAACCAGGTAATTTTTTGGTGATTGAATTAGTTAGCGGAAAACTTGTTGTAACTCAAAAGAAATCAGAGAACAGACGCAAAATTTTGTACAAACTAAATAAAACTAATAAGAATGCTATAACTAAAATTAATTGTCTAGAACAGGAATTATATAGATTAGAGTTCATACCCCGTTAAAGATGTCCATCACTTCGTCCCACCACTAGAATTGTGAACAAAATAATTGCAGTGAGTTAGAATAATTGCTATGTATGACTAATGATGATTAGGCGTGCTGTGATATCATATCAGATATGGGGGCATATTATAATGATTGTGCTTAAAGTGAAATGTGATTCTGGCGGGGGCGGAATGATATAAGTTATAAGCTTGGGCTAGTGGGTTAATGAGAGATATTGGACATGTTTAGATATAGCCATTGTCGAGTTCACACAGTCTGGTTATTTTGCGATTGGTTCTGTGTGTGAATAAATGCTGCGGCTGACTGTTTGGCCTGTCGGGGCACTTGCCTCCTTCTTCTCCTTCTCCGACACGGATGAATGGCCAGTTGTATAGTTCTCAATGCGACCAGGTTGATTCTTGTAAGAGTTCTGTGCCGATTTGATCGGATTGGGCATAGTACCATACAATCTGAAACCAAAATCGAAACGTCAATAAGATGTCTAAATGTTTGTGAAGGATTACGTACTTATCGTCCTGGTTTAGATTGCGCACGTTGACAGCAGATGATATCGATTGAACGCGTAGCGGATTCGGTGTACGATACTTTAGAGTTGAGTAGTCCGAATCGTAATTGGGCTCGGGCTCGGAGACATAACCATTGCTTTTGTACGAGGGACGTGCTGCAGGTATTGCAAATGGAACTTAATTAGAAATACAGAAATCTATTTGTGTATGGTTTTTGGTTAGAAATTTACTACTGTTTCTACTGTTGCTGTTGTTGGTGTTAGCACTGTTGTAGTTGTTTGGTGTGTTAGCAGACATGGTGTTAGAGCGTTGTGGTTCTTAAGTTTAGATTAATGTTGAAATTAATTTAAAGCATTTCCAATGAGCTAAACGGCACGCAAAATATGAGAAAATATAATCAAAACAATAATTATGATACCGATTATGTAGTAATTCTGCATGCAATCCAATTAAGTAAATCAAGATAAATCATAAATGGATACAACTACCAACACATTAAGTACCAACCGAAAAGATGGCGCTAAAGCGGAAAATCTAAGCATTAAGTATGGCTAGCTACAGACAAGGAGAGATAGAGGTGATTACTTTGTAAGCGGGCTTAGACTGAATTTTGGTATATACGAGTATTACGTTTAATTATAGATAGATAGATAGATATGTATGTCAAAAAATCACCTCTGGGACACTTGTAGCGTATCACAAAATCGTCTGTTGTGTGCGATTTAACAGAACAGTTTCAGTTTTGAATGAAAGCGTATGGAGGGGTAATTGATTGATTGATTGATTGATTGATTGATTGATTGTGTTTGTGGTATAGTAGACAAGAGAAGACATTCAAGAAGTTCAGAGAGAGAGAGAGTTTTAATTAGAACTAGCTCAGCAGGCACCAAACTGAAGCATTATAAAATAGGCAGCTTGGATAGTGGAAATATGTGGAGGGTTGGTTATTGTTGGGATGGGTCTGGGTTGGGTTTGGTGGGGTAATTCAATTATATTTCACAATGCTTCAGTTTGAATTGGTCAAAAGTGGCAAGGAGCATTTACCGCCATTCTTCTGCTTATGTATGGTCTGATAGAGTCGCTTATACCATTCATGCTGATGCGGTTCCTGGACCTCCTGCAGCGTAACAGACGAGATAGTAAATAGAAAATATTGTATTTCTCAGCTAGTTGGTGCCATGCAGCCCAATTCTTTAGTTTTATCTTTTACCGATCTGAGGATGATGGGCATTCCATCGTTTGTCACCGGACCGATGCCATCGTATTGCCGTCGACCTAACTGTGCCATTTTGCGCGGACGATCGCTTTCCGTTTCCGGTTCGCTCATATACTCGTGCTTGACTTTGTAGACTGTAAACCGTAGAGTGAATATAGTTAGGTGTTTGTCAGTTGTCTGAGTGGGGTGGAGTACTCAAGAGCACAGGTGTAAAACACTTATTAAAAAAAACGGGGGTGTAAGATCGGTTAAGCGGCCACATTTGTTGTGTTTGCCCTGTGTTGTGTGTATAACGACGTGAGCACCAGCGATCTGGTCTGGCATACCCTACAATTGATACTTACTGACTTCATTGGGCCTATACACTGCACGGCTAGTGTCGGCCAGTTGACGGCGTGTGAACGGCCTGTGCAGCTCCGATGTGGAAGCCGAGCGTTCAAATGCTGCAAGGAAGTCGGGTAGGAAGGATGGGGGGAGGGGCGAAAAGTGTGAGATGAGACAAATTAGCGCATACTTTGTATGTATTAACCAACAGACAATTAAGTCACAGTTTAAGCAGCAGAATACGAGTGTTACCAGACTTTTACTACTTATCTACACACGGCTACGACTATGAATTGATATGTCTAAAACAAATAAATACACAGCTGCCTGCACTTTTGGGAAACACATGTTTTTCAAAGCCATTGATTGTTTTCCTATTTCTTTAGCTAAGTTCTTGACATTAACCAACCTAAAGAAATATATATTTAAATGATCGCGAGACACAAATTCAATGCATGTCACCAAAAAAATATCTTGAAGGTAAACTTATATTAAATAAGTTCAAGAAGTTGAATTGACTATTATAATTTTTAATGAGGGAATTCATGCACTGCGACCTGTCAAGTGCCTTAAGATTCCTTGATTGACTGTACAATATATAAGTATAGTTTCCTGATTATAAGCGTTAATACTGAGTTCATTTATACGGATTTTTTGCAAAGCTTTGTGCTTTAGATGAACGTAGATTGTCTGGAGGGTTAACTTCAAAATTTCAATTTGAATTTTGTATTGCTCCTAACAATATATATTCTAACAATATATATTATTTTCAAATCAAATCATTGGCTTTGAAAGACTGCATCCCTGGGAGCCTAACACCCATTGAAATATTGGCTTGGGGCAGTACTTTTAATCTTGTCGGAGACGCTGGAACTGGGAGCCACTGGGCCAAATTGATTGGAATAATCGGTTTCCGCGTAATCAGAATTGTTAGAGTTGAGCGTTGTGGGTGTGCTCAGGTTTGTGGTGGTGCTGCTGCGTGGTGCAGGCGCCGGGCAGTTGCCGTTGGTATACGACCAGGGTGGTATCGTCGTCGTCGTCTGTTGTTGTTGTTGCTGCTGCAGTTGCTGGTTGGCCGTGTAGCGTCGTGGCAAGGTGGGTGACTCAAAATGGACGGGCCGAAATTCCTTGCGTCCGCTGAGCGCCGGCGACGGCTGCGGCGTCCAAACGGGCCGTGTGGGTGGTGGCGGTGGTGTTGGTGCCGCCGAGGAGCCGATGTCTAGCTCGCTGCTGGAGCCGTACGGTGTTTGACTCTTCGGTGTCCAAACGCCTGTTAATGATGCGAATGAGTGGCTGTCACTTGTAAAAAGTGTGTGGGTCGGGGGTTTCAGTGGGGCAGGGCAGGTTGCAAATTGGGCAACACATGACATTTTCAGGGGCGCAAGTTCATATCGAATTGAGTTTTTATCTTGGCGACGCTGACATTTTACACTTGTCAACAAGTTTATGCTCGTCTACGCATGATGCTGTTGCTGTTGAGATTTTTGGGTTTTTTATTTTTCGGTTTTTTCTAACAAAAATAAATGTTGCAGTCAACAAACCGAGCGAAGACAAATTGACAAACAAACATCGCGACGTTGAACAGCAATAATTAATACGACCAAGGAAGCCGCATTTGGCAGCCATTCAAAATTTGGTCACAAATACAAATATACACACACACACACACAGTCATTCACACACACATACCTTCAAATGTGGTTCTATTGGGCGAATGACTCATAACATTTGGCGTATGTTTAGAATTTACAAAGACTTTCACAGATACAAAGATACAAATATACAACGCAGACTGTTATAAAATTCTATTTGAATCAAGCGGCACAAAACTCACACAACTCACAAGGTGTTTAAATAGTTGAGTACAGTGGATACTGCACACTGGTGAACTAGAGCAAAGTGTTTTTAAAGAAAACTCCAATTTGGTCTAAGGCTGGAGAGCTTTGTAAAGAACTTGCTAATAATAATATATTTTCACAATCGAAAAGCAATACCAAAGTTGCATTACTTCTCTTCCAAAAAAGCTACAAGAAAATAGTCGAGTTTTGGTTTTAATATTAGAATTTAAGTACAGAGACAATGTTGCAAGATTTTGGTTTGAAACAACTCTCAAATTTCACAATAATCTAATTATAAAATGTAAATGTTTCTTTATTGCTTGGTGACCTCTTTTTTGTATATATATATACATAAAAAAAAACTCGATCTGACTCCAAAAAAAAACAAATTTAAATGTTCAAGCTATTTGTGATCAGAATTTAAGAAAAATATTCGTCAACGTAGATTACTTTCCAGTTTTTAATAGTATGGTTAAACTTGCAGAGTGTTGCAATTTTGACATGTTAATAGAATTTTTATTGCAGATAATAATAAATAATAATAATTAGTGCATTTTTACAACACTAAATACTATAAAATGGTGACATTTTATAGCACTACCCTTTAACCATCTAGCCGAATAAAATGAAGAAAAAAAGCTCTAAAAAATTATGAGAAATTTTCATAAAGATTAACAAAATGGTTTTTGCTGGTTCCAGATCAAATGTTTTTTTTTTTTATTTAATTCGAGATTCACAGTCCACAGTCCGTTCGGTCAGCAGTGGAGCTTGAAATGATTTGTATCTAAAAATTGTAATTGAAATTTGTTTGGCTTTTATTTGTTCAGTTTCCTTGCCATAAAGTCAAAACGGCCCTCGTTGTGGCTGTGCAGATCACATCTTTCACTCTACAGATTTATATGCCACCTGTATCAGCTCGCACACACACACACACACTCACACACACACTCACACACACACACACACAGTCATAGATACACATACGAAGAAATAGATACAGAAGATTGGTATAGCCTGCCCTAGGCGCTATTGCCACTAGACATTGACACGTATATCGCATATAGAAATCGTTTTCGTTCTTTTCATGCCTCTCGTATTTTGTTGGCGAACTTTTGTTGTTGTTGTTGATCTTCTACTATTTGTTGTTGTTGTTGTTGTTGCTCTTAGTTTGTGGGTGGATGCGCTGACGTCTTAATTCAATCAGCACTTAATCGAATTATACAATCGAATCAAAGTCTTGCCGCTGTCAATCAAAATGAATAAAAAAAATCACAGTCCTTTTCACATGTTCACTTAATGAGTCACTTGACAACACTCGCATTTTGCTGACCAAAACACACACATTGACATTGCTGAGAATTACCCAATACAGGATGAGGAAGTACTAGTTCTGTAGTTGTATTATGGAAGTTGAGTTGAGATAGGATCGATTGACGGCGATTGACTGACCGAGTGGCGAGTTCTGAGTTGCTGACTCCGCGCGCGGCTCAAAGCGACTGAATTTTGCGTGACCCGGCTGCGTCGAGCAGACCAACTTAGTGAATTCTGTTTTGGTGTGGTTGTTGTTGCTGCCGCTTCTTTTGGAAAAGCAGTGGGGAGCAACAAAGACAAAAGGCGCAAATCACAAGCGACTGCCAAATGACTAAACACACCCAGTCGCAGTCAGGCAAACTGAACTGAACCCCGCCTCTCCACCTAACCAGAGTCAACAACAACAACAATTTCCCAGTGCTCAGCGATTTTAAATAGAAGATCAATTACGCTGCAATCAAATATGGGAGCGCTCTATGCGCTCCGTGCTCAATGGAGCATTGCCCAGCAGTAGCAGCAGAGGCAACAGTGGCAGCAGCAGCAGCAACAGATCGGATATATTTTATTTTGGACGAGACCGTTCCGAGACAAAAGCACTGTTTGTGTTTTTTTCTTTCTTTTTTTTTTTGCTTTTTTTTTTGTTTGTGGAACGCCAATTATGCGTGCAATGCGAAATGGAACGGATGTGTAGCGACTAAATATACCATACTCTGTATAGTAGTGGAACTACTCCCCAAATAAGAGTGCTCACTAAAGAGTCAATCAAAATGATTTTGTATTTTTTTTGTTTTTTGTTTTTTGTCTTTTTAGTGGTGGTTTTCGCTTAACTCTTTTGGGCGCTTTTGTGCACAAGAACAAAAACCAGAAAAAAACAAAAGACATATTACAAACTAGAAACTACAAACTATGAATGTGCGTTGGGTGTTTCTGGCTTGGATTGGCTTGGTTTGGCTTGGGTTGGCTTGGCACTTCCGGTTCGGTTTTTATTGCTCTATCTGCTTTTCACTCGTTTTAGAATAAATCAAACGGAAATTTTTTAGCCAATAAAAACAATGCTTGGAAAAATGCTCATAAAACGTTGCCTAGTCTTTCGGCCAAAACACACAGATGGGCGGCGGACGTAAAGTGGGGGGAGGTGGCTGTGTAGAGGGCGGGGAGTGGGTGGAGGGGGAGGGGTGCCCGCCTCACACACAGCTGGGTGTGTTCCAAGGAGCGCCCGCGCTCGTTCGTGAAGAAGCGCATTTACTTAGGAAATTGGCTCTGAGCTCGTCGCATTTATGTGAAATTTATTGATTTTCAAACTGAAAATGGAATATCGAACAGGCATTTAAGAAAATAAACAAAGAATTCTACCTGTAATGAGCAAACCTTTAATTTTAACTAGATAATTTGCTAAAAACTTTTTAATGACGCGACAACAAGCTGAGCGAAGCTGTAATGATGGACTTTTAGTTGCCCTGTAAAACAGGTAATAAATAAATATATATAAATTTGAGTCTCAACTGCATTTTCATGTCCCATATCATTTATATGGCATATTTATTTTGAGTTTATGATTGAGAGAAAAGCGTAAGAGGGAAATCTACCCTGTACCCCTAGACAAAATGAGTCTTATATTCCCATTTATAAGACTCCGTTTAAGACTTTCAAAAATCAAATTTAAATTTTATAGTATTTGATGTTTATTTGACCTTTTGCCTGTTGCGTGATCTTTTTACAGGGTATACAACAAGTGAACAAATATAATTTCTTTTGGCCTTGCAAGAGAAACGGAGGCTATCCGACGGATTGACAGCAACCTGTGCGTGCGCCCATTAATTGTGCGATTAGAGATTGGAGTGGGATGGGAGAGCGCTTGGTTTTCTGATGGGGTCTGGCATCATTTGAGGGCGTGGAGAGTCGCGACCTGGCAGTTGTCAAAGCTCTGTGACCCAGCCTGGGATAGGTGCGTCTCTCTATTGTTGTTGTTGTCGCTGCCAGCAAATTAGAAACCATTCTCGCATTGATTTATTCGGTTTGCCATAATGAAGAGGGCTAAGTATTTATGGAGTGCTGCACATTCCCGTGAATTTAAATGCACAGACTGACAGATCAGCATGGAGCCCTTTTGAATGCGGCACGACTTTGATGTTCATTCTGCTCGCTTTTGGGCAGGTTGAAAGGTCATTGGAATTTGCAGTCTGAAGGGATTAGTTAGCCAAATGACAATATAGTTTGTAAATGAGGTTTGAAAATGAATATTTAACTAAAAGTATGTATATAGCGCAAATCTCTAACTAAACCTCAGAAGAATTTATGAGCACTCAATGGATATAGATTTTAAGGCAGCTAATAATGACCGAAGTCGTTAAATGGCAAATAAAAATTTAAGTAAGATGATTTTTTCAAATCCAAAAATCCTCTGCTCCGTTAAGAATAAATTGTTTTTCTATATACTCTAAAGTTCGCCACAAAAGTTTAATTCCACAATAAATCTCTTGCCAGATTTTCAACACGTATGCCAAACAAATGAGTCGGCAGCGCTACGTCATCTTCAGATATACTATATATATATATATACTATATACTATAATGGAGCATATGTAGATCGCGATGCCCAACTAAATAAACCCAGTTCTATTAAACTAGCCTTTCATTCACACAAATATCATATCAATAATCATATCAACAATGCCACTACTGACCAAGTTCAACTGAATTTATAATAACTATAAATTATTTTTAGTCACTAAAAGTCAACGTAGAAAAAAACAGATAATTTTCTCGTGTTTTTTTTTCGAAAATGAGAAAAAAATAAATAAAATAAACGCGGGCGTAGTTTAAAAATAACAGCGTACAAATTAATGCTTTAAATAAATAAAGGCGCCTTTGCGGCCCAAAAGAGCTGCGAAAATCGAAAGCAAGCATAACATTTTCATAACTAAACTCTGGGCTAATGTTTTTCGGATCGTGACGCCAATCAAACGCCAAATGGGGCGTATACGCATTTTGATAGATTAGCTACGCCCACATACGACAATATCCACCCATAAGGTGTTTTGTCGAGCAAATCGCATTTATAGCATGATCGTCAAAGTATTTGAGACATTGATTTGGCAAGCATTGGTATTATGTACTGCGCTTTTCATCTTCGTTTCCCATCTGGATTTCCTTTGTGTTTATTTTCCATTTTTAATGGATACTGTAAAAGGCAGGCAGTTGTGGGCGTCTAGCAAGAGCAGCAAGCTGCACACAAACATATATACTTGTATATATATTTGTAATAACAAATTTTTGGATTGTACGTCATTTTATATATTTAGCACAAAGTAACGATGAGTAAGAGGAAGCTGAACTAAGAAACAATGCGCACCTCCAGTTCCAGTTTGGAATTTTCCTGCTAGCACAATTAATATGAGCTAATTTGAAATATTTGAAATAAACATGTGCAAAGTCAAAAATCAAGTTCAATTCTATAACAAAACAACACAAAATTATACAGAGATAGAGATGATATATACAAGTCTAACACAAAATCATCATCAAGAGCGTGAAAAGTGGAAAACTAACTGAATACAAAATAATCTATTAATAAGTGCCAATAAATTTCAAACAGCAAGAAAGTTGATTAGAAATGTGCCTTAAATAAAAAGCGAATTAATTAAGTTTATATTGCTACCAATTCAAAAAGCTGAAAGAAACGTATAAAAAAATAACCATCTGTCTGTGAGTGAGAAATCATTCTCAAAAAAGCAGAAAGGTATTTATTTATTACTGCAAGAAATGTCAGAAAAGTTTGATTTTCTAATTAAGTCTTTAAAACTAAGGGGAAGTACAATCTGGAGTCATGTAAAGTTTTAGTCTTAAAAGATTTTTTAATGCATCTCAAAGATGTTTTATCAATTCGGAAATAAATTAAAAGGGTTTGATTTTAGACTTAAGTCTTGAAATCTTTGTGGAAATAAAGTCTGATGTGATGTTAATCTTTAGTCTTAAACAGATTTTTAATACATTTCAAAGACTTTTTATTAAAAATTAAAAAAGAAATAAATCTCGAAGTCTCGCTTGGGGAAATAGTAACTTAAAATGAGGTTAAACTTTACTTTAAAAAGGTTCTTTAATGAATCTCATATTTGTAAGGTTTACTAAAAAATATACCTTTTATGAATATATGCTGAATCAATTTTTGGTAATTGTTTGTTATTTTACTTAAAATGTGCAGAGTAAAAACAAATTCAGAAAGAGTTTCACTTATATAAAGAAAACTGTATTCTTTTCTTCAGTGAAAAACTTTTATGTGTGCAACACTTTAAGACTTAATTTCAAAGTTAGAAAACTATTTAAAAGAAAATAATCAAACAACTTTTTGTAGAATAATTTACACTTTAGAGCCTTTATTCAAGAAACTGTTTTCTTGTTGACGAATTTACTTTTACCTGCCATTTTCAGCATTTCAGCTAATGTCATTGACTTAAAATTCAAGTATTCAATTATAAATACAAGAAAAACACTATCTTTTAAGTGCTTTATCTTTTATACTCTATATAACATAAATCTGACACACATTAGAAGAAATGAGTTACGTGTAAAAAAACACTTCAAAGTTTGTAATAAACAAACTGAGAATCTGACTTTTACATATAATATTCTGCCCATGTTACTGATTTAAAATGTACTCCAGCATTAATACAAAACAGACACTATTTTTTAAAATGCCAAATACTCTATATAATAAAAGTCTGATGCATATGTGATGCATTCAATTCTTCATGAAACACACAATAATCCTAGACATATTTTTTATGCAAATACGATCAAAGAATTTGTCAATCTATTTGAACTGTGTCCACTGAAAAGGTCATGTTTGCCACGTATGCGAAGATTCAAACAGTTTTTACGTAGACTCCACACCTGTCATCAGATGTAATATTTACATAGATCTGATGTACACAAGATCTGGATGAATTTTACCTGAGCCAGTTGGTGCGCGTGCTTTAAATTTCGGCGCGAACATTGTTGAATTTTGTGTGTGCTCTGCAAAAATGTTGCATATGAATAATAAAATGAGATTTTCTTTGCGGGCAAAAAAACAATAAGAAACACTTGCAACAAGCTTCACATCACTGCATTTTCTTTAGGAATGGGCGATAAAAACACCAGACACTTTTGGGGGCACTGCACAACAAACAATTGATACAAATGAAAAGCGGGCTGAGCACAATTTGTTGGTAAAACACTCGACTAACCCTGCCCCATTTTTATTTTGTGCTCGAACTCAATATATTTTTGTGATTTATGCAAGTGGAAATATAGAAAGGCTGTCGCTGCCGCTGCTGCTGCTGCTGCTGCTGTCTCTGCTGCTGATTTTAATATATCTATGTATATATATATACTTTTTGCTTTTTCTTTTATTTTTCACGCGCCTTCGCGTTGCGCACACGACTTAAACACGACGACGACTACGCCAGGCGAAAATCTTGTGCAAGTTGCTACGATTTTCTTTAAAATTTTCGTATAAAAAAAAAAACCCAACTTTTGTGAGCGCGCAGCAAAACAACAAATTCGTTGAATGCTCCCTCAAAAAAATTGTATTTTTCATTTTCCTATGCGGCCTTAGCATAAACAAAACGCTGATGCTTTCGTAAACAGAGACAGGAAGGTGGCAGTCGGCGCGGCAAGTGGTAAAATCCGATGGGAAAAACGAAAGAAAATCTAAAGACATTTACATAAAGAGCAAACAGAGCAATCGAGAGACAGCGGGAGAGAAGGAGAGTGAGAGAGTATGTGTGCGAGAGAGAGAGAGAGAGAGAGTGTGTGAGCATATAGATGATCATGTTCTGAAGTGGGCCATAAATATGGTCGAGACGCCAAGATAAAGATACATTTTAACACATACACAGTCCGACAACAGTTTAACAACATGACCAAAATCATTTGCGCGATGCTCACGTCGTATACACAATTTGTTATGCTTGTGCGGGGCTTAAAAGTGTTGCATACTTTTTGGCTGTGGGAGCAAAAGTGTTTTAGAAATACATAATAAACATAAACATAAACGTATCATTATTATTAAGCGTATATTGAAAACGAGCGCAACTATAAATTTTATACCAACTATATATATATATATATATCTGTATATACTACAAATTTGGCCAATTAGTTAAGCAGCTGCGCTAATTTCCACGAACGCACCACAGACATTTAGAGGGCACACGAAATAAACAAAATAGACAAAATAGACATAGACACACAGGTGTTGGGGTGGTAAGAGGGTAAGAGGGGGTGGGAATGTACACATAAAAAGGGGGTCATTTCACCGACCGTTGGCATAGAGAAAGCCCTTGGCCAGCTGCAGATCATTGTCAATCTCCTTGAGCAGATCGCTCTCGGACCAGCTGCGTCGTTGGCGCTGCTGCTGCAGCTGCTGCGGCGATAGCAGAAAACGCGTCTGTTTCTGTGGCCGTAAATGCTGCTTCGCTGCCATTGTTGGCGTCGACGTCGATGTCGACTTTGGCGTCGCTGTTTGCTGCTGATGTCTTTGTTGTTGTTGTTGTGGTTGTTGCTCGCTCTTAATTGCTATGGCTATCAAAATTGTTGGTATTCGTTTAGTGTCTCAACGCGCTCTCTTCTAGACGACGCATGCCACATCATGCTGCACTTAGTCTAAGAACCCTGTGCTCAATTATCTCCATCTCTCTCTCGCTCTCGCTCTGCAACAAAAACAAACGATTTGTTTGTTCGGGTGAGCCACCACCCTCTGCTTGCCCCCGCCATCCGTTTGGCATACCAATTGAGTGGAATTAATTAAAATTTCCGCTTAATCGCGATTCTGTCTATCTGTCTGTCTGTCTATCTGTCTGTCTGCCCCTTCACCCACTACCCAATAAATGCACTTTTCGCAGCGCCCCAGTTAAATCGCCTCAATTGTAAGGGGGATATTTGGGCACTTATAGCTTAAATTGCCTACTCTCTACTGGGACACTTGAGCACAGAGTTGAAGAAACGAAAGTCGGCCAAAGAATCAACTTAATATTTATTGTTATGAGCATGTAAGACATTTTTGCTAATGAGAAACATTCGTGGACTCTTTATATATGATATATATGATATGATATATATATAAATATCACATATATATATATATTAATATATATATGATTGTTTTGTGACACAGTAAATTTAACATTTTCCACCACATTTCACATTTCTCAAGCAATTTTGAAAATATTTTTGTGAAATTTTTGCATCTGAATCTCATAAATTGATGTCATTGAAAATGATTATGCTGCCTAAATGTGACAAATATGAATACGTTTTATCTGAGAGCAGAGCACGCTGGCATGAAAAACATATAAAATATAAATAATTAGAATGAGAGCAAAATTATCTGAGAGTATCTGGTCCATGGAGCTTTAGACTCTCAGTGAACTTAACTTAAACAATGTTTCAAAACTACTTTAAAAGAAATTTGAATATGGAAGTAAAACGGCCAATTCTAAAAATGAAAGTAGAAGTTTCACTTCGAGTAAATGCCACTAATTGTGAATATTACCCATCTTGTTGTGTGAACGAATCTCGTCGATTAAGAATTATGATCAGTTGAAGCATGATTATTGTTTATTAGTTGGGACATTCACAGGTAATTAGGTAATCGATCAAACAAAGCGTCATTTACAAGCGCTACGGCAAAACAGATCTTTCTAGAACACAACTTAAATCGATATCGAAATCAAATCAGTAGATAAATGAATATAGATGTAGAATATAGATAGATGTAGATATGTAGATATTTGGCATGCGTACAATACAATAAAAACTAAATAACAATTGAGTTTGTTAATCAATTTATCATTTATTAAACATTCAACAACACTATTTTGCATTTATTTGTATTAATTTCAAAAACAATTAACTAGTTTTCACAAGTATTTTTCTTTTTTGTTTGTTTGTTTGTTTGTTTATTTTAAAACATTTGCCTAAGACACAAAAATATAATTTCAATTTTCATTTGGTTATAAGTAGGTTGCATGCGGCTGCAAGGCTGTTTCGGGGGCATAAAATTAATGTGAAAAAGCATTTCTTGCGGTTCCATTAACAAAGGTTTCGGGGCGTGCATATATATTATATATATATCTATTCAGATACTGTCGGACGTAGTAGTATGCTCAAAATTGCGCCAATATTTATCAAACTCCTCGAGGATTTTCGAGCGGAAGGGCGAACTGGCAAACAGCTCATGGAAATTTCTATGAAAAGTGCCCAAAAATGGCGAAGACGATGGCGAAGGCGATGTTGGCGCTGCTCTGCTCTGCGGATTTTTGGATCTGGATTCGTTTTCTATATGGCTACTCATAGTAGACGTTGTTTCTGTTGTACTGTTGTTCTTGTTGTTGTTGTTGCTGTTCAAGTTGTTGTTGTTGTTGGTGTTGGTTGCTGTTTTATCATTGTCTGTGTGAGGACGACGATAGAGAGAAATTTGATATACAAAAGGGAGACACGCACACACACACACAGAGAGAGAGAGAGAGAGACAGTTACAAATACAGAGAGAGAGAGAGATAGAGATTATGAGAGAATTTTTACAACAACAATAAACACATATTATAATTTAGATTGTGGTGCAAATGGGATGAGTTGATGTGCTAAATGGCCAATTCACCAATGAGTTTGAGTACACTCGGATCGAAAATCCATATCCTAGATCTATAAAATGCCTAAAAACTAAATACTTTTGGAAAAGCTTTAGCAATGTTTAGAAATACAAAATTGTATTTGAAAAGTAGAACAGCTTTTAAATGGTTTTTATGTTTAATTACTGGAAATATTTCGAATTTTCAATAAACACATTGCTTAGAAAACTAGCCGAAGCTGGACGCCTTCTCTAAGAAGATTGGCCAAGTACCAGTGCTGATCATCTAGCTTTTTTTAGTAGGCTGACGAGCAGAGCTGTTTGGTTGATGATTTTCAGATAAAATATATAGATATTTTTAGCTGAAAACTAGGCAGAAACAGCAGACTCTAAAAAGTATGCCTTGATTTTTTTTGCAAAATAAAATAATTAATTGCAAATCAGAAATTTGGCTGATTTCGATTAGTAAAATCTAGAATATATTTTCTTCATTTTTTCAGAGTGTACAATGAGGGGATTTTGTGAATTAGCTGAACTTGGTCCAGGCCGTGAGAACAGAGAGGCCCAGTAGCAGAGCAGTGCTCAAAATGCTGCCAGCTGTCGAGGTGGAGTTGGAGGAGGAGGATGAGTCAGGTGTATTATTATTGCGATCGGTTGGCAGAGTGCTGGGAATAGCTGGGTTTGTCGGTTGGGGTGAAGTGGGTGAGGAGGAGGAGTTGTTGGAGGAGTAGATGGAGGAGGAACAGGAACCTTTGGAAGCGGAACCACAACCAGTGTCAGGCGATTGGGAGCGGCGATAGCTAGTTACAGAAGCGTTGCCTAAATGCACATTATGACTAACGAGCTGCGCGGTATTCGATCGATAACGATAACGATTACGATTATTAGTTGTAGTCGCTCTCGTCGTCTTGTCCGTGGCAAACTCACCCTGCACAGAAGGCGGCAACCGGGACACCTTGTAAGTCTTCACAATGGTCGACTTCCTGCTCGCGCTGCTCTGTGAATTATCCGTTGCTGTCTCGCTGCGCTCCTGCTGCTCGTGGCGCTCCACTTGACCACCATCGAGCTGCTCGCAGCTGGAGAACTTGGCAAACTCGCGCAAATGCCGGGGCAGCTCGCGCAGATTCGCCTCGTTGCTACCCTCCAGGATGCGCATCGGCGGCGCCTCCGCATCCGATTCACTGCCAGCACCCGTTGCCTTGGTAGGCACCGGTTGCGACTCCGCACCACTCTCCCAATCGCTATCGGCGGGCATGGCGAGCTTGTCTCGCCGCTCCTTGACCCGGTTGAGGAACTCATCGCTGATGTTGGACTGCTGCTGCTCGCTGCCATGCTGATGCTCATCCTCGATCTTTGAGATCTTGATGATCTTGTGCTGACGTCGCTCCTCACGCTCCGCCACCTTATTCATCCACTCCTCGGCCATCTGCTGCCGGAACACCTCATCCTCGCTCAGCGTCGGCAGCTTCGCCGCCGGCCGATAGCTATCGCGCCTCGGCGGCGGTGCCTGCAACACCGTCGGTGCCCGCTGCATCTCATCCATCAGACGACGTCGCTCCTGCTGCAGTCGCTCAAACTCCAGCTTCAGCTGCTCCTCCTTGCTCAGTATGTACTGCAGCTGCTGCTCGTGCAGCTCCCGTGGCAGCGATGACCGCCTCTGCTGCCGGTCGTAGGCAGGCGGTGCTGGTGGTGTTGGTGGTGCAGGTGAGACGCCACGCCTTGATGTGGTGCTGATATATGTTGGATTCGGATTGCGCTCAATCATCGAATAGCAACTGGTGTAATGGGGTCGCTGCTGCACCGGTGCCTCTTGCAACATGGGTGCATGTCGCCGTGCACCACCGTAAGCATTGTGGTTATCGTAGCTGCCATAGCTGGACAGATCATTTGTGCTCGCGGAGAGTCGAGGCGCTCGTATCGAGTGCGGTTGCCGCTGATTGCCACCCTGTCGCTGATAGCAGATCTCCACCTCGCGGGCAAACGGACGAGCAATGTTCTCCGAGTGACCCAGGTCACTGGCATAGCGCGACCAGTCATCCTGTTGTTGCTCCGGCTGCACCACATAATGTTCCGCCGAGCTGTGTGGTCGTCTTGGTTCACTGAGATTGCACAGCGACTCGGAGCGACGCGAACGTGTACCATAATCGGGAGCTAGTTCAATGGGAATTTCGACAGCACGCGGCATAGAGGACATCCGCTCCTGACGGGATCTGGTCGAGCGTTCGATTTCACGTTCCAGTTCCTGCAAGTGAGCATGTCGCTGACGCTTCAGCTGCTCCAACTGAGCGCTGCTGTTGTTGCTGTTGCTGCTGCTCAGGCGATGGAGATCGTAGAGCGATGAGCATTTCTCGCGCTGCTCTCGCTGCTCGCGACCGGTTTGCAGCTCGGCATTGAGTTGCTGCGACAGCGCATCGAAGTCCTTGAAAAGATTTTCATTATCCAAGTGATTAGCCGATGAAGGTTGCCCTTTGCTGTTACTGTTGCTGTTGCTGTTGCTGTCGCTGTTGTTGCTGTTGCTGTTGGGCTGAGCAAGTGCTTCGAGTGCTGCTTTGGCACGTTGCCGAAATTCCTCATAAGTGCCGCCAGCATTGTTCACCTTGGAACTGCTGCCAGCAGCTGTTGTTGTTGTTCTTCTTTCTGTTGTTTCTTTTGTTGTTGTTGTGGTCTGCTCTCTCTGCTGCCGGCTCTCTGAGAGTGGCTGCTGCTGCTGCTGTTGCTGCTGCTGTTGCTGTTTCTGTGCGTCATTAATGAAAGTGTTTGACATGCCATTTAATTTCGTTGCTGACATAATATTTGCTGCTGCCGGCGGTGGTGGCACAGGCGGTGCACAATCCACCTCATCCGCTATTGTTGGTTTCGCTGCTGCTGCTGCTGCTTGCTTTGCATTCAACGGAAACTTGCCATTTTCTGTTGGGTTATCTCCCTGCTGCTGCCGCTCTGTGCTGCTGTTGCTGTAATCGTAGATTGTCTGGCCATTCTCAACACGCTTCTTGGACTCAAACGAGCTCGTCTCAATGTTTGAGTAACGCTTCGCCTGCGGCTGCATCAGCGGCTGGCTGCTCTGCTCAATGTTGGAGAAACGCTTGCGTTGCTCATCAAATATGTCGCCTTGCTGTGCCACGCTGGGAAACATGCGCGCCAATTCACTCTCGATGCTGGATGGAAATTTGCTCGAAGTGTTGCTGCTGCTGCTGGTGTTCATGTTGCTCGTGTTGCTGATGTTGCTGGTGTAGCTGCTGCTGCTCTGTTGCTGCTGTGTACGGCTGGCCGTGCGCTGATCAAATGAGTAAGGCAATTGCTGATCAGCTGCTGCTGCTGCTGCTGCTGCTGTTTGCTTAGGTTTATTTTCAAATGATGATGTCGTTGGTGCCGTTTCTATTGTTGCTCTTGCTGTTCTGGTTGCCGTTGCTGTTGTGTTTAGCTTTTGCTGGCTTGCGTCATCTGCTTGCTGCGCTGCTTGGCTCTTTGCCTTCTCAACGGTTTCAGCGCTCTTCACAGGCACCGGCGGTGGTTGTTGCTGCTGCTGCTGCTGCTGTGGTGTTGGCGATGTGGTGGGCGTTAGACTCTTGCGCAATTCGCGCATTTTCGCAGCCGTATTGAGCATCTGCTCCTGTTCCACATTCATTTGTGCGCTGTCCATGAGACGCACCTGTTCCTTGCTCAACTCATGATAGCCGCGTCTCTGCACAAATTTCTCATGTGCATCCAGCAGCTCATCGGGACCAGCTGACTGCAATTGCTGCTGCTGTTGATGCTGTTGCTGCTGTTGCTGTTGCTGTTGCTGCTGCTGTTGGGCGACCAAAGCACGTTGTGCGGGCGAGAGGCATACGAGCAGCTTGGGATCAGCTTGTGTGGGCAAACCCAGCCAGGCCTCAGTATTCACTTGACCCAAAGACAACTGTAGCTCACCAATGTGTGGCAACTGTGGCAGTGGATAAGGCATCTTCTCCTGTTGTTGCTGTTGCTGCTTTTGTTGTTGTTGCTGTTGTTGTGGCACACTTATGTTTTGAGCAACGCTGGCGAGCTCCTCAAGCATCTGCTCGCCAAAGGGCATGGAGGCCAAGGATTCGGTGCATAGCAGACGCAGTTTCTTAATGCGTTCCGCATCCGACACGTCAGCTGAAATTGGACAAAATTGATGTGGCTGTGGTTGTTGTTGTGGTTGTTGTGGCTGTTGTGGTGGTTGTTGTTGTTGTTGTTGTTGCTGCTGTCGTTGTCGCAGTGGTGGTGTGGGTGGTTGTTGTGGTTGCTGTTGTTGTGTGAATTGTGGTGTTGGTGATGCCATATTGATGGCTGTGCATTGGCTGTGCTGTGTGCTGTCGGAGCAATGCGAATCATTCGATTCTTGTCGCAACAGGCTGCTAAGGATGGGTGGATTGCTGGTGGCGCTAGTGGTGCTGGTGGTGCTAGTGGGATAAAGCATGCTGCTGGGTGGCGGTGGCACAGGCGGTGGCGAGGGGGAAAACCTACTACTATGCGTGTCTGCTGTGGACACGACTTGAACACACGACGAAGCCGAAGCCGAACCGTTTCCGTTATCGATTTCATTTCCGTTTCCGTTTTGTTCGCTTCGCGTCATTTCGATTAATTCGCGCACTTTGTCCATATTGCGGATAAATTCCTCGCGCGTTGCCGCCAGCGACGTGGTTGCAGTTGGACTGTTGGCCAATTTGCTCGAGCCACATTCGTTGGCGAACAGCTCGTTAAATGCTCGCGTAGGCGTCTCCTCTGCTCGCCTCTCTGCCGGCATCGCCGTCGGCGAAGGCGTCGGCGTCGCGGCACTCAGCAGCGATGATAGCGATGAGCTGCTGCCCGGCGATCTCCGATCTTGGTCAGCGCTGGGAGCGCGATTAACAGGTGTGCTCTCCCGACTCGATTGGTTCACTGCCTCCGTTTCCGTGTCCACTTCCGTTTCAACCTGCAATTGTTTTTGTTGTTGTTGTTGTTGTTGTTGTTGTTTTGCTCAAGTTGTTTTTGTTTCTTTGTGTTATTGCCAATTTGCTTTGCTTTGCTCGTTGTTACTCAATGTTAGAAGTGTGTGTTAGACATGCCTCAAACTGTTTCCAAGTAAAACGAGAAAAGCATAAACACTGCTGGCCTACTTTAAGTTTATTGCGCATCCAACTGACCCCGATTATTACCTAATAGTATCTATATAGACGCTCTCAAACTGATTATGAGTGTTGCCCAATAATTTTAAATTTTGTAATAAGCCCAGATTTATTACATCTATTATTTTCAATTTTAGTTTAGCTTTTTACTTTCAATTTAATCAAATTTAATTTGCCAATTTAATTTTAAATATAATATTAAATTTTTATTTTGGAAACCTATTTTATCTATACAAATTTAATTAGTAATTCTAATTTTAATTGTAAATTTGTCAAACCGGAAATGCTTTTTTTGGCTATTAGCATTTCAGTCTACACTGTAGAAGAAGAATGTCACACTATGTAGAAGACATAAAAAAAAAATTGTACAAATATATTAAAAACATTTTTAAATTTATAAATAGCACACACTATTTAATCTTTAAAAATCTTTTAATGCACTGAGCACAAACTATAAAATCAACAAGTTAAAAAAAATATATATATATGTATATAGATAATAAATAAATGCTAAATATATTATTTTATCTGATATCTTAATTTTTGTCACTGTGTAACGAATGTATCTTTTAGTCAATAATAAAGGCCCACATTTTCAAAGGAAATTGTCAAACTATTTTTTAACCTCTTCTGTCCCTTAAGATCGCAAAAGTTTGCCTTAAATTAAGTCGACTTTTTTTTAAATATTAAAAATATTATGTATCTTTGCCAGTGTCTTATAAGAAATATTTGTTTTCAGCATTTTTTTAATACTGATTTCAGAAAAATATATTTACTTTGGTTTTCATGATATGAAAGAATTATCTTTAAAAGGCAGAGAATAATATTATTATATTAAAATAAAACGACACTAAAATCTACTTCAGCTTGTTCATTTAGTATAATCTAAGGGAATTCCTAAACCTTTTTCCTTCTTTGTTCTTCATTCCATTCTTCGATCTTTCGTCTATCTATTCTTTATTCTTTTCTTTCTGGGATTAGTTAGTTAGTACTTCGGTACGAACCTCACACTCGCCCTCGGTTTCTGTTTCGTTGGAAGAGCTGATCGGCTCCGTGGTTGATGTGCTGCTCCGGTCGTCATCTGGTCGATGGATCAGCTTAATGGCATCCGTATCGAGATCGATGTGTGTCCGTTCGACCAAAGCAGCCGCCTCCTCCAGTTCGAGTTCCATTAGATCTGAGACGCTGCTCGAACCCGATGAGCTGAGGTAAACGAGTTCCGCATCCTCCGATTGGGGCGACAGGGTGCTCTGCAGCCGCGTACAGCTCTCCAGATCGCTGGGCTGTTCGAGCAGCTTTGTTTCCAGCATGAGAGCCATCGGCTGCTCGCGTCGCTTCTGCCGCCGGCTAAAGTCGAGTTGGCTGCGCGGATACGTTTCGTTTGCCTTGTGCGGCACAGTCGGACGCGTCTTCGCCGGATCATTATTGCCGGAGGAGCTGGGCGAGAGGCCAAGTGTTAGATCGCTCGCCTCGCTATTCTCCTCCAGAATGCTGTCCAGATAGCGCGGACTGAGCAACTGCGGCAGAAAGTGCGATTCGAGTGCATTGCGCTTCTGGGCGCGCATCTGACGCAGCTGCTCCTGGTGTTGTTCCGCTCGATTGCTGGACGGCAAATCCGGCGAAGACGCTATCACAGCTATCGGCGACGCCGTCGATGTTGGTGTGCTTGCCTCCGTTTCCGAATCCGCCTCAAACACCACGGGCGATTGCAGTGGTCCACTGAAATTGAATTCACCCGAACTGCAATCGCTGCTCAGCTCCAGCTCCTGAATCTGCACATCGCGCGCAAATTTGCTGAACTGGGTGAGGCTCTGCTTGTGCTTGGGTGAGGGGGATTCCACCAAATAACGTGGCGGTGGTGACAATGTGCCGCTGGTGTTGGTGCTGTGTGTTGCTGCTGCTGATGCTGTTGTTGCTGTTGCTGTTGTGCTGCTAATCTCCTCAATTGTGGGCTTACCTTTACGAGCGCGTTCCTCTGCATCCGTCTCGACGCGTATCTGATGAATAATGACTTTGGTGCTGCGCTGCAGCGGCTGTTGCTGTCGTCCAGACGTTGCATGTTGCTGTTGCACAGCTGTTGCAGCGGTTGGCAGCTGTTGCTGTGTTTGCTTTGGTTGCTTCTTTGTTTCATGTTGCTGCTGCTGGTTGTCTTGTTGTTGCTTCTGCAGCTGCTGCTGCTGCTGCTGGTCTTCTTGCTGTTGCTTGGCTGCTTCCGTTTCTTGGTTGCTCTCGCGTACAACGCGATGCACGATGACCTTGGCTTGTCGTGGACTGCCTGGTGGTTTAGCTGCCTGCTGCTGCTGCAGCGGCTGCTCTGCGAGCAACTGTTGTTGTTGTTGTTGCTGCTGCTGTGGCTCTTGTTGCAGCTTGCCGCTCTTTGCGCCCATTGCTTTGATAGTCTTTACTAAGCTGCTCTCTTCCTGCTCCAATTTCACAGGCACTATGCGAACAACTGGCTGCTGCTTCACCTGATCTTCAGACTGATTATAGAGTTGTTGTTGCTCTTCTGCTGAACCTTCCGACAGATCCTTAAAATAATGCTTTGCTTGCTCGAGCAGCTCCTCTTTGGACTGATCAACGGGTTGCTGCGTCAGCAGATCTTCACACTGATTGAATTGCTCTTGTTGTTCTTCTTCTGGTGAATCTTCCGACAGATCCTTGAGAAAATGTTTTGCCTGTTCAAGCAGCTGCTCTTTCTGCTGTTGCTGTTGATTTGACTGATCTGCTGCTTGATCTACGACTAGATCTGTTAGCTGATCTACAGACTGATTGACTAGCTGCTCCTTGGATAACTCTTTTAAATTATCTAAAAGCTGCTTGTTCACCTGATCAAGCTGCTCTTCCACTGCCTGATGAATAGACTTCGCTTGTGTCTGACCAACAGACAGATCTTTTTGCTGTTCTTCCACTCCAATCAGTTGCGCCTTTGATTGATGTTCAGGCTGATCGAGAAGTTCCTCTACTAAATGTTCTATCTGATCTGCAACGGGCTGTTGCTTCAGCAAATCTTCAGACTGATTAAAGGCTTCTTTGCTATCTTCAGCGGGCTCTTCCGACAGTTCCTTAAGGAAATGTTTTGCTTGTTCGAGCAGCTCCTCTTTGGACTGAACAACGGGTTCCTGCGTCAGCTGATCTTCACACTGTTTGAAGAGTTGTTGTTCCTCCTCTGCTGATTCTTGCGACAGTTCCTTAAGATACTGTTTTGCCTGTTCGAGCAGCTGCTCTTTCGAATGATCAGCTTCTTGATCTACGACTAGATCTCTTAGCTGATCTACAGACTGATTGACTAGCTGCTCCTTGGACAACTCTTTCAAATTATCGACTAGCTGACCAGACGGACCACTTAACTGATCCAATTGCTCTTCCAAATCAACAGACTTTTCTTTTGTTTGATCTACAGACAGCTCTTTATGCTGTTCTTCCGCTTCAATCACTTGCTCTTTTGTTTGGCGCTCAAGACACTCTGCTAAATGATCTACTTGATCTGCTGCTTGGGCGATCAGCTGATCTACAAACTTATCTACGAGCTTCTTTTTGTTTCTCTCCTGATCTTCTGGCAGATCTTTCGCTTGCTCAATCAGCTGCTTTTCAAACTGATCCTCTGAGTGCACCAATGACTCATTCGGGTTGCTCTCGTTGCTGTTGCTGCTGTTGTTGCTTTTGGCTATGCCCGTTTTTGCCTCAACCGCAGCTGTGACGCTGTCGCTGGCTGTTGTTGACCCATTTGAAATGCTGCCAGAATTTGCATTATTATCATTCTGATGATCATCGGCTGCCGTTAATGATGATGATGATGACGAAGATGTCGCTGCTGCTGCTGCTGCTGCTGTTGCTGCGACTAAACTTGTTGTTGCCACTGGCAAAATTGCCTCCTCCTCCTGCTGCTGCTGCTGCTGCTGTTGTTCCTCCTCTGCTGTCGCCGGTTGCTGTTTGTTATTTTGATTCTTATTGCGCTTATTACGATTACGATTACGATTGCGATTACGATTATTTGGCATCGTCTACGTCGCGTTCAAGCCTGCAAAACTTTTCGTACCACCAAACAAAAGAAACGAGACTTCAAGTTTTTCTCTTAGTGTCTATGTGTGTTTATTAGTGGCTTTGTGTGTGTTGGATTTGTTGTGCCTGCTTGTTGCAATGTGCCTGACAATTACGCATTCGACGCGTTCGCCGCCTTCAATCAGCTAAATCTAAAAATTGCTTTTATTCGTGTGCGTTTTTTTTTATGCTCTTGTTTCTTTTTGTTTTTTGTTGCTTTTGCTTTTGCTTTTGCTTTTGGTTTTATAATATTGCTCGTTTTTTTTTTTGTCGTCGTTGTCGTCGTTTAGGGATTTCTCTCTCAGTGTCACTCGTCGCCGGACAGAAACACAACTAAATCCAAAAAACTGATCAGCCGATCAACCAAAACGACGACGAGCCGGCATTTCAAGCAGCGACAACGACAGCGTCAGCGTCTACGTCGACGTCGACGTCAACGTTAACGTCAGCGACAACTGCGACTGCGACACTCGTCCGCCCGGCTAAAGTTTGACACGCGCTCGTCGCTGCACAACTTTTGATCCGTATATCATAAACACATCATATATGAATGTATATAAATATGTATATATATTTAAATAAACATATCACATAATTGTTGGTTGGCACCAAAAACCCGAGAAGAAGAAAAATAAAATAGAATTTTCGAATTTGTACGTTTCAGTTTCCCACTTTCGCTCTCATCGAGAATTTTGTATCTAAAAAGATTTCGTTCGACTTGTTTTGCGCGCTCGCGTTCCCGTTTCAACTTCTGCTGACGGCGACTGGCGGCTAAGGAATGGGCCATGGGCTGCTCCCAGCTGCCAAGCGGGAAACAGAAACCAAAAAGAAAAAACATAGAAAAACAGACAAAATCAAAACGAACCAGAAAAACTAAGAAAAATACCCACAACAAGAAAAGCAACAACAGCAACAACAAAAACTATTCATAATGAGGCTCGTCTGATGATAATTTTAAAAATACATGTTGCATCGTACATAGAGCAACATTTGCCTCAAGTAGTGGGAGTTGTTACTCGAAGTGAGGGGGGATTGTGGAGAGGCAGTGGCAGGGGAAGCAGAAGCAGAAGCAGAAGAAGGCGTGTGTTAAGTGCCAAGCAAACAAACAATGCGCAAAACTGTTGTACAACATATTAGTCTTTCAAGTTGTTGTCGCTGTTGTCTCTGGAACTATTTAAATGTAAATAAACAGCCAAATGAAAATCAAGTCCAAGTCATGTCAAACGTGAATGTTGCATAAACATTAAGAAGCGAAAGAATTAAATATAAATATATACACATGACGCTATAAACCAAATCGGAACTGAGCTGTTTAGAAAATGTTTTTGCGCTGCTATTTTTCAGCTGCAAATAATGTCATATTTAATTATACATTTTGGGCACGTTGAGATCTTTGAACCAAAATATCCATATGCTGCATTTTATGTTTTATTTATTCAAATAATGCCAGAAAAATGAAGAACTCTGCTTTCAGATGTTTCAGCTTTTCAACGAGCAAATAACTTATCTGATATAGAAAAGGAAATCATTTTCTATTCAATAGAATACTTCCATATAACGTGTGATGCATGTTTTTGGCACGTTGCTCCTCAATAATTGCGCAAATATTATATTTTCCAATATTCATATATATAATTAAACAAAAATATGAGCTACAAACTTAATGATTTTACTTTGTTCATGTTTTGTTGGTTTTTTTGATCAAGCAGAAATGAAAAGGGGAATTACCTGTTTTTTTACGAGTCAGATAAGCAAACCAAGTGGTTTTAACTTATAAGCCATAATTACTAAAATGAGATAAATATTTTTAGAATATCTTCTGAGTCAAATTTATTTTTGGTTTTAGGAACTCACTTTGAATGGTGAAGTGTGTCTCTAAATCTCTCTAAAATCCAAGAAATATTTTTAAAATATCTTGTAAACACAAATGGTTCAATTTTGGGTTTCGAAACACACTTTTAATCTGAATAGTGAAGTTGTTCTAATTTGTAAGACTGCAATAACACTTCAAATCGAACAGCTAATTTGAAAATTTCTCTAAATTTAATTTTATGTTTGGAATGTGAGTAGTGAAGTGGTTCTAATTTCTCTCCACTGTAACCTATAATTACCAATGAAGATATTTTTAAAATATATTTTAAAATATATTTAATTTTGGGTCTCGAAACACACTTTTTCTAAGACGAATCTGAATAGTGATGTGATGTGTGTGATTATTGTAACCAATAATTAAACCAAAATATAATAATAAGAAATCTAAAATCTAAGAAGTATTTTTTAAAACTCCTTTTAGGTCAATTTTTTAATTTTGGGCTTCGAATCTGAATAGTCAAATGTAAGCTATAATTACTAATTTTCCTAATATTTTTACAGACAATAACATTAAATTTTAGGTTTCGAGCATCACTTTGTGTCTACATATATAAATTTGATCTTCTTTTATTAGCCTCCTCAGTCTAATGTTGCAACTATAAATCATTTATCTTCCTACAATAACGTCTAAATTAAAAAAATTAAATTGAAATTTACCTAATTTTACCCACCCTCGCACACACAGTATATTCAATAGGCAATATGCCCAAACAAATCACTTACAACGCATTTGAATCACACACGGAAATATTCTCAGAGTGCTGTCTACTCAACTGCAATGTGTGTGTGTGTGTGTGTGTGTGTGTGAGTATCTATGTACAACTTATGGCATTTTCAAGATATTTTTCGTGCGTAATTTCTTTCAATTTGTATCTTTTTTTGTTGGTCTTGTTTCGTAGTCTTTGGTCTTCGTTCTCTGTTCGCCGTTCTCTGTTTTCCGTTCTTCGGTGTGTGTACACTTGAATAATTTTTACGAGTTGAAATTGAAGCATTATTTTCGACTGGCAAAGTGTGCCGGCTCATATATATATATATATATATATATATATATAGTCTACACAGATACACCAATATATGCATATATATTCTACTGGGCCATGCGGTTAGTAGTCGTTGATTTATTTTTAAAAGTACTTAATGGATTTCAATTTCTTTGCTTTCTTTGACTTTAACCACCTCTGCCTCTCCGTCACCCTCCCTTTTAATCGTCTTCTCATTCGTCATGGGGCACAAATAGATCTGTGGATCCCTGTCAGGTGCCAGACGATGAGCGGCCGGAGGAGCAAACGGCCAAGTGGAAAATTGTGCACGTGATGCAAATGAACTGCAATGAGTAAGCCGGAAGGCGGTGGTGGGTTGGGGAGGCATTAAGATTATGCAACAGTCAGGAAATTCACAGCTGAAGTTTAACCCTTGAATGACCGAAAGAATGGCAAACACTTCAGAGCAGTCTTAACACTTGCTACCTAATTAAAAACCTATTAAAACGGCAATTTCCTACGATAAACAGACATAAAGGCTAAGAAACACCTTCCGCCCCTACACCCCCCACACCACCTCACTCTTCATCGCCCCTTCTCTTTCTCTCATGTTTTTTGTTTTTCTTTTTTTGGTTTGACTTCCGTTGATTTTGTGGCACCTTTTTGTTTTTGTGGTTTTCAAATGGCCCAGAGCATTATCGGATTATGTTTTCTTCCAAGTACTATTTAGGAACATGTGATCCAACTTTTCGAGATGAATGAGTTTCTTTTTTCAACTATTATTATACAAAATCGATAGCAACAAAGGCAACATAAATAATTTCAATAGATATTCGTATCATGTTCTATATAATTGCCTGAGTTATCTTTCGGTTTTGTTTGCACACTGCTGATAAGGACGAGGTTCCCCACAATTGAATGAATTTTCTATGTTCAATTTAGGGGGGCAAAAATCATTGGAAATGTTCACAATCGCTGCGCATTATGCAAAAGGTGGCACAAATTTGTATTGGGAAACATTCCTTAGCAATGCTAAAGCTAAAGTAAACTTGAAAAAAATTCAAATAAGATATCAAATTTGTAATATCCTAAAAAAATAATAAATATATATTTAGTAAATTATATATATTTAATATCGCAAGAGTCACTTTTATTAATCCTATAGCTGTAACTCAGGTGAGCTTTTGTATGAATTATTTATTTTTTCCAAGACATTTTAACAAAGCTCTCTGGTAACATTTCTAATTGTACTCCTTATAGTTTGGCAAAAAATGATCTGTATCTTATTGAGCACTATAAACAGCTAAAAAAAAAGTGGAGACAGTCACCGGACCAAAGTCCAGGATTCCATTATAGGAATCCTTGGTAGAGACTCCCATACCTTGGTAAAAAAAACATGTGCCGATGTTTACAATACGTTATAAGTCTGTTAGGAAAAATATTCGCTGATTTCTTTAATATATTGTAGCAAAACTGATAAGTGTACGAATAATTTTTTGGCCAAAAAAAGTATATTGTTCAAAATAATTGCTCCGTTTTGAGCTTTCAATGATAAAAATCACAAAAATTAACACCAAAACATATTTAACATGCCCGAATGCAAATGTTTAATAAATCTCGTGCAAATTTACACTGAAAATCAAAATGTATTCATGAATTTGCAGGGTATTTGAAAATCAATGAGGCCTATTGATTTTGACTGTGCTTTGTTTTTGGGTTGTTGATATTTGTGCTGCTAATTAGCATAGATTTTTAACGTTGCTTTTAAGCATTTGTTGTTTAGCTGTTGCTGCCTCTACATTTGCCTACACTTTTGGTGCTGCATTTGTTGTTGTTGCTGTTGTTGCTGTTGTTGTATTTGTGTTTACGTATGCGTAATTTATTTCTCTCCCTCTCTCTCTCTCTCTCTCTTCCTCTCTCTCTGTCTATTTGCTTTTTACACACACACACACACAGATAGACAGACAGACACTCTCTTTGGGGCAGTTGTAATATAAACAAAATATTTACTAAATTAATTTATGGCTGGCGCGCTCTTAATTCTGCAGCCACCCACCAACAGCGACGTCGACGCCGGCGCTGACGTCACGGCTGCGTCAGCAGCGCAGCCCGCGCACGCGGTGAGGTCAACGTCAAAAGGCGTAAGTCGGCAAATTACAAAAGCAAAAAAAAAGCACACGACTAGCAAGCGCAAGCAAAGCGGCGCATTTAGTAGTCAATTAATTGCTAAATCGTCGGTTTATATCAAAGACATTGCCACAGTCCGCTGTCCACTGTCCGCTGTTTGGTTGCTGTGTGCCGCGTTCTTCTTCAATGCAACGCGTACGTGCGCCAA